TTCCCATTTTCCATGGGTAATTGAGGCTGAGAGAAAGTAATTTGCCCAAGAATGCTCACCAGGTTTTGAATCCAGGTGAGTTGTTACGCTTCTTTACCTTTTCCATAGTTGATCAAAGGAACCTTGCACAATGTGCTGAAAAACCCTTTCTTGGCAATGTGATCCAGGATATACTCAGAGCATGAGGTTGAGGAACAGATACAAAGGGGGGCCAGGCCAGGGATCAGTGGTGGGCCCTGCTAAGAGCCTAGGAGATGCCGAAAGATGCTGAGTGCAGGTGCTGGGTTGCATAAGATTAGTGTTAAGTTGTGGGTGAGCATATCAGACGGCACAGCAATTCTTCAAACAGCCCTTGTTTATTCACAGGCCAGAACAGAACTGAACTGAAGGGTTCAGCCAGCCTGCTTATATAGAGCTCCACTAGAATGCAACATTAACCATTTTCTGTAACTATCCAATCACTGAATGTCACTTTTGATCCCTTATTTGCATATGTGGACCTGAACTATCTACAGTATCCCCCTGCTGGCCCAGGATGAGAACTTCAGTACATAACAATTAGCATATGCTAATTTACATCTCTATATGTATCATTTAAATAGAAATACATCTACAATTCTATGATCTAACCATAGTGGAGAAGACGATTGCCTGATGATCTGTGGGAGGGAGTCTGCTGTCTGAGAGCTAAATGTTGATGGCTGATTTCAAGGCTCTTGCTCTCCCTTCTTGTGTTTCTTTAAACCAGGTGTGGACAGGACAGCGCTTCAATAGAGGGAGCCTTCCAGTGGAGGACTGTTCTCTGACAGAATGTTGTCCTCTGTAAAGTAGGACACAGGGCCTCAATAGGTCATTGTGTGCTGAATTGGGGTAAACTTGGCTACATGGCATTTTTAGGGTGTGTTCAGCTGTGGCAACTTCCACTGCCCTCATCCGTGTTAAACTGCCTGTGTCCTGCCTACACAGGTATTTCCAGACAAGCGTCAGTAGGAGGCAAGTAACTCAGGACAAAGAACCTGCTTCGTTGTACTGCTGGGACCAGCCACATTGAAATAAACAGTATACAGTGGTACCTTGGTTTACAATCATAATCCGTTCCGGAGGTCCAGTTGTAAACCAAAACAGGTTGTAACCCAAGTTGTGCTTTCGCCAATGCAGCCTCCAAAAAAAAGGGGTTATGATCCAAACAAAAGGGACACACACTTCCGGGTTTGACATGGTTGTAATCCAAAACGGTTTGTAAACCAAGGTACCACTGTATCCAGATTTTATTTTTTATTTTTTTTAAGTCCAACACTGTCAAAATCTCAAATGTTGAGATTTTACTTTCCTGGATACGTCTTCTTTTATTAACCTTAAAATATTGGTGTATTCAAAAACAGTCACATCAAAATATGAATGCATCCTGCAGCATTAATGTCAAAATAATATTACAGTATGCAGAATGTATTAACTTGCCAAATTCAACACGTTCTCTTTTTCCTCCCTTAAGAACAAGTCAGCTTTCTAACAATATCAGTATCTGCAAATGTGGGGGTAGACCCTTTAAATTAGAATAATATGAATTCTTTTTTCTCTCCCCCCCCCCCTCCTTTGGTCAGCAATTAAAATTAGGAACAATTGGTCTGGAAAAAATCTCTCTCACACACACATACAATCATTCAATTGTTTCAGTTCCAATTTAGTTATGTTTTTAAATGCTTTGCAGTCCTTCTCTTTACACCTTTGTGAGGCAGGTCAGTTTTACAGATGAAGCTGAAAGTCTATTTACCGAGAGCCATCTGTGATAAAGCAAAGATGTTAGGTCCAAGGGCCAGTTTACACAATTAGGATCACACGGTAAAGCTTTTTCTGAACTATATACAGTGGTACCTTGGGTTAAGTACTTAATCCGTTTCGGAGGTCCCTACTTAACCTGAAACTGTTCTTAACCTGAAGCACCACTTTAGCTAATGGGGCCTCCTGCTGCTGCCGCACTGCTGGAGCACAATTTCTGTTCTCATCCTGAAGCAAAGTTCTTAACCTGAAGCACTATTTCTGGGTTAGTGGAGTCTGTAACCTGACGCGTATGTAACCTGAAAAGTATGTAACCCGAGGTACCACTGTATACCACACAGGTTTGCAGGTAGCATGTGCTCTGTGTGTGTTTGTGGACACTGTTTGAATGGTCCTTTATGGCAGGGCAGGGAAACACCTCCCTGGGCAAATAAAAATAAAAAATGGTCCTTGCTCCTGGCATGCTAGTTTTGTATGTACAGGGTCAGGAAAAGGTTTCATGCACATGTGTATTTGGGGGGCATTAAAATATGCAGACTAATGTAATACAGCACAGGAAAAGCTGTACCCCATGATCCTTCTGATTAGACTGGTTTGAAAGCCAACAGTGGCACCCACCACACCATAGGTTTAAAACACCATTATGCCATTTCTTTGGGCTTCCCCTAAAAACTCCTGCCAGTAATGATGTATGGAAGTGAGAGCTGGACCATAAAGAAGGCTGATCGCCGAAGAAGTGATGCTTTTGAATTATGGTGCTGGAGGAGACTCTTGAGAGTCCCATGGACTGCAAGATCAAACCTATCCATTCTTAAGGAAATCAGCCCTGAGAGCTCACTGGAAGGACAGATTGTGAAGCTGAGGTTCCAATACTTTGGCCACCTCATGAGAAGAGACGACTCCCTGGAAAAGACCCTGATGCTGGGAAAGATGGAGGGCACAAGGAGAAGGGGATGACAGAGGATGAGATGGTTGGACAGGGTTCTCGAAGCTACCAACATGAGTTTGACCAAACTGCAGGAGGCAGTGGAAGACAGGAGTGCCTGTGGTGCTCTGGTCCATGGGGTCATGAAGAGTCGGACACGACTAAATGACTAAACAACAATAACAAAGACTCCTGGGAGATGTGCTTTGCTAGGAGTGCAGAGAATTGCCCAGAGACCCCTATTTCCCTCTCAAGAGCTACAATTCCCATAGTACCCTAGAAAGAGGGCTTGTTCTTTAACCCACTCTGGGAATTGTAGCTCTATGATAGGAATAGGGGTCTCCTAACAACTCTCAGCACCCTTAACAGAGTGGCGGGGAAGCCCAGCCAGATGGGCGGGGTATTATCATCATCATACTACAGCTCCCATAATTCTTTAGGGGAAGCCATGACTGTTTAAAGTGGCATCATAGTCTTTAAATGTATGGTGTGAAAGGGCTCTAGTTCCAAAACCAGTTGCTTGAGAGCAACCTTGGCCAACAGGCCTATCCTTAGGAGACACAAGATATAACACTACAGGTTAAGGGGTTGGGAAACAGTTACGCAGGTAATTCCCGCTCACATACTGAGACTGTCACAAAATCTGTGGATGACGAATGAAGCGACTTGAGTTAAAAAATAAAAGCTTTTGCCCAGCGTCACTTGTTTCAGCCTCCCTTGACCTAGCTCAGCAGATCTCTCCCCTTGGACTTCTGTCACCAATGTTCCTCTGTGGCAACCAGCTTTGTAATCTTTTGTTTTCCATTATCAAATCGTTAAATGGTCATGTAATTGTTATTTCCATTTCCATGCCTCGAACATGTTTTGGAGGCAGTCACCATTCCCAGTTCATTAACTGACTGACCTCGGCATTAACACCCCCCTCCGCTGAGGTTGCCTTGGAAACAAAGCTTCCTGTGCGTAATCCAAGCTTATCTAGCTCTTTATCCTACATGTGACCCTTAATTACTTGCTAAATTAGAATGGTTTTCTAAAAATCACAAGAGGAGGTTAATATGTTCTTCCAGAGCTGGTCAAGCTAAGATGACACTAAATTCACAGGGAATTCAAAATACATGATCCCTGAAGGCGTCTCTTTCAGAATGAAGATGAACTTTCCCAATGAGAGGCCGTCCACCACAAGACTGCGTCTGTCACTCACTTTCCTTGTTCAGCTTCTCCAACCCACAGTTAATCTGTCCTGAACAAATTAACTAAGTAAATATCGGGTAAATTAATTATGGCACTGGATTCATTGTCCGTTTGTTTTCTGCAATTAACGCTGTGATCTAAATCAAGATATCTGCTCTGGTGTACTGAAGAGAACACACCAAGTCTCCATCATACCACCAAAGATGAAGATCTGTAAATTAAGGTGGCAGCGGTGGGGGAATGTATTTTTGAAAATTGGGATGCAAAATGCATAATTTTATTGTGGGAGTTAATTTTTTTTGTAAATAATTTTTATTTGATTTTCATAAATATAAACATACAGCAAAAACCAATTCAGAATGCAAATATCAAGATTACTCTGAATCTCCTGACTTCCCCTTTCACGGGTCCTGTTGATAATATTTTCAACTGCATATGAATACTTCTCCAATCTTTCTAAATCTTTCTAAATTATCCATACATTCTGTTACATTACAAGTGTGGTTAAAGCCTGCCAATGTTTTAACCTGCTTACAATGATCTTGTATATAAATTATAAACTTTTCCCATTCTTTTTTAAAGTTCTTGTCTTCTTGATTTCTGAGCTTCCCAGTTAATTTTGCCATTTCGGCATAGTCCATCAACTTGGTTTGCCATTCTTCTCTGGTCAGGGTTGTCTCTTTCTTCCATCTCACGGCTAGCAGTACATTGTTGTCACATACATGAATAATCTTTTCTGGTCCTTTGGAATCCCGGTACCTATTTTATTGTGGGAGTTATGTTATGGGGATTGGGAAAGGGGAAGTTGGAAGGAATCTCCAGAGCAAACATGTTGCCTTTGGACACAGCTCAGTGAATGGTCAGTATTACTTCCTTGAGGGATGGGAGGATGTCGTCGAAGTAGGGACATGTGTGCGGCCGCCTCCCTTTTCTCCCTTTCCCCCTCATTGCTGCCGCCATGGTGTCTGCAAAGAAGCTCATGATGAAAGGTGGCAAAAAAAAAAAAAGCAGGTTGTGATGGTCACCCTAGACTGTACCCATCCAGTAGAAAATGGCATCATGGATGCTGCCAGCATTGAGCAGTTCCTGTAGGAGCGGATCAAAGTGAATGGAAAAGCTGGGAACCTTGGTGGGGTGTGTGGTGACCATCGAGAGAAGCAAAATCAAAATCACAGTCACCTCAGAGGTCCCTTTTTCCAAGAGGTACCTGAAGTACCTCACCAAGAAATACCTGAAGAAGAACTTGCACGACTGGCTCCGCATGGTCGCCAACAGCAAGGAGAGCTACGAGTTGCGATATTTCCAGATCAACCAGGATGAAGAGGAGGATGAGGAGGAAGATTAAATGCAAAGGAATCTGGAAATATTTTGTACATTCACTTTTCCTTGAATAAAATGCGGTGAAAGTTGTTATCACAAACAAACAAACAAACAAACAAACAAACAAACAAGAAGTACTACTTCCTTGAGAAATCCAGTGAGTGGCACATCTCACAGATCCATAAGGGTCAAAATGGCTAAATGGTCATCACTTGGGAGGAATGCTGTACTTTCACCTGCATTGCAGGTCACACACTGAGCAGGGTGGAACTAGATCAGCCTTTGTCAACCTGATTCCTTCCAGATGTTTTGGACTATAACTCTCATCAGCCCCAACCAGCACAAGCTAGTGAAGGCTGAACAAGATGACCTCCATTTTCCTTCCAGTTCTGTGATTCCAACCATGTTGATAATATATGCTTCAAGCAGCCTTGAAGCCAACCACCTATGCTGAGGAAGCAGCCCCTTTGGGTGAATATGTCAGATGCTTTTGTACAGTAGAAGGCACTTCATCTTTATTGTACTGCAATTAAATAACTCACCTGGAGAGGTGGGCTGTTGTAGATACATGTTTGAGCAAACAATACCTTCATAGTTGTCTTCAAAATCCCCTAAAGAAACAGTCGTAGAATTAAAAGAGGTGGGAAACTTGTTAAAAGCCATTTAAGCAAATTCTACTTAACTGAGGAGGCATACAGACCCAGGTATAAAAGCAAGTTTCAAAAAGTAAAAAACAATTTATATTAATCAGAAACATAGCATTACCAACCACTGAGCAGACTTTGCCTAGTGCCTGAAGGGTGACAAAGATGGCATCAGGCAGATTCCACCATCAGGGTAAAATCACAGAAAGCGCCCTCTCTAGTAGCCATTTCAAAATTTCTTCTTCTTCAACTTCTTCTGCAAATGTTTTGTATTATGAACTAGCAGAAATCACACCGACTTCAGGAGAAACGTGACTTGGACCATTTTATTTCTATCCCCTGTTTGGTTAAATGTTATTTTTGGAAATATATCAGGGGCTCTCCATTCAAAAGTAAGCAGCCTAATCCTACAATTAAATGTTAAGAGTTAAGGATCGCCAGCTTTGAATGTGGAAAGCTAATTTGCCTTGGAATTTCAAAGAGCCTACTAGTGATCTAACAACAGCAGTGAAAATATTTCTGGCCACTAGGTCTTTAAAAGTGGAGTGGCCAACCACCCTTTTAATGAGCAGAGGCTCCATGAAATCCTGCACAAGGTGCAAAAAAGATGTGCTAAGGCAGGGATGGAGAACCTCTGGCCCTCCAGACTGCAGCTTCCTTCATTCCTGACCACTGGCCATGCTGGCTGGGGCTGATGGAGTCCCAACAACCTCAGTGCCACAGGTTCCGCAACCCTGACCTAGACTGAATGACTTTAGGTGGTGAAGAATGGGACAGTTCCTAGCCAGACCTTCCCCTGCGCCACTGGTGAAGCAAAGGGTACTCCTTCCCCCATCCCTGAAACATGAGAGCTTCACCTACTGAAATTCCTTCTTCAAGAGAATTATTCACCCATTTTAAAATCAGCCCCACATTTACAAGCCCACAGTTCCCTCCCAGTGCCAGCTACTTTCTCTTTATTGTTTGCTCTGACACTGGGCCATGGCCGGCTCGCCTTTGTTGCTTTCCATCACTCTTTATCCTTGTACCTCCAAGGGGTTTGTCTGTCTGTCTGTCTCTTTCTCTCTCTCTCTCTCTCTCTCTCTCTCTGTGTGTGTGTCTAGGCTGCCTTCCAGCCTTAATTTGATTAGTCAGCTGCAGAATTAGAAACAAGGTAAATTTCTTTTTCTTTATTGCTTGCTTGCTTGTCTTGGGGTTGCCATGTGTCCTCTTTTTCCAGGACACATGGTCTTTTTCAGGGGTAAAATTTGAGACACATTGCATTTATTTGCTTTGAATGGCCATCATAGCGTCCTCTTTTTTGCTCTTCAAAATATGGCAGCCCTATTTTTATGCAGGTTTCTTGTGCTGGCCAAAGTATTTGCATAGGTATCCTTCGCTCTGGAAACGTAATATATTGCTACACGCCACCCAACCTCCAAGTGTTGCAAGACGCCAGGGATTTCATCACTTGGGGTTCAGTTTCTTTGGGAGTAAGTTCACGCTAGTGGTTTACCTCTCTTTGGACAGACCATGAACTGTAACCAAGACTTGCCCTAAGGCTAAACCATAAACCCCACTGTGATGACACACCTAAGCCCAACAATGACTCAGTTCAGAACAGCAGCAAAGTAACTGGAAGAGGAGCAAATCTCGTCTTAGCTCTTTTTTTATCTTGTAAACTGAGCGGCAAATTGGGTATATTTTCCCCTGGCAGAAAGGAGATTTAAAAAAAAAAAAAAAATACTGCGTTTTAGTGTTTTTGAAATACCAGTATTTTCTAGTTTACATTTTATTTTAATATTGTGTTTTACTTTTGTTTTGTAATTCATCCATAGAGCATATGCTGAAGGGCAGATACCGGGCCAAATTCAGTGTATTACTATTAGTATATTAAGCCCTCAACAGCTTGGGACCAATTTACCTACAGGATCGTCTTACTCTAAATGTGCCCACTCAACTGCTTCCATCAGCAGAATTGGCCCTGCTACAGGTGCCACATAATACCTATTCCAAATCTGTAAAAATTTGATCACTTAGTATGGCATTGTGGCAAAACTTGTACTTTGGAACTCCTTGCCTATTGAGATCAAGTAGGTGCCTTCCCTGTACTCTTTTCGGTGCCTGCTAAAAACATTCTTGTTTAGGTGAGTCTACCCAGTTGCTTAGAAAGTTGAGGTATTTTTATTCTGTTTTAGTATTTTAACTTGTGTCAGTGTTTTAAGGTATGGTTGTGATTTTTTCTTGATTTATCTTTTTGTAAAGTGTTTTGAGGTTTTCTGTATTCAAGCGGTATATAAATTTGAAGAAATAAGTGACATAAGTATATATCCACACAGACACAAATAACACTGAACTATACGGACCATTGATCTGATCCCGCAGGGCTTTTCTTATATATAGACACATAGACCTGACACAACATTTACCAGTATTTATTATTTTTGTCTCCTGCCTTCTTGAGGACACTCAAGGTCCCTCTAATAATATTTTCACAACAAATCTGTGGGGTAGGCTGGGCTGAGGAATAGGTAACTGAACTGTTATTACCCAGTGAGCTTCATGTAGCCTGACAATAGATAATATCAGCTCTTAACATGCAAGGTAATGACAGCACAGAAAACACATTCCATCACAACAATGTTTGGAGAGAGAAAACACGCCCAAATAAAGTACTACAAAATATTAATGGAAATCATGCAAGATATCTTTCAACTAGATTATTGCTTGTCTGAGAAACATGGTGGTTCAAAGATACCTTGCATTGTGTGTCATGTTCAATTGAAGGATCACAGTTTATCTGCTTCGCTCTCTCTGGACCTCAATATGCCCAGAGGCTACTAATGAATTTCCCCTGGGAATAGTATCAAAAGCGTTTGGTGTGTAATAAACACAGCATCTCAGTAGGAGGCTGTCATCCCTCCCACCCACCACCCACATGTCAGATTGCATTTTGGGATCTTCCCTTTTGTTGTCTGACAGAAGGCAGCCCTTGATTAAAACCTACTTGATCAGGATTAAAACAATTCCTGAAAGAAAGTCTGGGATTTATTTTCTAGAATTGGAGCCAGCAGCCACAGAGATGACCTTCAGGTTCAGAACAGGAAGTTTTTATTTCTGTGAATATGTCCCATTTTTCAAGAAATCTTAATTCTATAACAGATTGTGCGAGGGCAGAGAACGAGAACATTGTGGTGGACAATAGCACAATAGACAAAGCGTGATGATGAGCTTAATGCTGCAATCCTATACCCACATAACTGGATGATAATAATAATAATAATAATAATAATAATAATAATAATAATAAAAAATACCCCATGTTTTATCCTGATAGGACTCCAGGCCGCTTACTACTAAGTAGACAGGTATAGGATTACCCTGTTAGATACTTTTCTCTCCTTGCCCTTATACCTGGGTGAATTTAGATTTCGTGTTGCCAATGACCCTTTCAACCAATATTTCTTCAAACATTTCCTAAAATGATATGCTAATATCACTCATTTTCTGAGTGCTTATCCTTGTGTAGCCAAAATGGCAAGATCCATGCACAAGAGGGAGGTATTTCCTTTTTTTTTTTAATGTAATATTTATTGGTTTTACAAAAATTCCAAAACATGCAAAAATACAGGATTTCAAAGACAAAAAACAACAATAACAGTGACAAAAGGAAAACAAAAAATAACAGTAACCATAAAAAGGAAAAACAAAAGAGAAAAAGAAAAAGAAACAGAAAAATTTACAAGTTTATACTTTCATTTAACCTTCTTATCTTTCCTTGGTTCTTTGACTTCCCCGCACCTCCCCACTTGTATTTCCTTTTAAAAACTCCTTTCAGCAAATCCTTACCCTCCTTCCTTTATCTTAACTCAAGAAACTTAATCTATTTATATATAGATATTTTTACAACCTTATCAATCAAATATTCCATGCTCTTAAACGCGAGGTTTTTGCCAATACCAATTATTTTCAATCAGACCTCAATTTAACATTCATTAATTTTATAGTATTTCTGTAAATAGTCTTTAAATTTCTTCCAATCTTCTTCCACCGACTCTTCTCCCTGGTCACGGATTCTGCCAGTCATTTCCGCCAATTCCATATAATCGATTACCTTCATCTGCCATTCTTCCAGAGTGGGTAAGTCTTGTGTCTTCCAATACTTTGCGATAAGTATCCTTGCTGCTGCTGTTGCATACATAAAGAAAGTTCTATCTTTCTTTGACACCAATTGGCCAACAATGCCCAGGAGAAAGGCCTCTGGTTTCTTTAAGAAGGTATACTTAAATACCTTTTTCAACTCATTATATATCCTTTCCCAGAAGGCCTTAATCTTTGGGCACGTCCACCAAAGGTGAAAGAATGTACCTTCAGTTTCATTACATTTCCAACATTTATTATCGGGCAAATGGTAGATTTTTGCAAGCTTGACTGGGGTCATGTACCACCTGTACACCATTTTCATTATATTCTCTTTTAAAGCATTACATGCTGTAAACTTCGTACCTGTGGTCCATAACCGTTCCCAGTCAGCAAACATAATGTTATGTCCAACATCCTGTGCCCATTTAATCATAGCAGATTTTACCGTTTCATCCTGAGTATTCCATTTTAGCAGCAAGTTATACATTCTTGAAAGTGTTTTAGTTTTGGGATCTAACAGTTCTGTTTCCAACTTTGATTTTTCCACCTGGAAGCCAATTTTTCTATCCAAATTATAGACCTCTCTTATTTGATAATAATGCAACCAGTCTCGCACTCTATCTTTTAGTTTTTCAAAACTCTGCAATTTGAATTTATCTCCTTCTTGTTCCAAGATCTCCCAATATTTTGGCCACTTGGCCTCCATATTGGACTTTTTCAGGGCCTTTGCCTCCATTGGTGATAGCCACCTTGGGGTTTTATTCTCCAATAAGTCTTTATATCTTATCCAGACATTGAACAATGCTTTCCTGACAATATGGTTTTTAAATATTTTGTGAGCTTTAACCTTGTCATACCACAAATATGCATGCCACCCAAACACATTATTGAAACCTTCTAAGTCCAAAACATCAGTATTTTCCAGAAGTAACCAATCCTTCAACCAGCAGAAAGCTGCTGATTCATAATAAAGTTTAAAGTCTGGCAGGGCAAATCCCCTCTTTCTTTAGCATCAGTCAATATTTTAAATTTTATCCTGGGCCTCTTGCCCTGCCAGACAAACTTAGAAATATCTCTCTGCCACTTCTTAAAACAATCCATTTTGTCTATTATTTGTATCGATTGAAACAAAAACAACATTCTTGGCAATACATTCATCTTGATGACAGCAATTCGACCTAACAAGGAAAGCTTCAAATTTGTCCATATTTCTAAATCCTTTTTAATGTCCGACCAACACTTTTCATAATTGTCTTTAAATAAATTCCCATTTTTAGCTGTCATATGAATCCCCAAGTATTTCACTTTTTTACCACTGTTAAACCTGTCTCATTCTGAAACCTCTCTTTTCAATCGGTGTTAAATTCTTCTCAAGTACTTTAGTTTTAAACTTATTCAGCTTAAAACCTGCCACCTGACCAAATTCTTGAATCAGTTCTAATGCTCTTTTCGTACTAGATTCTGGCTCCTGTAATGTCAATACAAGGTCATCTGCAAATGCTTTCAGTTTGTATTGTTTCGCTCCGACCGTTATACCCTTAATCAAATAGTCCCTTCTTATCATATTTAACAAAACCTCCAGAACAGAAATAAAAAGCAATGGGGAAATTGGGCAGCCTTGTCGTGTCCCTTTCTCTATCTTAATTTCCTCTGTTATCACATTATTAACTATTAATTTAGCTTTTTGTTCTGAATAAATTGCATTTATACCATTTTCAAACTCTTGGCCTACCCCCATCCCCTGAAGATTTTTCTTCATAAAGCTCCAAGAAATATTATCAAAGGCTTTCTCTGCGTCCACAAAAATCAAAACTGCTTTAGTATTAATCTCCTCTTGCAGCTTCTCCAGAATATCAATTATATTCCTTGTATTGTCCGAAAAGAGGGAGGTATTTCCAGGCTTGGGAAAACTCCCAAGTTTTGCAGAAGTATAAAAAAGATATTGAGATGAAAACATCCTTAAAAGGAGTGGTGGGTTAGGACTGGCTGGAACTCTGACAAGCAATGCTGCACTCCACACTGCAACCTTTTGCTGCAGATCACACTTGTTATTCCTAATGTGGAGGGAAACGTTCATTCCTTTGGTGTTGAAATCTTTTTCTTTCTTTCTTTTGCAAAGGTGAGCCATAGCAGGATGAGACATGGAATTGGGTGGCTGAGCTCCTGAGAAAGTTGAAAGAATTAACTTCACAGGTAGGGAAAATATTCCACCCCTGAGAGTGAGTGCAGCGGAGCCCAGTAGTGTTATCAGATTCAGGGGGGGGGGGGGTGTCTCCAAATCTGGAGGTTTTTATAGGCCTTGGCGAGAATTTTGGAGAGAACTTTAATTTGGGTCCGGGGGGCGGGGAGCAAAATATGAACCACATAGATTTTGCAGACAATCGACGTGTCATTTTAAAATCGATTTATACGCGCTTCACTATGAACTCCTCACGTCATTAATTTGGGTAGCAAAACGCTGTGTTGCTTGCGTTAACTAGGTAAAGTTAAAGGGACCCCTGACCATTAGGTCCAGTCGTGGCCGACTCTGGGGTTGCAGCACTCATCTCGCTTTACTGGCTGAGGGAGCCGGCATACAGCTTCCGGGTCGTGTGGCCAGCATGACTAAGCCGCTTCTGGCGAGCCAGAGCAGCGCACGGAAACGCCGTTTACCTTCCCGCCGGAGTGGTACCTATTTATCTACTTGCACTTTGACGTGCTTTCGAACTGCTAGGTTGGCAGGAGCAGGGACCGAGCAACAGGAGCCCACCCCGTCGCGGGGATTCGAAACGCCAACCTTCTGATCAGCAAGTCCTAGGCTCTATGGTTTAACCCACAGCACAACCCTTGCTTGTGTCAACTGCTCACCCCTTAATTTCTTTTTATTTAGGATCGATTCTAAGGCATCCTGAAAAAGTGAAAGGCAATTGACTGCCATGTATAGAATGATTATGTTATGTTAGGATCAGGGTTAGACCCTTCCTTAAGTTGCTTCTGCCACAAATAGGAGACGTCACAGATATTTGAGGGGGCGGCGGAGAGAGAACAAGACCTACGTAAGCGAAAAGCGCGCGCCACAGAACAACGGGGCGTTGACGGTTCCTGGGCTTTTAAAGCGAGGGTAGCGAGTGGGCGGGGACTCTACTCAAACCACGTGGGTCCACAACACCCTCGCACCCCCCCTCCTCGCCTTGTGGGCGGGGCTGGCTTGGTTACTACGCAGGAGGGGGCGGGGGCGATAAAACGGGGCCCCGCCCACCCTGCCGCGGCGCTCTTCGTCTCGCTGGCCGCGCTCTGGCCCCGCCTACCCCCCCCCCCCCGGGAGCCTCGGCCAATCAGGTAGCGCCCTGTTGGCCGAGCCGGGTCTGCGCGCAGCTGGGGCCAAGATGGCGGCGGTGTGGGTGCAGAAGGGGAGCCCGGCTGGGAGGTTTCTTGTAGCAGCCGTGCTCTGCCTCGTCGGCAGCCTCTTCCCCGCCACAGACGCCTCCGGCCAGATAGACGCCGGAGCTGCCGGCCCCGCGCCGCCTCACCGGCGGTTCGAGTACAAATACAGTTTCAAGGGGCCGCACTTGGTGCAGGGGGACGGGTCGGTGCCTTTCTGGGTGCACACGGGCAGTAAGTACCGGCGGGCAGGGCTCCGCGGGTGGAGGGGAGGGAGCGCCAGGGGTCCGATGGCTTCACGTCAGGCCCGGGGCTTCGGCTCAGGGAAGCGCCGCAAGCAAACAGCAAAGGCGAGGGTGCCCCTGAGGCTGTGCAGAGTGCGGCTGCCTGAACATGCGCGGTTTGTCTACGCGCGCCTGGGGTTCGCAGGTCCAGCAGATTCTCCGCCCTCACGAAAAATAAAAATGTACATATTACGACGACCCCGGCGGGGGGAGCTGCAAACCTAGAAAGGCCTCCCTGGCGTTGAGGTCTGCTTCCTGACCTCCTTATCTGTCAGGTCTGCCACGTGGCCCTTCTGGACTTTCTCCCCTCGCCCTTAATAGTACAGGTAGGAGAAGCTTCCACAGGCGCAGGATGGGGAAAGCAAGGCATATGGCTGGAGGTTGTGTGTTGTTCTCCCTTCATCTCAGGTATTTTGGGGGTTTCCCTTGTGTTGCTGCTGCTTCCTTATCAGAAGTAGGTAAAGTGGGTCAAAGGTTGATGGTGGTCCTCTACCTTTGGTGCTGAGATACTTGCACAAAATGCTGAAAGCTAAATGAAAACGTAGTCTGTTCGGCCAAGGCACTACTTCGCAGGAGCGCATATTTGGGAGAAAATAGGGGGGAAACACAAATAACTTGTGAAGCCTTAGCTGAGTTCTTCTAAGTGCTTGGTTAAGTCTTGCTGTATGCACACACACTCTTTCTGTAGAGCTTATAAGGAAAGCAATGCTTGCTGCTCAGAGTGATGGTGATATTTATTGGCCTTCTATGTGGGTCTTGTAATTATGCCCATCCAAAATATATATGTAGTAGCCTGTTAAGTGCTGACAGAAGTGGGACTCCAGAAACAATGATGCCTCTAAACACCAGTTGCTCTGGAGTCAGATCATACCCACCATGACTCTAGCCATTGATAGTGTTATCCTCTGTGTTTCCAGCTGTCTTTTGCAGCTAGCTAAGTTGGTGCCCATTGCTGTCTCCTGTAGGAAAAAGTTCAATAGTTCCAACTATGCATCGCGTGAAGAAATACATTTTTTTAACCTGTCCTGAGTCTTCCAACATTCACGTTCAGTGGGTTTCTAAAAGTTCTTGTGCCATGTGAGAATGAGGGGGGAAAACCTTTGTCAAGCTTTCCCCATGCCATGGCTAATTTCATAAACTTTTGACATGCACCAGGTCTTCTGTGATGTGAATGCAATGAGGATAAAAGGTCTGGCGCCACTGTTTTCAAACCTGTTGCATATTGGAGTGGATGCAGGGAACCTGTGGCCCTCCAGATGTTGTTGGACTGCAACTCTTTCCATCTTCAGGCAGCATGGCCAATGGTCAGGAAAGTTAGTTGAGCTCCAGCAACATCTGGCTGCAGCTTCCTCACTCCTGCCTTACATAGTAGTATTCACTCTAGATTCATGCCTTTTCTCCTTCCTGCACCATGCACACACTTCTGCCTGCTGCTATTGCTATTGATCATTTATATAGCAACACTACTGTGATTTGGCTTATCTTTAAAGGAATTACAAGGTTTGGACAGGGAGTCGTGGCTTTATTAGCACAGACACACCATTGCCACCTCATCTTTCAGTTGGTGAATACCTGTCACCTACTCATTTTGTTTTATATTATTGGCTTATTGGTACAGGCCTTTCCTCACCCCTTCCCCCAATCCTTTGTAACCAAGAGTAAAGACTTGTTGAATGTGACTTGAGCAGAAATTCTATTCTAATTTTCCTCAAGAAAAGCACAAGCCTTTATTTCCTGCACTCCTTCATACTGTGACATTATTTTATTAACCTCTGTCCCAATTTTATAGCATGTAGGCACAAGTTGTAATACTTTATTGTCCCTGAATGCTATTACTGTATGTGTTCATTCTACTTAAAAAACTTTAGCATATATAGCTTGCTGATGGAGCAGCGTATTTCTTTTTACAGAAGTGTTTACACTGTCGTGGTGCTTTTCCACGGTAGGTGATTAGTAGCATCTTTCATTCCCATGAGGTAAACCACACCATATGGTGCTTAGGTAAGCCACAAATATGTCTCTGTAATAGGTTTCTTTAAATGTGTTCTGACAAGCACAGTGCTCTTTCTGTTGCTTGTTTGTTCAGGTCATTACCCCCTGTGCCACTTTATTGCAGTGAGATACCTACAGTTTAAATGATTTTTCTCATATAAGTGTGTCTAATGGACAGAAATAATTTTTACTCATGCTGGTAATAGTGACTACTGATTGGAGGGTGGCAGCTATTCCTTACTATGTCCTAATTAACATATTAGGATCTTGGGATCTGCTGTCAGCGGCCTGCTTTAGCAACCTGATCCCACTCAGGGACTTTCCGTAGCTAACGTGTTTGGTCTTGAGGTTGTAAATTCAGATTGCAATGTGTGACTTGTCATTAGTTTGCTAACTCAGTACATGATGCAGGTGCCAAAAGGATAGTCTAAATATACTCTTTAAGAATGAACATGTTCTTTTTATTGAACATGTGAAATTACTTTAAACTGAAATTTTGCATGTGGTTTCCTGCTTTCTTTGTTTTAGTCAAAGCATTTATAGAAATGCCATATGGGAAACCATTGTATAGTTATGGTGATGTGTCACAAGTGACAGAAATGAGAGGCCTGCTTATAATTTTTTCTGTGTCCAGCAGCATCTGTTTCTCTGACCCCCTCTGACAGTTATTTCATTTTAATAAAACATATTAAAACAAAAACTTTAGTCTGATAAGAGTTTTGATTAATTTGGTCTTAATCCATGTATTATACTGCGACTTCTTTTTATCTTTATTTCTAATGTACCAGCCTCACTGCCTGCAGTTTGTTCTAATGTTGACTGCTCTGTCATTGATTAAACCAGCACTTGAAGCATGAAGCAAATAACTTCTGATACTGCAATCATTTGATTGAATAAGCAATAAAGAAACACTCACACTTAACACAATAGCCTTGTTACTAATGAATTGGGGAGAACAAAAATATCTGCACACTGTTTTCTTGAAACCTTCTTGGGCAGAACAGGACATGGTTCTACAGCTAATACGAGCTGCTTAGTGTATTGCAATATATTTTGCAAAGTACTTATTTCTATAGTGGAATATAATATTGGAATGGGGAGGGATGTTTGTGCATGTTGTATTTTTACAGAGCAGGACTGTGATCATGTGTGCTGTGATTTTGTTTTATTTTTCAATACTCAGTGCCCCAAATGCCCTCATTTAGGATCTTCACAGCACTGTTCTGATTCACCACATGCTGAAACCTTTCTAGTTTGCTTTGCGTTGGGGTCTAGATTCCCTTGACTTTGGGCCACAAGTATTGAAACAAAATGATGGGTCTCCACAGTGGAAGTAAACTGGCCATGTTCCTTTTGTCTGCCAGATGTTGCCTCAGTGACAGATAAGAAATGAACCTGCTCTTTTTTAAGTCCTGTAGAAATCATTTGCTCTGTCACAGTGTTATGCTGTTTTATGAGGTTTTCTAAATGTTCTTAGTCAATGGTGTAGCATAGAGGTTGAAGGGTTATTAGGGCAAACAAATATGTGACTCCTATTCCCTCCTCCCTAAAAAAAAAATCTCACTTTTCTATTTACATGTGGATGTGCATGGCTTACGCACAAGCTTATCTTCATCAGCCAACCTAACTTGTAATTCCACTTCATTCCTACTACATAATTCTAAAACTTGCCCAATATCCTACATTTTCACATATGGCCCAGATTCTGGATATTGAGGCCAGAGTCTTGCAGTATGTGTGCCTGACTTCAAACTAGGTGTTCTCAGATTTTCTGACAAGAGTAAAACCTTCCACATCTTAAATCTGCAACATGTGAAGACCGCATCCATGAGAATCACAGTTCTTTAGTTTATTCACCACTACAAGCATCAACTGAGTTTACACTTTGAGATTGGCATTGTGTTGAGGGAGCACCATGTTTAAGGGTTCATTTTCTCGTTCCACTGCAACACTGTAGTGTTGACTTGATCATTCACCATTAAATATTATCAGTGTCATAGTTCTCCATTTCAATCTTGGCTTGGTCATAGTCATCTCAGTCTAACCAGGTGGTTGTGAGGCTAAACTATGGGCACTGGTGGTGCACAATGTAGGCTGCCCTTCGCTCTTTGGAATATGGGTGGGGTAAAACACATGTAATTTTCGGTTGTCAAAAATAAATTCTGCAAATGGAGCCAATGGTGTGTGTTTTTCTGCAGCAGTTGTACTTTGAAACACTTGATTTTAAAAATCTGTTTCTTACTTTCCTTTCAGATGCTATACCCAGCGCTGATCAGATAAGAATAACTCCATCATTAAAAAGTCAAAGGGGATCAGTATGGACAAAAAGCAAATCTATATTTGAATACTGGGAAATTGAAGTGACTTTCCGAGTGACAGGGAGAGGACGAGTAGGAGCTGATGGACTGGTAGGTAGAATGGTTGCATTTGCAGACAAATCGGTTGTATGAACCCGAGGCCTAAAATTTAGATTTGAATTTCTCTAAATAGGCAGTCTGGTTTACAGAAGAACAAGGCTTAGACGGTCCTGTTTTCGGAGCAGCAGATAACTGGAATGGAGTTGGCATCTTCTTTGACTCATTTGACAACGATGCAAAGGTTAGTGGAAAGCCATACAGAATATGCACAGCAAATAAAGTTCTCTAATAGTGTGTGTAGTAGCCCTATTTTGTATGAGGTTCTGTAGACTCTAGATGCCCATTTCTTAAGATAGTTGATGCAGAACATGTGAATTTACAGCCAGTTTGCACTTGGAAGCACATCCTACTGAATTTAATGACTTGCCATAGAATTGCCACCTAAAATATATTTTGCAGAGCAGGCTCATAAACTGTCTCTTGTTGCCAGTAGTAGAATCTTAGCACAGGATCCTGTGAACATCTGTATCAGGTCAGTTGTTCAAAGGATTGGGAGGTAATAAATGCTTGGGTTCCTTGAAGATCATTTAACTATTTACATGGTATCCCATCATATATTGTTAGAGTGGATAGCATGTTGGGGCAAACATAAAATGATTTATTTATTTATTTATTTTGTAATTGCATTGTTGTGTTTTTAAAACAAAACCTTGACCCTTTCGTTTCCAAAAACTTGACCCTTTCCAAAGTGGAAACTTGTTCACTGGGGAAACTGTTATAGTGCATAATGCCCACCCATCTATGCAGATCGAGTGGGTATGTGCAAGATGCTTTCAGGATAATGTAAGGGTAGCTCTGCATTTGAACATATTCTCTGTTGAGCTAGAATGGATGCAAGTGCCTTCTGAATTAGGCAAAAGGGTCTGTCTCGTCTGGCTTTGTCACCAGATAGTTCTGATAAGCCCATAGATGGGGAAAAGGCAGTAGCTTTCTTTCACTGTTGCTTTTCAGGAACTGATATTCAGAGGTATGCTGCCTTTGAAATACAGAGGTTCCATGTAGCCCTCATGACAAGCTAGATTATGTTGCTTAGACCTGTTCTTCATGAGTTTGACTTCTTCCCTTCCATGTCTTATGTGAAAATGCAATAACACTGAAGTTGTTGGTTAAAAAAAAAAAAATCAAACCTAACTGTAACTAATGGTGGGGGGTAGAGAAGGAAGAGCAGCTTCTCTTAATCTCTGAATTAGCGCTCCTTTTGCATGAAGTCTAGAGACTTTTGTGTAAAAATCAGTTGCTTTTTCTTAAAAGTTTAAGGGCCTCATTCAGCCACCCAAAGTTATTCATGTTGGCAAGTCTTGCTGAACAGGTGTGGCCCAATATAAAGAGCTATTTCATTGGTAGGTTTTGTTGGGGTTTTTTGACTGCTTCTCAGTTATTTTGTTAGAGATAGTGGTATCGCACCAAGTCTTAAAAGTCCTTGGCTTTGATTTTTCCTGTTGTGTGTTAAGCTGTCCAGCTTTACTTAGCTCTTTTCATACTTCTGAACAATGCCTTTTACTGTTAATCATCTTATTCGTGAATACTAATGCTTCAAGTTGACGTTTATTCTCTGATAAGATATGAATAGTCTGTATCAAGTGTTATTATTTAATAAATTTCTGTATTATATGAAGAGCATGGAGCAGTTTACAGTCTAAAAACACAAAAATACATACAATAATAACAAACGAAAACAATACCCTCCTCCACACAGCTGAAAAGTTGTGTTAACTGGCTCTCTGAACACTTCATAGGCCCCTCACTGGCCCTGCTTCACAACCCAAGTGCTTTTTTTCCTGGCTACAATGTGTTCTTGAACTCTGATAATGCCTCAGATTACAACTAGTGCATGATCCAGGACCACAAGCTTCACAGAAGCATTGCACTAGGTTTTTTTTTACTATACGTTGCTAAGCAGCGTCACCTTTCAAGTTAGATGAGTTCTAGATTAGTCTTAAAAACCACTTTTGAGAGAGACTTTTATCTTGATATGTGTTTCCCCCTCAGAAAAACAACCCAGCGGTGATTGTTGTTGGCAACAATGGCAAGCTCCATTATGACCATCAAAAGTAAGTTCTCTGTGGAAAGATATTTGGAAGGCTTATAAATGAAAATTCTTGAAGTAAATTATGTTTGTTTGCTTTCATTTTGATTTCATCCTGTGCAATGACAGAGGGTTGCATCATGTTCTAAAATGAGCGAAAGCTGGGTGTATATTTGGGATTCCCCAAATACAGTTGTTTCTTTGTAAGCGTTTTAGTGTTGCATGTGCGCTGATGCAGATATCCTCGTTTTTTATTATTACTATTAATGAGTAGGAAAAATGAACTCAAAGCAGCTGAGAAACAGATATGAAAGCAAGGGTAAAAACAACCTAAAAGACAATGATAATAATAAAGGAGCAAATCGAATTCAACTCCACCCCACTGAAAATATGCAGAGTTGAGCTCCAAAGGCATTGGTGAATAGAACTATTTTTTTAACCTCATGCCTAAAAACAGATCAAGATGATGCCAGGTTTCATATCATGGCTAACAGTAGTTAGGCTTCCCTGAGTCTTTGCTAGGAACTGCAAGTGGTTTTTTAAACTACTTGCAGTTCCTGGCAAAGAGGGGATTTTTGCTGCATGTGGTTTCTTCTTTAGAGTGTACGTTAATGGAAATTATGATAAGTACCGTATTTTTCGCTCTATAAGACGCACCAGACCATAAGATGCACCTAGTTTTTGGAGGAGGAAAACAAGAAAAAAAATATTCTGAATCTCAGAAGCCAGAACAGCAAGAGGGATTGCTGCGCAGTGAAAGCAGCAATCCCTCTTCCTGTTCTGGCTTCTGGGATAGCTGCGCAGCCTGCATTCGCTCCATAAGACGAACACACATTTCCCCTTACATTTTAGGAGGGAAAAAGTGAGTCTTATAGAGCAAAAAATACGGTATTTCATTTCTTGATTAGATTGCTTGAACTTTATTCTAGTCATGGTGTCAACTCTGCACACCTGTGTGTATTCTACAGTGGTGCCTTGCAAGACGAAATTAATTCGTTCCGCGAGTTTTTTCGTCTTGCGGTTTTTTTCGTCTTGCGAAGCACGGTGTCGGAAAAGCTTTGGAAAAGCTTCAAAAATCAGCAAAGTCCTCAAAAACCTCAAAAAAGGCTACCACACCGCGTGCTATGAGTTGCTCCTCGAAGTCAAGTCACAACTGTATTAACGGTTTTAAGAAAAAGGAAACAAACTTGCAAGACGTTTCCATCTTGCGAAGCAAGCCCATAGGGAAAATCGTCTTGCGAAGCAACTCAAAAAACCAAAAACCCTTTCGTTTTGCGAGTTTTCCTTCTTGCGAGGCATTCGTCTTGCGAGGTACCACTGTACCATATTTCTGGTTTTAAAGTTTGTCTGTTCCCTCTTAAAGTGATGGTTCCACACAAGCACTGGCGTCGTGTCAAAGAGACTTTCGTAACAAACCTTACCCTGTTCGAGCAAAGATCACATACTACCAAAAGACGCTGACTGTATGTACTCTTAATTCTTATTATATTCTTCTCATTATACTTTTATGTGTGTGCATATTATAATGTTGCAGTCTCTGAGCAGGCATACTTCCTCAGGGATTTAAAAGCTGGGAAAGATTATTAATGAAAGCAAGATGTGTGTGTCTTTGTTAGGAGAGGCCAGGTAGTTTGTACAATCAGAGTTTGTATTCCATTTGTTTCTAGTTTGGCCTATTGCATCTTGCAGAACAACATTTCCCCCCTCTCAAAGCTAAACAGAAGTTGGGTGCAGTATGGGAAAAACGTGGCGCTGTATTGATTGCATTCATAGTAAGGACTGCAGGGTAACTAGGGATTATTATCATTCATTGTGCCTTTAGGTATAAAGAATGGAATTCTCAATAAATAGGCTGCAATGCAGGCTTGAAGTAACACATTTGATGGTGCCCCTTAATGGAAAGTTAAATAGTGTTTTAAATTACAATTTTATCGCATAATTTACACAGATTAAGGCTGCATTTTAATGTTTTAATGTTGTATTTTAATCTTGTTTTTAAGTTGTATTCATTCAACTTGTTTTTATTATTGGTTGTTAGCCGCCCTGAGCCCGGCCTTGGCTGGGAAGGGCGGGGTATAAATAATATTTATTGTTGTTATTATTATTATTATTATTATTATTATTATTATTATTTACACAGATTAAGATGTAGGAGCAAGCTAGTTGGCCTTGGGCATCACAATGAGTTCCTCACCATATGTTTGAGGGTGGGTACAGAGGAATTCCACTGTAATTGACATACATTTAGCATCTCTACGAAATCTCAGGTGGCAGAATGGCGAGAAACCCTCAGAATGCCTCTGCCAGTTGAAGTAGACCTATATGGGCTAGACAGGGAATTGGCCAAACACTGTATAAGGCAACTTCCTATCTTTACATCTCTCTCTCTTTAAAAGATATTGATCAACAATGGATTTACTCCAGACAAAGAAGACTATGAGTTTTGTGCCAAAGTGGAAAACATGGTGCTTCCTTCAAATGGATACTTTGGGATCTCTGCAGCAACTGGTGGCCTTGCAGGTGATTTTTAGTACTCAAGACATACCTTCTCTCCTTCCTTTTTAGCAAAGACTTCCCCTCTCCCTTGGGTAAATTAATAACTGCTAAATTGTGAAATGTCTGCCAGCTTAGTAACAAGAGAATCGGCAACCATGACTGGCACCTGATGCTAATGTGCTTTGTGGAAGTCTGCAGAAGAAAGGAATTAGACAAGGATGTAGAAGTTCAAGTCGTTGCCCTAGATGCGTTCCTTTTGGTTAAATCGCTTCTGGTTCACGGCACTTGTACATACCAGTGCTATTGGTGGGTGGGGTTGGGCAGAGACTCCTTTATGAGTTTCTCTTCCTGATGGAGAGGGATAGAGTCAAGAGCATTGGCTCCAGTAAGAACGCTTCTGTATAGCACTCTGCCCAGTCTAGGAGGGTGCTGGTTTTAACTTCATGGAGGCTCACGCTGATGTCCTTTAAGATCCTCACCACCAAGAGCTTTGGGAGCAGGGAGATTGTTGTTTGAGGAAATAGAGGCCCAAAGTCTCTTAGTGCCGTGATTGTGGAGTCTGCCACAGTCAGCTCTCGGGGGCCCCAGATGCTGACGGCCAGCCTTGCAATACATATCTGTCGATGCATCTCAGCAATCTTACTGTGTGGTACTGCTGGTCACGCAGTAGACCAGGTGCAGAGACGATCTTTCTTTTATACAGATGTCATTCTACTGTGTTGGAACAATCAGAGCTAATCACTTGCTGTGTTTGGGATTTTTTTTTTTACCCAGATGACCACGATGTCTTGTCTTTCCTGACTTTCCAGTTGACAGAGCCTAGCAAAGTCGCGGTAGGCATCCTTGGGCAATAAAAATTACTTCCCTCGATGTATTTGTGTGACAGGGGCTTTGTGAGAAAAGAGATTTCCCCTGTTCATGTCAGCACTGGATAATACTTCACTCTCACAGTTTGAAGAGTGTTTAAATGAAACAAAAGATGAATGTTTGGCTTGCAACTGGGGGAACTTCCTTCTTTTTATATATAATGGTGTTTTGGCAGCCATCACCCGTCTGCAAGCTATCTGTCAATTTGTGCTTCAGTTCTAATATATTACCTTAAATTGTACTTTGAGTCAATGATTCCTAGCCTTTGGATAAGGAGAAAAGAATTGCTGTAGAGTTATTTAGCTGAACGTTGCTTCCACATAGGTTCTTTAAGGTGAACGCCCTGAAGCCTTAATGATTGAGGAGCTGTCATTGACATCAATATTTGAATATTGCATTCATGAATTTGATGGGCTCCAGGTAGTAGGTGATGGCACGCTGGTTATGAAGTCCTTTCCTTAAACTTTGCAGTGTCTTGATTAAGCCTAGCCAAAAACACACATTGGGATGTCGGAAAACCACGATTGCTTGAATTCAGCAGCTGTAATGCATGTACAAGGTCCTGTGTGGTTGGGATGAAATTGCTTGCCCAGAGCAATGTGGGTGAGAATGCAATGCAGAACTGGATGCGGCTGTTGCTTTGAACTGATTGGATGCAGGTTAGAGGGGTGTGGTCTTCTTATTGTACCATCTGTCAACATGGTCAACATGATCTAAAAATTATTGGTCCATGCTTGATTGTTAGTGTGTGAGAACAGGCCAGAGGGAAGTGGTATATTAGCGATTTGTTAGTTCATTAGGAGAAAGTCATGTGAACAAATGCTAACTTTTCTGGCTGCTAATGGTAGGGGTAGGTCTGGATGCAGAATACCAAAGATATTTGCTGGAGACATTCAGAATAGCCTCCTAAACAAATTTCTCTTAAAATTGGTTTTATAGCCTCCCCCTGATACAGAAATTCCTGAAAAGGACAAAGAGAAATATCAAGAAGAGTTTCAGCATTTCCAGCAAGAGCTGGACAAAAAGAAGGAGGAATTTCAGAAGGAGCACCCTGACATGCAAGGGCAGCCTAGTAAGTGGCCAGGTAACTGGGAAGAGGGATGACTCGGTTTCAAATATTTGCCTTCTTGTGATGCATTCATCTTGATTTGCTGTTAGACATCTGCTATGGTAACATCTTAAACCATAATAAAAATAAGCTATGATTTTTAATGATTGAGCGGTATGGTTGTGCACCCTGCTACACTAGTGGTTGCTTCATTTTCACAATGCTTCTGCCAGGAAACAAGCAAGTGTAGCTTCAGTCATTCAAACCTGGGTTCATGACTTCCTTCTCTCCAAGCCAAAAACGAGTGGAAACCAAGAACAAACTTTGCGTTCTGCTGATGGTTTGGAGGGAAGCAAACCATGAGCCGGGTTTGGACAAATCAAGCTAAATGAGGCTCATTTCCTGGCATGATTTCATTGACATTCATTTCATTGACATTATTTACATATAAACACACACGGAGCACTGCAACATGGCTCCCTCTCTCTCTCTAGCATCAGACAGCAAAGAGAAAAGGAACAAAGGACAATAGTCCCACTTCACGGAACACAGTAACACAAACATCCTGTCTCCATCACTTCCCACTTTGTGGAGTCAAAACATACACCTTCATGTGAAAGCCAACAATCCCATGACTGCAATCACGGAGCAGGAATTCTAACATTGATAACGTATACCTAGAATGTCCTTTCAGTTTGTTTCTTATTTGTTTTTTAAGCGGATGATCTCTACGAGACTGTGAGTGATCGTGAGCTTAGGCAAATCTTCGAAGGCCAGAATCGAATTCATCTTGAAATAAAGCAGCTCAACAGGCAGTTGGACATGATTCTGGATGAGCAGAGGAGATACGTCTCTACAGTGGCAGAAGAGATTTCCAAAAGAGGAAGTGGTGGCCCAGCACAGCCAGGCCAGGCAAGCAAAACACGCAGTTCATGCATGTCTCTCAGGTCCCCTTCTTTGCCGTTCTTCACTAACTGTATTGGGTTTGTGTCTCTTTCTGTGTTTCCTTAAGGTCCCCCAACAGGAGCTTGATAATGTTGTAAGAACTCAAGAGGAGGTCCTGAGACAAGTCATCGAAATGAAGTAAGAGTGCATGCACAAAAGAGGACGTAACCCACCCCCACTTTGTTTCTGAGTTGTGTTTCATGTTGCCTGGTGCATATACAGAAGTGTTGGGACTTGGGATTTCCTTGCTCTTTATAATGCGCTTGAGAAAAGTGTTATCTTTGCTCACTTAGCCTTTATCATTGCAACCATGAATGATAGCAGAACAAAGAAAATTACTAATTACAACAAAACGAAATGTGCGCAATAATAGTTTAACTTACTTATCACACTACCGAGGAGGTAGAAAATTAGAAGCCGCCAAGGCAAACCCTACCTCCACCAATCCATTATTGCAATATCATTTTGACACATTATTGACACATTATTGCAAGAAGCCAACAGAAAAAAGAATTTCTGCCATTCAGACCTGCTTGTCCCCCCCCCCCCCAGCTGAATTGAGAATTTTTGAACCAATTGCAGAAAAGCAAGGCAATATAAACATCTTCTATAAAACCACTGCATTCTCTTGGAGGGTTTAGAATGTTTTTCTAGGCTTCATTTTTTATTTATTTAAAGGAGTAGCAGCCAACCTGATGCCCTCCAGATGTTTTGTGGGCTACAGCTCCCATCACCCCTGGCCATTGGCCATGCTGACTGGGGCTGATGGGAGTTGTAGTTTAACATCATCTGGAGGGCACTATACTGGGCAAGCTGCCTAATAGGAAGCCTCGTTACCTTCTGTTTATTTGTGTAGGGCTCGTTTCTATTCATTTTTCTCTCTGTTCACTGCTTAAGCATTTTACACTGTGCAGCACCCAATGTATTTACAGACTTCTAGGGGACTCTGAAATGTGAGCAAATATGTTTCAGTAAGGTTGTAGAGTTTCCCTCTAAAATAGCATGTGTTTGGGTAAACTGAGGTCGCTTTATGATGATGAAATGGGAGAGGGTTCCAGGTGGTAGGCCTGCAAAACCCAACAGTTCTGGCAGTGGAGTTTTGAGTAGCTGTGTGGCAAGGTTCATTGGCGCGAGAGGAGAGCTTTAGGGCTGATAGTTGAGAGGACCGTGTGAATGAGTGCAGGACAAAGTGTGGCCTTTGTGCCCTCTATGAAGTCCCACCTATGGAGCACTCTAAAGCAGCGGTAGCATGGCTAATGGTCAAGGATGATGGGAGTTAGTAGTTTAGAACACCCTAGAGGACTCCCCATTGGCTACCCCTCTTCTAAAGCTTTTGCCAGGAAGCGGGCACTTGCCTCTCACTCCCAGAGGGAGATGTACCAAGTGTCAACACATGTTCTTGGATACAGAGTAAGCACCCGCCCAAACAGTTGTTTCCTGACAAATGCATTACTGGGCTCTGCCCATCAGAATGCCTGTGAGCTTGTGTCGCCCCTGTGTTCAGTTTGAAAACAAGAGAGGGATATACCTTGTAGGAGATGTTCTTGCAATCTTCGCGCAACGGCTTTGAACCGTTAACGTTGATCACTGTTAATGGTTCAAGGACTGCTCCTTCAGTGTGCCTAAGTAGGTCAGCTTTTATAGAATAAAGATTATAGAATGTACTTCCATTTTCACCCTTGTTTCTTGGGGACGGCTTTTATTTTAATATTCTTGGCAAATCTTAATGCCGGACAAGTAAATTAGATTTCCTTGTTAACATCAGAAGCCTGCCCTTTTAGTGACTACTTATTAAGAAAGCTTTTGCGTAACATCATCTTAATATTTTCAGCTTGAGATTAAAGAATGTCTTGCGGATACAAAACAAAAACAAATCAGTATCCCCAACCCCCAGCTTCCTGGCCTTTGTGGCCATCGCCAGAGGGGGAAAGACTTACTGTCCTTGTAATTTTCATATCAAGATTTGTATGTTTCCTAATCGCTTCATTAGAAAAGACTTCTAGCTTATGTAGAAGAAATTGGTCCGCTTCCCTTTTTGACCAGAGCATTGTTGAAATAAAGTGCTCTGTGTTGAGTGTTTACTGGGATTTTTGATCCATAACATTTGCATTTCTGGTAACTTGACAAGTAGATGAGTTACTTGATTATAATCTTTAAAAAAACAACAACCTTACTTAAGCCTGGGAATTCCCTGATAAACATGTAACGGTCTATATTTTTCTGGAACAATATACACATGTGGCACGTAAACAGTTCTCTTTTAAACAATTGTCGGGGGTAAATGAGGCCAAGAGATACATTTCATCCAGTGACTTTGATGGCTTTGAGCCTTGGTCTCCTAAAACAGTATTCTAATCCCGAACCAACGTTGAGGAACCTGTGGCCCTTGGCTATGTTGTCTGGGGCTAATAGGAATCGTGATTCCAGCAACATCGGATGGGCCAGTTCCCAACTCCTGTCTTAAACAAGGTTCTGGGATCCAGGAGGCAGTTCAACTCCATGTTTTGCTAATTTAAATCTTATGCAACTGGTAACCAATGAATCATTCATATCTGCAAATGTTGCATCTTAACAATGCCTGCTTAAAACATGAAGCGTTTATGCTTAACTTCAGCACATAGCAACACTTAAATGAAGATGAGCTTTCCAGTGTGTTTGAATGTTTACACGAAGCAGTGATTTGAATCGGTTCTTTTAAGTAAAGTGGCAATCACTGTTATTATATGGCTGAATAAAGAGCTTTACTAAAGGCTACAGGGTAAGTCTCTGAACAAAGAGTTGCTGTGAAATCATCTTTTGTCCAAGCAAATGTGAAGTTTCAAGTAAATTAATAGAAGCAAATTTGGGGCATAGACTTTGATTATTCTGTTAACAATGAAAGGGATTATCATTCATATGATGATATGTCGCTGTAGATGCTAATCCTCTTTACAACTGGAAAGAGGCATCACAACAAGAAACTTATATGAACATATTGATTAAGAAACAGGCCTGCCTCCCTTATCCAATCAGTTTAGATGTCTAATATCACCAGTTACAGCATCTGCACTTTTTGTGGCTTTAATTTTCTTTTCTGTAAGAGCAGAAAATGAATTTATTCCAAGATAATTCTGTGTATTGCATTGATGCATGCGGGAAATGAAATTTGTCGTATAAAAGGTAATCATGGGCCATGTCTTTAAATCTTTGCTTATCCCTAAAGCATATTCTGCTGCTTGAAACAGATTTTAGCTTCCTTAGAGTTTTGACATCATTTAAAGCTTTGGGAGACTTGGATTCAGACCAGTCTTTGGAACAAAGTTGTAAGCCTTGCGACAGCCACAAAATATTTTATTGCACACAGCTAGGTTGCCGAAGTCTGACACTGAAACACTGCAAAGCTGCATCATCATCTGCAGAGTAGAATAATAGATTTTTTTTTAGAATTCATTACTAAAGAATGGTGGGTTTTCTTACTTTATTTTTCCTTTAAAAAAAAATTTATTTCACTTTACTTCTACTTTACTTGGGCACTTTTATACCACCCAGTCAACTGTGCTGCTGATCAATGCTGTAATCTACTTACCTAGGAGTAAATGCCATTTAACTCAGTGGGACCTAATTCTGGGCAGACGTGTATAGGACTACACCTGAGGAGAGTAGATATAATTTTCAAATAAAATTGGGGTGCAGGGAGCCAGACTTGGACTCTAAACAACATCTGGATACATACAGAATCTCCACCCCTTATGAAATGCATATAACTGTTGGGCTAGTGTAAGGGCTTTCCTGACGCCTATTCTAAAATGCCTTGATTTGGGGCATGTGTCTGATTGGCTCTCCACACCCAGACAACACACAAGGCTAGCTAGGTGTGCACCTCTGGACAGCAGCAAACACTCAAACCTGCAGCTTGACTTGGGAAATCTTGAGCAGCCAGTGAGTTGTGCTGTCTTACCTGAAACAGCCCAGTCAAAAGGGAGCTTTAACCCCACCTTCCTTGGACTGGGCAGCAGCAATGGTCGTGGTAGAATCTCACCCTTGGCTGCTCACTCCCATCTGCTGCATCTTGGCTCCATACATGGGAATAAGCAGTTGAAGTACACAAAGGAACTGTTTGAATAGAGTGCTTGCTCTTAGCTTGTCTCTCTTTTCCTTGGCCCTCGCAAGTAGTGGACCAAACAAACTGTGCTAAGAGAGTTGTTTGCCTCTGTTAGCTTTGCAGCTGTAAGGAGGCTAGAGAAGCTTTTGGTCCTCTCTTACGGCTGGTTACTTCCTTTGGGAAGGAGGGCGAACCTCTGTTTAGGAGGGGAAATATCACGATTGGGTTTTTTTGTCTCTTTCCAGGAACTCTGTGGGAGAAACACTGAGGCTAGTCAGTGGCAGTCAACATGCTGCCTCTGCTGGTGGAATCTATGAAACAACCCAGCACTTCAACGACATCAAGGAGCATCTCCATGTAGTAAAGAGGGACATCGAACATCTAGTCCAGAGGAACATGGTACTGCAGTCTCTTTGCTGCACTGTGTCTGCTTGCATGCTACCAAGGGAGTGTTTTAAGGCCTGGCAAGGTGCCAGGGTTGGGCATTTGACTTGGGCAAGGATCACTACCTCATAGGTGCTTGGATCCTAGATTGTCTGTGACAATGCTGATTGGCCCCAAAGCTTCAGAGCCGCTCAGAAGCCCCCCAAGGCTGCAGAGGAGGCCGTCAGACCAGGGCTGTCTTGAGTCATTTTGAGATTAAAGACTAAAATCCAAATGTCAACATTTGCCTGTAAAAACCTATACAGTGGTACCTCAGGTTACAGATGCTTCAGGTTACAGACTCCACTAACCCAGAAATAGTACCTTGGGTTAAGAACTTTGCTTCAGGATGAGAACAGAAATCGCGCAGCAGTGGCAATGGGAGGGCCCATTAGCTAAAGTGGTGCTTCAGATTAAGAACAGTTTCAGGTTAAGAATGGACATCCAGAATGAATTAAGTACTTAACCCGAGGTACCACTGTATTGCCACTCTTTTGGATGGAGTTGGCATGATAGCTCATCTACCAAGGCTCACTCCTCTACAGGAGACCCACTGCCAAGAAGCCCTGGCCCCTGCTGCTGCTGCTGCTGCTGCTGCTCCTCGTGGTTGCCTCTCTACCTGCTTTTTTCCCCTTTCTCCCTGGCCCAGAGGGAACTGACAGCAGCAATGAGCAGGAGGATTATCAATCACCCACCTGCTCACTTGACTATTGGGCCTCTTTCGTGGCCCGCAATGGCGTAACGGTGATGAAGGGAAAGCAGCAACATTGGGAGCAGTAGCCATGAGGAGGTGGTGAGAAAATTGTCTTGCCAAAGGGCCCTCCGGAACCTGAAGTTCTAGAGTGATGCCCAAAATCTCTGCCTGTCGGTAGGCTTGGTTACCTCCTGTGAATATACCAACACTCTGGTACATTCACAAGTATTCCTTGCACTCTCTTACACGGAAGCACAAGGGAAACCTTCCCTACTGCATATTGCATTTGCTGAGAAATTGTTCTCTTCCCTCTTGCTTTCTAGCCATCAAATGAAAAACCTAAATGTCCAGAGTTGCCACAGTTCCCATCATGTTTATCAACAACACACTTCTTTATATTTGTAGCAGTCCAGACTTTACTGTTCATCGGTTACATCATGTATAGGTAAGTTGGAATGCGTTTTGCATGCATCGTGCCAGAATAGAATTGATTCAGTGGCTCAAAAGTGCAAAACAGTCTCTCCTAAGCAGGCATCAGTAACTGCAGAGAGGGAGGTGTAAAAACCTTCCCTTGTCTGAACAAAATGAAATAAATGGTAGGCTTTGCCCTGTCATTGGTGCCAGGGTGACTTGGTAGCTAGCCAAAACTCCCTTTCCACCCTGCCCTCCCAAGGTCTTGCTTGCAGTGTCAGAGAGAGTTTCAGAGGTGCTTGGAATTTCTCAGGTCCCCTGCCCAACCACAGGGAGCCACCCTCTCTTGTCCTCCCAGTTCTGAGCTCAGTAAGAACCACCCTGAAGCTGTGTTGAGCCTCAGTGAAACTCTGAAAGTGAGATATCTCTGGCTGCTTTTCAGAACTCTGAAGCTCACTGTGAAGTACCCAGTTCTTCTCCAGAGCTTGAGTTTAAAGGCACACTCTGGTGGATTTCTGACTTAAAACAGTTTTTCTTAACCAGTTCCAGTTCTCAGAATCGCACACAAATACTTAGAAATTTTCTGCAGAGATGAAATCTGAGTGGGACTCCTGAGAAAGAGTCTCTTCTTTGTTTGTGCATAGATCCTCCATCTCTCTTGTGACCATCATTTCCAGGATCTTAACCACTTCATTATATTGTCTTCCATATTTCAGGAGTCTGGGCTATTTTTCCTCAGCCAGTCTGCATCCTAAAGCATCATCATCATCATCATCATCATCATAATATATTATTATCTATACCCCACCCATCTGGCTGGGTTTCCCCAGCCACTCTGGGCGGCTTCCAACAGAATATTAAAATACAATCTTAAACATTAAAAGCTTCCCTAAACTGAGCTGCCCTCAGATGTCTTCTAAAAGTCTGGTAGTTGTTTAGCATGAACTAAGATAATTGTGCCACCCCACCTTAAATTCCGCAGTAGGAAAGCTATGCACCCGTGTCCAGTATTGAGGCTGTTAGGTTAAGCATCTCATTAGCAACTGAAGCCTGGCAACTCCCAATAACATACCTCTCTAATCAAGGGTTCCCAAAAGTTCAAAGTACACTTCCGGGGGACAAAGAAGCAATTGCATCGCCCTTTCTCTTATGTCAGCTTTTAAGATTAGCACTGCCTACACCTTTTTCTTGCCCTAGGGCAGGGCTGGCTTCCCCCGCCCCCCAGCTTGAGTGTTGCATTCACCATACTGCATGGCAGCAGTGATGTAGGGCTCCCTCTGCTCCCCATGCAAATTAATGGCAAGCGTGATCTCTCTGCTAATTTGGATAAGGAGAAAAAAAGAGACACTCCTCCTGGCCGGCTGTAGCAATGGAGAGGAGGCTGGCAAGCCACTTCAAATGGCTTTGCGGGCCTGATTCTGGGGACAAGTGACAGATAGAGATTATGTTTGCTAGAAGTGCCAAGTTCTGTAGAACAGTAAGTGGACAAGATTTTGCAGGCTAAACAACACACTGCACGGCAATAGTCTTGTTGTCTCCTCTATTTGTGCAGCATGCCCTTGGGGAATAGTTGCTTTGAAATGCAGAAGAGCAACTTTTGGGAGCCACTTCTCCAGCCACCCACAGTTCCAAACTGGTGGAGGACAGAGAGTTTCAGGAGGGAAATGATTTGCACAGGAAGAGTTAAACGCCATTCTCTTCCCCCACCCACCCACACATCCCTTCTTTGCTTCAAAGTTCCTACTTTCAAGGATCTTCTCCAACAGAGTCACTACATACAGGTGTAGGTAGTTTGTCCCTAAAAGGACCAAAAAGTTAGTGCAAAATAAAGTAGGTTAAAATGGCCACACTTTCACAAAGCTTTTTTATTATTATTTGAAAGAACCTGAAACAATTTTGAAAACTCAGCCCTAACCACACTTTGGCCTGCATGTCTGAAGACTTGACTCAGTTGGTTCACATTCAGCTGGAGGGGTGGTTCATGCCCGTTCTGCTTCTAGTCTTAGCCCGTAAAAAAGGGAGCCCAGACTAGTGCTTGTACCACTCTGGCTGATGTTTGCACCCTTGCTCTGAATTCTAGATCTGGAGTTCCTAGATCTGAAAGAGGTACTGCCTTGCTGAAATGAGCAAAAGGCTTCCTGTGTTTGCGTCTGCTAATTTCTCTCCCCTTTTTGTTTGCGTGCAGGACTCAACAAGAAGCTGCAGCCAAGAAGTTCTTTTGATGGCCAGCCTGTACGCATCTGGTGTGTGCATGCAGAGCGTTACAGGAGTTGCAGATGAGGGAAACTTTAGTGTTTAAAATGCTTCAATATTTTAAATTATTGAGTGTTTACTGAATACGCTGAATTTCAGATAAAATGTAAAATTGACAATGACGCTGAGGAAGAAATGAGACCAGTTCTGTCCTTGCGTTTCCAGGAGATGTTGGAATATGCCCCTTAATTCTACTGTCAAGATACTTCCCAGGCAGAGAACTGGGACTGTGGTCCTGCTCGCACTGATTATTACATTATCTGATTTTGGGTGGGCAGGGGGCGGGAAGAGCTGCTGTAAAACATTTGTTACATATCAGATTTATTTGGGGTTGGGAAACCTTAAAATTGCATTCCCCTTCTGTTTTATGGAAAGAGGTTGCAAAACTAGCATTCATATCTTGGGCAAGTTCAGTGTGGTATGTTGCAAGCCCACCTTCAAAAATATTCACAATAACAGTGATCAGCAGAGACATTTAATCAAAAGGTCTTTAGAGCAACGATTCAGTGGACCAACACAAGGTGGAATTTTCTTGTGTGGCGACAACGGAAGAAAACAAGTCTGCCAAATACTGTAGTCCTTTCAAGCATGTTTTGGTATAGTTCTTCTGAAACTGACCATACTTTTGTAAAAGTGTTCTTTAACCTCTCTTCAAGGAAGAGACCTTAGCTTGCATGACTTTTTAAAATTAATCTGAGTTCAGAGTATATGATATAGTGGTGGTCTTCTTTTAAAAAAAAAAGTCACTGAGCAGTGTTGAAAACCATGCCGATCCTGCAGTGAACTCTTTAGAATGTTCTCCAAAATGTTGAATACCTTCACCTGGGAACATTGTGAGTGCACATCAACCGTTTTCTTACAAACTGGCCCATTGTTGATCATCCCTGCTTTTGCTGTACAGGTGTTGTTTATAATCCGCTTAAAGTTTTTGGTGCCTCGCCGCCTTATCATGTAAACACATTACATGGGAATTCCCACGCCCCAACTGAAAATACAGATTTACTCTTGCCTTGTTTACATCTTGCAATTCGCTCTTGTTGCCTTCCAAATTGCATTCAAATGGCCGTGGAAATTGTAGGCCTTTAATAGAATTTAAATCAGGATTTCTAACAATGTTTGACTTTAAGAATTGTATCCAGTGCTGTTCTTTTGCTTGTGGAAAGGTTTTTGACCCTGTGAATGGAGGAGTGAGGGGAGTGAGTTTTGCCAAATGCCCCTTCCCTTCACACCATCTCTGACTTTGCTGGAGGATTTGACAACCATCTGGAGCGGGGCTGGGGAAAGGCAATGGGGATTGCAGAGGAAATACACAATCAGCAAAAACTCACTTCTGTTCACAGGAGTTCTGCAAACGGAAGGACAGTATTGGAATCCACCCTGAACATTTTTCAAAAGGCAGCAACAGTCTACCACGTTCAGTATTACGTACGTTAAAGGCATATTGCCCTTGTCAGCTTGGAAAAACTGAACAAATCTATGCAATAGTTTTCTCCTTCTCAAATGAGGTCTCCCCCCTTCCCTCCCTGCCATGACTTCAGTAACATTATGTGCTGAATTATAGATGTTTCTCATCAGGCTTTTATTTACTGTTTGTTGAAGGACCTGCTGCTCAAAACTTCAATTCATAATATGCACATAAGGACAAATAAAACAGCAGCAGCAGCATTTTTAACTAACCAAAATCATACAAGAGGGCAAATTAACTTGCTCAGACTCACACCAGCAAGTATTTTTACAGGTGCCTTGGACTAAATGAAATACGTAAAAGCTACTGTTCTTTTTTTAATTAGAAAAGGAACATCTGCTCAAGTTTTGCTCCCACCAGCACCAAAGAAAGATACATCTTCTACTGCAGAAAGACTTTTCAGTGCTTTTTATGCTGAAAGAACTGATTTCAGTGAGATGTTTCTTTCTGAAATATCATTGGAGAAACGAGAATCTGCTTGTAGATGACATCTCTTATCTTCTTTCAACAAAATGTGAAACTTCCCAGCTGTGATGCATTCAATTTGAGAATTAAAATATTGAAGCAACCAGTGGTATTGTTCTCTTGTGTCCGGGTGGGATAAAACTGGGTCTTGAAGTAACCTGTAGCCTGGGAAGTAATACCAGAGCAATGCTTTTCTGAAAACTGCAGCATTTTGACCTATGTCTTGAATGGGAGTAGAAGGCTGCCAAAACACACCCCTTTTCAAAGGTGGTGTTCCAAACTGGTGCATCTTGACTTGGTGCTAGCAAAAAGAAGAGATTTGCTATGTGATCCCTGCCAATTCTACGCATCTAAACCGAGCTACTCCCACTTTTTCATAATTCTCAGCTATACTCTCTGTTCTGGTATGTGGTCAAATGTAAGCACATTTTCCAAAAGGCTACTTGTGTTAGCATTTCTAATTGGTGTAAATACTATTCCTTTAGACTGCAAGAGAACAACGTACGAATCCAGTTTTAGAAGCACTTTGCATAAAACCGGTGCTGTGTTGTTCACTGTTACACGTGATCGTGCTGATGATGGATAAAATTCAAACGAGCAAGCGCAGAATGTTCTTAACTATGTACAGACCACCTTCTATGGGTGAAACCTACTGTTTAATGGATAAACACTGCTGAAGATAACTTTGTATCGTCAACTCCTGTATGCTTAAAAGAAAAAGCTGTCCTCTTGTCCTCAAAATCCAAGCACTTAAAGGAAATTGGAAATGAATTTGAATAAAAGTACCTATTTTTAGCAATGATTTGTTGACATTTGTAATTTGTCAAAGCTGCGCTGGTAGCGGGAAGGAGGAACAAGATGCTTAAGGTGATTGTTTTAAAGTGATTCATCCTATAATATGAAGACTTATCTGTATACAAAGTAAAATATCCCAAGTTTCCCCCCAGTATTACTCAGTCCGGGTGGGTGGGGATGGCAGTCTTCAGCCTTCAGACTGAATGCAGCCTCCATACCTTTTATATCCTAGCAACTCTTCCCAGGCCCTGCTTCTCACTGCCTGGCCTTGACTGCTTCTGCGTGGCTGGGATGCCCTTAGAATCTTGACCACAACTGTGTCCATGCTCCCATTTAGTCTGCACCCACCACTGGTTTGAGAAGCGATGTGCACACAGCATTAGCCCCAATCCATATCCATCCTTTTCTTATGAAGTACAGTCATACCTCATGTTACGTTTGCTTCATGTTACATTTTTTCAGGTTGCGACCCGGAAGTACCGGAAAGGGTTACTTCCGGGTTTCGCTGCTCACGCATGCACAGTAACGCTAAATTGCGCTTCGCACATGCGCACAAGCGCCAAATCATGCTGCGCAGATACGGCGCTTCAGGTTGCGGGCTTTTCATGTTGCGAACGGGCCTCTGGAACGGATCCCGTTCGCAACCAGAGGTACCACTGTACTGCATTTTGATGTGTCTTCCCCCTTCCCTCCCTCCATGGGTTCCATATTTAATATGAAATTTTCTGCATCTTTTTCCTTTAGCCATCTGTTATGTATCTATTGTTGCCATAAATAATTCCACATTACAAGTGATTACATCCCTGCCAATGATTTTAACTGTTTACAGTGGTCTTTTAAGAATTTACTCCAGTCTTTTAAAAATACTTGATCTTCCGGGTTTCTGATCTTCCCCATCAGTTTCGCCGTCTCTGTGTTCGCTATCAGTTTTGTCCGCCATTCTTCTCTTGTTGGTACTTCTTCCTTCCTTCCATCTCTGGGCTAGTAGCATTCTTGCTGCTGACATTACATACATAAAAAGTCTCTTGTCCTCTTTTGATATCTCTTCACCTAACAGAAAAGCTTCCGGCTTTTTTGTTTTTAAACATTTTCTTTAATTCATTATATATCATTTCCCAGAAAGCTTTTACCTGTTCACAAGTCCACCACATGTGGTTAAAAAGTATCCTCCTTCCCTTTGCGTTTCCAACACAGATTCGAACTAGTTTTATACAGTTTCGCAATTTTACTCTGTTAGATACCAACCACACATCATTTTCGACTTCAGTGCATTTCTAAGCCACTAATGTGTACAAAGCCAATGTCTCTTGCCTGCGTGGAGAGACGTTGTGGTGCATGAGAGGAGTTACGATAGCCATCTTCAAATATCTTAAGGGCTGTCCCATGGAAGATGGAGCAAGCCTGCTCTGGACCTGTAGCAAAGGTTTCGAGTTACAAGAAAGGAGATTTTGACTCTGCATTAGGAAGCACTTTCTGACAGGAAGAGCTGTTTGACAGTGGAATGGACTCCCTCAGGAAGTTGTGGACTATCCTTCCTTTGAGGTTTTTTTAGCAGAGGTTGGATGGCCGTCTGTCATGGATGCTTTAGTTGAGGTTTTTGCATTGTAGGGCTTTGACTAGACCCTTGGGATTCCTTCCAATTCCATGATTGTATGATTCTGTGTGTGTGAGAGAGCACAGAAAACTGCCTTTCTCCTGTCTGGGATGTGGCCTAGTGCTTGAAGATAAACCTATTCATCTGCTCACATCTGCTTTCAGCCCTGCCCATCATGGTTTTCCAGGAGGTGATATTCCAGTCTTTTTCAAAATAATGATTGGCAAATTCACGGTGCCTTTCCTCTGTGGCAGCATTCAGAGCTGCAATGAGCTATAAACGTGGAAAAAATAATATACATTTAAAGTTGCTTTGGGCTAGTGTGTCTAGCTCAGTGTTATTCTACATGCCAACCTCTCCAGGCAAAGCTTATTGGGCTAGTGGGTTGGTTTTTTTGAAAGAATATATGAGAGCCATATCAGTCTTTTTAAATTTCCTATAAAGCAAATCAAAACCATCTTGGACAGCCTTGCCCAAGATGCTATCTTATTTCAAAAGGAAAGTTCATGTCTGCTGATTAACAAGTGATAAGCTTGGCTTACTGAACATCCTGTACTATTTTTAAGGAGTAGGGTGTCCTTTAATTAGAAAGGTACTAAGGTGGATTAAGGGATTAGCCAAGAATGACTCCTCCCATATGTCCAACGAAATGGGTGGCTCTGTTCGGAGGCCCATTCACATGGAAATAACGCAAACAGTTATTAAAGCTATACCCAGAAACGGTTGACACAGTTCTGTAGTGCTCCTCAAAAAGAGCATGTTACAGCAAAGCCACGCCGCTCCTCCAAACTATGTGGACTGTGCTGCAAAACCTTTAAGAGAAATCCCTGTTAGACATGCATTAAAATGTAACTCAAATCATGGGTATCCACCCCCTTAAAGAGGTACAGATTGAAAGAAGCAGTGTTATGAGCATAGTAGTAGTATTACCGTATTGGCCCGAATAAAAGCTGCACTCCCCACCCCCCCCCAATTGTGACCATCTGTGAAAAGTTAAAGTGTGGCTTATATTCACAACCTTACAAAAATCCAGTATGCAGCCAGGAGTCCCCTTGACTTTTAAATGTGTCGCTTATATTCTGGCCAATATGGTAACTACTTCCAGTGCTTCCTAATCTCTTTATTTGGTCGGCTTCTCTCTTTTATATCAGGGATAGGGAACCAAAGGTCATCCAGATGTTGCTTACTACATCTCTCATAATCCCTGATCGCTGGCCATGCTGGTTGTGGCTGATGGTAGTTGGAGTCGCGCAGCCTCTTCCCATCCCTGTCTTATACAATTTCACTTCTTCCTCATTTCTTTCATTCCGCATTATCAAAAAGGTTTCCTTCGCAGCTTGCCCTTTTCCTTTCGCACCACCAACCTGTTGTCAGTGCACAAATCTGGGTCTTCTTGTGACCAGCAACTGTCATGGCCTCAGGGGAGGGAGAGACACTGGGTTGATTTGCCAGTTGATTTGTTCTCAACAAAACTCTGCTATTTATTTTTGCCTATTTGCCCCATGCACCTGTTGTAAACAAAATCTGCCCTTTTTCCCTTATGGGGTATCCAAGAGCCCGTATAAAGTCCTTACGTGAGTTCCCTATTGGTAGGAGAAAATAACAGAAGCCAACTAGAGAATATTGAGAAGCAAAGCAGCTAGTAAGCCTGATCTTTATTGATCTGTTGCAACAGGGTGCTCCCCTCACATGCAGGAAAGTACGAGGACCCAGAGCCAAGGTGTGCCTGCCCTTATATAGACATTTTAAATTCCCTGCCCTGGAGCTGAAGACCACCCCCCAGATACATCATACCTACATCACAGAAAAGGCGGTCTACAACAGAAATTTGAATGTTGTTGTTTTTCCTGTCTGCCAGGTTATCTGATAATGCCTTATCTGATTGCCTTTCCTGGTAGTCTGTCACCCTTTGAGATGGTGATTTCCCAATTCCCGAGACAATGGGAAGGTTCCCTCCCTCCCTCCCTCCCTCCTTGCAGAGAAAACATTTGGTCAGTTTGGGAGTCAAAATGGTTTCAGGTTGGTCTTCCTCTGCTGATCTATGTACGTGCTTGGTTGGTACATTTATGAACATTTATTATATATATAAGACCTTAAATTTTATTATTACACACCACACACAAATTTGCTGTGAATTAGGCTCCAATGCTCCAAAGCGTTTCCAAACACCATTAAGTTACCGTCATTTGCTCGATTCAGAAGTGCTCCATCAAAGACATTGGTGCCTAAAAATAGGATGCAAGGACAGTCTACTGAGCCCTCCTTGCGACACTAATCCAGGTAAATGCTAAACTATTTGCAGCTTCTGCGTGACTTTGGCTCTCCAGCTAGTTATGTATATTTGAGTATAAATTTGAGAGAGGCTTAGTTCTGGCTGAAGGGATAAAGTTGTGTCTGGACTATACCACTTCAGGCTACCTTTTTTACATTTTTTTACTTCAGACTATAAAGAGGGAGTCCTTGAATGAAAGACTGAATACTCCACATAAATAACATTTGCTTCTCTGTGACATCCCGTTTTCTGTGTTCTGGGCAGGATTTTGTGATTTTAAAAATTAGGGCCCAGTCACATGAGCTGCAAATCATAGTCTGAAATTAGTGGAGCTCAGAGGTTTACCACCTCAGTGATATACACTTGTTAATCTCTACATATTGTTTTATTTTATTATTTATTGTCAACATTTATATATCACCATCCCTGCCTTGCAGGCCGTTTCCACCAGGCCTGAGAGGGTGGAGCCCTGACTGACTCCAGCTACAAAAGTTGTTGGGGGAGTTGTTGCTGTTGTTTTTTTGTGTGTCTTCATTTTAGATCTTCTGATTGGAAATTGTTAGGTTTGGTTGTGTATTTTATGATGTTTATAACTACTTTTGTTAGGTTGCGGTTATGTGTTTTTTCATGTTGTATGCTGTCTTAAGTATGGTTTGAACTGTGGAAAGGTGGCGTAGAAATAAAATTATATATGCCTGTACCACCCTTTGTCCAAAGACCACTGGGCAATTTACAACATAGAACTTAATAAATATAATATACAGTATTTCAAGGCATAACCCAATAGCCAGACAATACGAAAAAGTAAAACAGTTGTTATATACAGTTCTCTCATTCTTTGCTCTTTTTCTGGTAAAAAATATATGAAGTGTTGGTACTGGTATCTTGATAAAAAAATACTGTGAGTGTTAGGACAAAATGGCTGCCACAGGGAGCAAAAAAAAAAAAAAGAGAGATAACATTTCCATACTACACACTAGTACATAATGCATAATGAAAACATCAGGAATAACTTTCTGACAGTAAGAGCTGTTTGACAGTGGAGTGGTCTCCCTCTGGAGGTTGTGAACTCTCCTTCCTTGGAGGTTTTTAAGCAGAGGTTGGGTGGCCATCTGTCATGGATGCTTTAGCTGAGATTCCTCCATTGCAGGGGGTTGGACTAGATGACCCTCGGGTCCCTTCCAGCTCTGAAATTCTATGATTCTATGGTTCTATACTAAGCTACAATGTCAAAGTACAGTGGTATCTCGGGTTACATACGCTTCAGGTTACAGACTCCACTAACCCAGAAATAGTACCTTAGGTTAAGAACTTTACTTCAGGATGAGAACATAAATCATGCTCTGGCAGCAGGAGGCCCCATTAGCTAAAGTGGTGCTTCAGGTTAAGAACAGTTTCAGGTTAAGAACGGACCTCTGGAACGAATTAAGTACTTAACCCGAGGTACCACTGTGTACACAATACCGGCATCCCAGCAATAAACTCCTCTGCCCCTGCTAAATATGTTCGTAATCTACTACCCACTTCTCTGAGATGCAACTATAAAACATAATAGACATCTAATAATATAACTCACATCTAATTATATGTGTCATTAATTTCCCTCCTTATGTACTTGATTCTACATGCCGGAGTATGAATGACTGGCAGACAGAGAAAGATTTCCATAGAAGTTTGGCACAATGTTCCAATGGCGGACCACAAACCACTTCGGAATCTGAAAGAGCAGACCAGGCTGAAATCCAGTGCCCAATGGGATAAAACAATATTAATGGATAAAAGGATTGATTCTCGTTTAATGACGAATCCTATTCCCCCCTCCCTCCTTCCCTACAAATCTCTCTGGTCCATGGTTTGCTGACCCGTATCGCAGGATGCTCATGCAATCAACCGGGTTCCGCCATTTAAACTAAGCATCTCCCATCAATCGCAGGCATCTTTTGCGCTCAAAGGTCTTGAAACAACGGGCATCTTCCCATTGTCTCAATGTCGGCAAATTTTTGGGTGTTTTTTCTTTTCTAAAATGACAATTGGCTTAAGGTATTAATATAAAAAGTAGGTGGCTGCATCTAATGATTTTTTCCTCCGAGTAATCTGAACCATCTGCCTCTGGATACTAAGGAGTTCACTGCGCTAATCCAGATTATGGCTGACAAACTGTTTTCGGCGTAGAGTTTTCTGTAGCTCCGTGCCCTTCAAGATCTGTGTGCAAGGCTGTAGAAATTCCATTTGCCGAATAGTTTACTCTTTTTTTCTTTCGAGGTTGCGTCTCTCTGCTCTTGGCTGGTTTTTCAAATTTCGGAAGGGAGCCGTTTTTGGGGCGAAAGAAAAGAAGAACATGGCTTTCTTAATGAAAAGCATGTTGAGCAACCAAGTGAAAAATTTGGGACTTGGTGGAGGGGGTGACGAAGCCAAGGAAGAGGCAGCCCCCGCTGACCCAGCTGCAGCCGCAGGGATGACCCGGGAAGAATATGAGGAATATCAAAAGCAAGTGATAGAAGAAAAGTGAGTATAGATTCCTGTATTATCAGCTTGTAACTGATCCACTCTGTCTCGGTCTGTGCACAAGATAATAAAACCACAGGGGACGTATATGGGTAAAGTCTTTCTGCTACTTACTCTCAAGAAGTTCTGTTGATTTTTCATGTCACTGTCTCCTTGAGAATTACACCAGGGCATTTTAATTCCCTTCCTCCAGATTACTAAGAGAGGGGGAAAGAGAAACATCTTGAGACGTCCCATATAATGATAGCTTTATGAACAGAACCATATTTTTTGTGGTTAGTGCATCACAATGTCCCTCAATCCACTGAAACATTTTGACCAGTTCAACAGAATGCCTCATTCGGTCGGTTAGTTTTGATTTTATTTCTGTAGACTAAATGAACGGGAGGGGAAGTTGTATTCCCCGCCCCCCACCTAAAAATAAATGAATACATGGGGAATTAATGCTCAGTGTTATGTGAGCCTTCCTTTGAAAGTGCTATATAATGTGCTTAAAATAATCCCTGGCTTTTTTTCCTGCGATGAGTCATTACAATTATGCAAAAAAAAAGAAAAGTATAGTCTGTTGTAATTTAATTCTCTTTACCTAGAGGAGAATCTACTGATTTTAAAATCATAAGCCTTTTTATTTGTCCTTCCTCTGCCCAAACTTTCAAATATACAGCACACACAAGGAACTATTTTGACTTGTTAAAATGAAGCTGGGTATTTTTAAAGTTGTAGAAAAGCTCTTTGAAATGTTAACACGGTCAGATATACCAGTGATATCAATAATCTGCCTGTACGCTCATGTGAAGGAAAATGAAAGGGGTTCAGTAATAAAAGCATTAAAGACAAGCACAATTGCAACTCCAAAAACAATTGAATTTCAAATCCCTAGTGCATCATTTCGCTAATGATCAATTACATAATGGTTGTCTAAATCCCACATCTAAGATGATTAAGGGTGAAAGGTTAATGATCTATGGAATTTAAGGCAGACCAGGTTATATTTAGAAGTTGCCATTTTTGTGAGGTGGACTTCTAAACGTATGGAATCTTAAATGCAACTTCTTTATGCTGGACAGTTCTTAGCAAAAAAAAGTGTACATCAGGGAGCGGTCAACCTCCTTCCCTCCTTTAACACCTGGAACAAATACAATCTTTGCATAGGTGAAAGACGCCTTTCAATACTGCTTTTTAAGCCAAAATGCATCAAAGGTGTTTCTTGGTCGAGAACAGAATTTGCACGTATTTCAGGACTGGAATGAAACTTTTTACACAGAGAAGGGGGGAAAGCTGCCACTATGGAAATGGGTGATTAAGGTCACTTCTGGACTGTCACCATTTCCAGGTGGCATTCAGTAACATACCAGCAAATTCAGGTAGTGCCATTGAAGTTGTTTTGGAGCTCTTGCGCAACAAACCCGTCCACCATCCCCACCAATCAGACTTTTTGGGGTAAGCAAAGTGATGGGGATACGCCCAGCAAAGTGTGGGATGACGCCTGCTTGATCCAACATGGTATAACCTCCCCGCAAACAAATCGGAATGAATGCTCAATAAGCAGCTGACATCATCGCCCGCAAACCTTGTGCAAGCAAATCAGGATGAGTGCTCAATAACCAGGTCATCTGGAAGAGGCCCTACTCATCAAGAGAACTTGGTAATGGGCGCAACGTTCCCCCCCCCCCTTGTAATATCTCGGTTTTACAGCTGAATAGACCGAAGTTCACAGAGGTTAAATGACTTGCCAAAGGTCACACACTGAATCAGTGGATCAGGCTGGATTAAATGCCTTGTGACCCTACGGTTTTCCCTCTCCGGTTTTCCCTGTTTCCCTGTATTTGCGACTTCGTCAGACGCTCAGAATGCAGCAGTGCTGCCAAACTGTAAATTCTAGAAGTCTGCAAAGGACAAATGTGAGATAAAGCCCACAACCAAATAACCATGGACGTTATACTCTCTCGCCCTGACCTAGCCACTGTGATCCACGCGACGGTCACCTCCAGACTGGATTATTGTAACTCGCTCTACGTGGGGCTGCCCTTGAGACTGACCCAGAATCTCCAGCGGGTGCAGAATGCCGCGGCGAGACTCCTTATGGGGTCTTCGCTGCGAGATCACATTCATCCGGTACTATACCAGCTGCACTGGCTCCCGGTGGAGTACAGGATCAGGTTTAAGGTGCTGGTTTTAACCTTTAAAGCCCTATACGGCCTAGGACCCTCGTACCTACGGGACCGCCTCTCCTGGTATGCCCCACAGAGGAACCTACGGTCTGCAAATAAAAACATCCTGAAGGTCCCAGGCCTCAGAGAGGTTAGGCTGGCCTCAACAAGAGCCAGGGCTTTCTCGGCTGCGGCTCCAATCTGGTGGAACGCTCTGTCACAACAGACTAGGGCCCTGCGGGACCTGACATCTTTCCGCAAGGCCTGCAAGACAGAGTTGTTCCACCAGGCCTTTGGTCAGGGCCCAGCCTGACTCCCTCCTCTGGCAACCTGCACAGAACTTTGCTTAACGGTTGCCATTAATTTGATTTTAATTAATTTTTATAATGAAATGTTTTTAGAATGTTGGATTATTTGATTGTTTGATTATTTGATTGTTGTTAGCCGCCCTGAGCCCGGCTTTGGCTGGGGAGGGCGGGATATAAATAAAATTTATTATTATTATTATTATTATTATTATTATTCAGCCATGAAAGTGACAGCACTGGGGACAGGGAATCAAACTGATGATCTACACCAAGCTTCCTTGGCCATCCAGATGTTTTTGGCCTACAACTCCCATGATCGCTAGCTAGCAGGACCAGTGGTCAAGGATGCTGGGAATTGTAGTCTCAAAACATCTGGAGGGCCAAGGTTGAGGAAGCCTGATCTACACCATACCTTGAAAACACATAGCTCCACCCCATCCCCCAAGAATCATGGGAATTATAGTTTAGCCCCATACAGAGCTATAATTCCCAGCATCCTCAAAAAACTATAGTTTCCAGGATTCTTTGAGGGAATCATAGAATTGTAGAGTTTGAAGTGACCCTGAGGGTCATCAAGTCCAATCCCCTGCAATGCAGGAATCTCAACTAAAATGTCCATGACAGGTGGCCGTCCAATCTCCGCTTAAGGAAGGAGAGTCCACCAGCTTCCGAGGGAGTCTGTTTCACTGTTGAGCAGCTCCTACTGTCAGAAAGTTCTTTCTGATGTTTAGTCGGAATCTCCTTTCTTGTAACTTGTAAGCCATTGGTTTGGATCCTACCCTTTGAATTAGGAAAAAACAAGCTTGCTCCATGGGATAACCCTTTAGATATTTGAAAATCTCCTTCATATCTCCTCTCAGTCTTCTCTTATCAATGCTAAACATACCCAACTCCCTCAACCATTCCTCACATGTCTCGTTTCCTAGACCCTTGATCATCTCTGTCGCCCTCCTCCACACATGTTCCAGCTTGTCAGTAAGCTTCTGAGCTTTGGTCTGCCTGACCTTGTCCATACAGCTGTTGACTACATGACTATACTCTTCCTTTGCCATTTCCCCTTTCTTCCATTTCTTATACATGCCATTCTTAAATCTCAGTTCATCTGTAAGCTCTTTATGCAGCCACACTGGTTTCTTAGAGGCCTACCACTTTTCTTCCTTGTGGGAATGGTCTGGATTTGTGCTTTCAGTACTTCACCTTTAAGAAACTTCCATCTATCTTGGATTCTCTTCTCTCTCTTTGAGTATTTCTGACCATGGGAGATCATTTGGTAGTTCTTTAAGCATTTTGAAAACGGCTTTCTTAAAATTCAGAGTGCATGTTGAACTACGCTTAACCTTCCCTCGCCTCTGTATAATGAAACCCAAGAGGACACAATCACTTCCTCCCAAGGTTCCCTGTACTTCTACTTCATTGAACAGCTCCTTCCTGTTGGTGAGGCCCAGGTCTAAGATAGATCCCCTTGTTGCTCCTCCCACTTTCTGGGAAATGAAATAGTCAGCGAGGCAATAGAGGAATTTGTTGGACCTTACATTCTTGGCAGAGATACCCCAACAGATACTGGGGTAGTTGAAGTCTCCCATGACTACTATATCTCTCCTTTTTGAATGTTTGGCAATCTGCTGTAGGAAAGCATCTTCCAAATATCCAGTTTGGCTTAGAGGTTTATAGCAGACACACTGAAAGGTCGCAGCTGTTTCTCTCTCTTACAGTTTTTACCCATATACTCTCCATCAGCCTTCCATGCTCCAGGTCATGGTTCTCTTCACATGTATACACACCCTTTACATATAATGCTACTACTCCTCTCTTTCTGTCTGGTCTATTCCTTTTTAATAGGTTATGCCCCTCGATTTCTACATTCCAGCTATGAGTCTCCCCCACCAGGTTTCAGTAATGCCTATTAGGCCATACAGTGGTGCCTCGCAAGACGAAATTAATCCGTTCCGCGAGAGTCTTCGTCTAGCGGTTTTTTCGTCTTGCGAAGCAACCCTATTAGCGGCTTAACGGATTAGCGCTATTAGCGGTTTAGCGGCTATTAAAGGCTTAAAGGCTTAGGGATTAGCTGCTAAAAGGCTATTAAAGGCTATTAAAGGCTTAGCAGATTAGATAAAGGGGGGGAAAGCGAAAAAAAAATCTCTAGACTCGCAAGACATTTTCGTCTTCGAAGCAAGCCCATAGGGAAATTCGTCCTGCGAAGCAACTCCAAAACGGAAAACCCTTTCGTCTAGCGGTTTTTCCGTCTTGCGAGGCATTCGTCTTGCGGGGCACCACTGTATTTGCAAAGAAGCAGCTTCCTTCTGAACTCCCATCTTTGCATATCTCTCCAGGATGATCATGCAGTATGGTGCTACATATCCAGTAGAAGTCTTCTGCTAAAAGCCACCCCTTGACTGGTGATTGAGGAAGGCACCATTCCAACCTCCCCTTGAACTTTGCCTTCCTTCCACACCCATCCAAAGGCCTTCAATTCCCAGTTTCAGAAGCATGGCTTTAAGCTAAGTGCTTCCTAGAGGCCCAAAGCAATGGACATGTCCCTATGAACATCCATGTTCAGAGACAGTAGGTGCTAAGAATACCATTCTTCATCTTGCCTATCTTAGGGGCTTCCTTAAAGCCAGTCCTGGAAGCAGGATGCTGCAGTAGATGGAACTAATGTCTGGTCCAGCACAGCTCTTTAGATGCTGCCCAGCTACTAGTGTGGTGTAGTGGTTAAGAGCGGTAGACTCGTAATCTGGGGAACCGGGTTCGCTTCCCCGCTCCTCCACATGCAGCTGCTGGGTGACCTTGGGCTAGTCACACTTCTCTGAAGTCTCTCAGCCCCACTCACCTCACAGAGTGTTTGTTGTGGGGGAGGAAGGGAAAGGAGAATGTTAGCAGCTTTGAGACTCCTTCGGGTAGTGATAAAGCGGGATATCAGATCCAAACTCTTCTTCTTCTACTACTAGTATAGCTGATGTATGTTCATTTCACTGAATACTAGTTGCTGGAGGGAGCTATTGCCTTCACGCTCTGCTGCTGGACTTCCCAGAGGCATCTAGCTGGCCACTGTGAGAACAGGATACCCCTGGTCTGACCTGGAAGGGCTCCACTTATGTTCTTGCTTATTTGTTTTTACAATTTATATGAAATAGTCTCAAAATCGCAGTACTTTGAAACCTTGAGGTCCGTTCTTAACCTGAAACTGTTCTTAACCTGAGGTACCAGTTTAGCTAATGGGGCCTCCCGCTGCTGCCACGCCACTGCTGTGTGATTTCTGTTCTCATCCTGAAGCAATGTTCTTAACCCGAAGTACTATTTCTGGGTTAGCGGAGTCTGTAGGGTTACAGACCTGAAGGTCTGTAACCCGAGGTACCACTGTACAAAAAAGAATAAAAATCAGTTAAAACTATGAAATCAAACTTCAGTTAAAATGCCTGCTGGGTGAGATAGATAGATAGATGATATGTTGGACCTCCTCTGGATGGGAGTTCTACAAAACTGGGCTCCCCGTACTAAACACATGGCTTCTGGTGGATCCAAGCCATGGGAGACCAGTAACAGTGGCTCCTCCAAAGACCAGGTCTGAGACAGCTCAGTTGGCATGAGACTCTTAATCTCAGGGTTGTGGGTTCGAGCCCCAAGTCAGGCAAAAGATTATCTGCATTGCAGGAGGGTTGGACTAGAAGACCCTCATGTTTCCAACTCTATGATTCTATGATCTCAGTAACTGGGCTGGGATATATGGGATTAGGCAGTCCTTGAGGTACCCTGGGCCCAAATGGTTAAGGCTAGAAATGGGTTAGTGTGTAATGCAGCCCAAGACTAAGACGGAGGACTCATTGTTGAGAGCTGGTTGCTGGGAGTAAAGTACAGTTCACAATATTCTTTGGGATTTGGGGGGGTGTGTGCTTTAAGTGCATGGTGTGCATGTAATCATTTCCTTCATTATGTTATTAGAATATTTATCTTGCGCTTGTGTGGTTTTCCGCAATGTCTTCTTCTGTGGTGCGGCCTTCCTTGCCAATTTCTTAGCCATCCATGATGACAAAACCTCCCATATCTGTTCCCAGGATGGAAAGAGATGCAGCCTTTGCAACAAAAAAGGCCGAGAGAGCCGTCCTGAGGGTCCATTTGCGAGAGAAGTACAGACTCCCAAAGGTAAGATCAGATGTGTTTGGGGTTTGGTTTTTTTAAAGCAAACTTTTGTTTTAATGTTTTCCCTCTGCCCTCTGACTCAGTAGCCCAGGAGCTGGCAAACTAAGGTCTGTGGGCCAGATCAGGCCTAATTGCCCTCTGGATCCGGCCCGTGGATGGTCCTGGAATCACCGCTTGGGTCAGCATGATCGTTTGTGCTGCGCCATATTTTTTTTTGCAATTTTTTTCAGGCACCATTTTTTGCCATTCCCCACCCCTTCACACACACTGCGGCGCCACCTCCTCCCTCCCTCTTCTTGGCTTCTCCCCGCCCTGCGGGGGAAGGGAGCTGGGCTTTGATTGGTGCCAGCCAATCCGAAGCCTTGCCGCCTGCGCGCTAAGGCGCGGCCCAGACTCACCACCTGCCTGCCAGCCTCTCCGTCCATGGCCACGCAGTGGGCATCATGACGGGCACATTGCGGGGCTTCAGCTGGAGCTTGGTGCGCCTGCTGGCCCTGTGCCTGGTGCCCAGGAAATCTGGCCCGGAAAGGAGAGGCGCCTCCACCTCCGCCGGCTCCCAACCACAGGCAGAGTGGAGGAGGAGGAAGGAAAGCAGGGGCAGGGGTTGGGGGAGAGAGAGAAGCCCCCCTCCGCTGCGCGTGTGTGCAGTCCGGCCCACCACAAGGTCTGAGGGACGGTGAACCGGCCCCCTCATAAAAAAGTTTGCTGACCCCTGCAGTAGCCCATCATTTTTAAACAAAATGTAAAATGTCCCTTGTTGGGGTTGCAATCAGTACAAGAAGGAACAACATAGATTGTTTAACTATTAACCTAAAGATATATATGTGTGTGTGTTCTTGCCTACTTATCTGTGTGGGGAGAGAGAGAGAGAGAGAGAGAGAATACATATACATATACATATACATATACATATACATATACATATACATATACATACATGCCTCACAAGATGAAATTAATCCGTTCCGCGAGTCTCTTCGTCTTGCGGTTTTTTCGTCTTGCGAAGCACGGCTATTAGCGGCTTAGCGGCTATTAACGGCTTAGCGGCTTTAAGAAAAAGGAAACAAACTCGCAAGAACTCGCAAGACATTTCGTCTTGCGAAGCAAGCCCATAGGGAAATTCGTCTTGCGGAACGACTCAAAAAACGGAAAACTCTTTCGTCTTGCGAGGCATTCGTCTTGCGAGGTACCACTGTACATTTGGAAGACATCTGAAGGGATGTTTTTAATGTGTGACATTTTAATGTATTTTTTATCTTTGTTGGAAGCTGCACAGAGTGGCTGGGGAAACCCAGCCAGATGGGTGGGGTATAAATAATAAAATTATTATTATTATTAATATATATATATATATATATATATATATATATATATATAATATTACACACACACACACACACACGTGGAAAAGTACGGTAGAATTGTTGTCCTCTCCAACCTGATTTACCAGAAACCCCCTGTTTTCAGCAACAGGTTGAAGATTTCTTTTTCGGTGTCCCTTCTCCTGTACATTAAGCAGCACCCTGGGATATAAAAACAAAGCGAGTGACACCTTTTAGGGAGAGAGGGCTAGTTTTCAGAGGGCAGTCCTCTGTTCAAAGATGGAGGGCTGCTCAGTCCAGGCCTGGTTTAAAGATAAAGAACCATTATTTAGGGAGAGCAGGTGAGGCCCCTAAGTTGCCCATTAGCAGTGAGCACCCTGGCAGCATGTTGTACAGGCACACAGATCACACACTCACTGTATTTCCCACTAGTCTTTTCCACTATAGTGCTATTTAAATTACTTCTCAATTTGCATGTGTATACATTTAAAGATGCCTATGCGAATTGAATGCGAATTCCCTGCCCCACTTTTGTCCTCTTTCTTGGCAATGTATATAAACTGAGATCTTCAGTGCTGCTGATGCCTTGGGGGTGAAGGGAGGGGAGAGCAACTGCAAATAGCCTTCCACTTGCCTTTGCCTCCCCCTTTCCCTCCCCCCAAATCCACAGTATATCCAACCTTTCGTTAAAATGCAACATCTCAGAGAAAACAGACCAAACCCATAAAACCACACCTGAAAAACAGCAACAATTCGGCAGCAGAAACACCAGTTCCATACATCAGCCGCCTCCAGAGGCCCGAGGGAAAGAATATGTATTAACCTGACACTGAAAGGCTGTTATTGGAGCCGGGGGGCGGGGGACATGACACAACTGTCTGCAGTGGAAGGGAGTTCCACAGCCAGGGTGCCATAACACCCTGAACCACGTCTAACGCAGATTTAACGTTCTGCCACCCACTAACATACAAACGGGAATGTCTTAAAAGGTGTGTATCTGAACATTAGTGGAAGCAGGTAAGGTGAATGGCAAAGCTACCTGGGGAGCCTAATGCCTTTTCTACAGGAAGTTTAAAGCTTTATATAAGTCTGAAGTGTTTTTCATCACCAGGCCAGAACATTGCGTGACTACAGTCTGCAATCGAATGACATGGTGGCTAAATCTTGGTTATTAGGTTTTAACAGCTGGACTTAGTTTCTAAGTATAGAGAGAGAGGCTGTGTGACTTTCTGCCTGTATTTGGTTTACTGTTCAGCAGTGTAAAGCTACAAGAAAAATCCTGTGTTAGTAGTTCAGCTCACATTCTGAGAGTATTGTTACACATGCTCCAATTCAAGCAGTGAGATTTGATGGGTTTCAGTTTTTACTCTAAGGTTTCTCTTGCCACATAAGGAGCCTACAAGCCTTAAATTTGAAGTTTGAATCCTAGAGTTGGAAGCAACCACAAGGATCATCTAGTCCTGCAATGCGGGAATCTTTCACCCGATTTGGGACTCGAACCCATTACCCTAAGATTACGAGTCTCATGCTTGACTTACAACTAAGAGCACAAAGCATAAATGTATTGCAATAAAAGTCATGCACTAATCAATAAAACAGGCCCTGTAAAGCAGCAGCAAAACTTCAGCAGCTAAAACTTACTACCGATAGACAGAAAAATAACCACAATCCATCAAATGCCTGGGGAGAAGAGTGTTGCGAAAAGGATGTTAATGATGGCGCCAGGCAGACCTTGCTGGGAAAAGCATTCCACAAGTGGGGAGCCACAACCGAAAAGGCTCTCACCTTGTCACCATCCTTCAAACTTGCTGGCGGGGAGGGCACCTGGAGGATAACCTGAGGGGAAGAGCAAAGGGTCTGGATGGGTTCATATTGGGAAAAGTGGGGTGAGAAAAACGGTAGCTTGGTATTGAAACATTGTTTATTGTCTGCGTTAGTCGAAAGCTCACTTTTGCTGTGCCGTCTTAGAAGGGGCATGGTTAAGGAGGTGCGTCTATGGGAGCGGTCATGAAGGGCATCTGCACTTCAGCATGTATCACTTTGCCACTGGTTGGCACAGGATATGCCTGGTCAGGATCAGACCAAACCATCAATTGTGTGTATGTGTGTGGTGGGGTCCAGCCCAGCCACAATCTCATAATGATGTTGTTCCAGGTGGGCATGTTCTTTAGGACTAACTCCAAAAGCTGCAGATCCACAGGGGTGGCAGCCTTGTGTGGTCAACATGGAGAGCCCAGGCGCATAGAATTGTACGCACACAAGTAGGAATTCAATGCTGTGCTAAGGTCATCATTCCGTCAGGTCAAGCATTTCAGTCTGCCAGACAAAACGATGGCCCTTTCCTCCCTCTGTGCACTGTTCCAAACATTCTCTGACTCAGCCCAAGACAATTTTGGTGGGGCATAGGGGAAGAGATGGGGGTAAAGGGCTTCTGCTGATGGCACTCACTACTTGAACCCCACCCATAACCTCTCCTTTCCAGATATCCTGCTGAAGGCTTGAAAGCCAGTGGGGCTGGTTCAATGGCCGTAGTGCTACAGTTCCCTATCCTTTTGTTTACAGACCAAAAGGAGCAAAGAGGCCTTTATCGTTGTGAGTTTGTTGTCTGGTTACACTGCAAATGGGCCTATCACCACTGTTTTGAGTCCAGATGTTTGCAGATACCAGCCCCTCAATGTGTCCCTATTTTCCAGGGACATCCCTGATTTAGAGAATCTGCCCCGGTTTCTGATCAATCCCAGAATATCCCCCTTTTCCTTAGGATGTCTCTATTTTCACTGGAGAAATGTTGGAGGGTATGGAGTTATCTGCATAGCTGTCAACGCTTCCCATTTTTAAAGGGAAATTCCCTTATAGGATTCCTCACAAGAAAAGGGAAAAGTTGACAGCGATGGTTATCTGACCCCCAAGCCATCTGAAAACAATCCTGTATAGGGAAGTTCTTTAATGTTTAATGTTTTATTATGGGTTTTTTTATATCTGTTGAAAGCTACCCAGAGTGACTGGGGCAATCCAGTAAGATGTGTGGGGTGTAAATAGTAGAATTATCATTATGGAATGGAAGGTCCCTATTTTCACCAGAGGAATGTTGGAGGGTATTAAATACTCAAAGCTTTCCTAAGAGCTGTGGGGTGGTCCCCAGAATGGGCACTTCACTTGAAGTGGTGAGTCTTCAATGAGTGCACTTGGCAGGTCTGTGTGAGAAACAACCGTTACAAAGAGGGGTTGAGAAAGCGCAAGGGCCATGAATTAAGTCAAGAATTGCACAGTGGCATATCATTGTGGTGTAACGGTTAGTGTTGGACCAGGACTTGGGAGACCTGGGTTTGAATCTGCACTCAGCCATAAAGATCACTGGGCAGCCTTGGGCCAGCCACTGTCTCTCAGAACAGCCTACCTCACAGGGTTGTTGCATGAGGATAATGGGTTGGGTGAGAACCACCCTAGGTACACCACCCTAGGTTCCTTGGAGGAAAAGGTGGGACATAAATGTAATAATAAAATAAAATAAATAGAGCCAGATTGTCAAGAGTTGTGTGCAACAGGGAGGCACTGGTTGATCCAGGGTAACCCCAAGGTTTGCAGAAGCACAACATTTTGTTGTTGTTGTTGTTGTTTAGTCGTTTAGTTGTTTCCAACCCTTCGTGACCCCATGGACCAGAGCACACCAGGCACTCCTGTCTTCCCCTGCCTCCTGCAGCTTGGTCAAACTCATGCTGGTAGCTTCGAGAACACTGTCCAACCATCTCGTCCTCTGTCGTCCAATTCTCCTTGTGCCCTCCATCTTTCCCAACATCAGGGTCTTTTCCAGGGAGTCTTCTCTTCTCATGAGGTGGCCAAAGTATTGGAGCCTTAGCTTCACGATCTGTCCTTCCAGTGAGCACTCAGGGCTGATTTCCTTAAGAATGGATACGTTTGATCTTCTTGCAGTCCATGGGACTCTCAAGAGTCTCCTCCAGCACCATAATTCAAAACCACCAATTCTTCGGCGATAAGCCTTCTTTATGGTCCAGCTCTCACTTCCATATATGGTGTGTGTGTGTGTGTGTGTGTGTGTGTGTGTGTGTGTGTGTAGTGGGGGGAATCTAAGTGGGAAACTTCCAAATACATCCCAGAGAGGACTAAGGCAGAAAGCAGGCAGACTGTTGAGAGGGAGTGGGAAAGAACTGAAAACCAAGTGTGCACACAACTGGGGCTGATGGACATTGTAGGCCAAAACATCTGGAGAGATTCTAGCTTGGCAAACGTAGATTTAGCCTCATGTGTATTTTGGACTTGAGCAAATGGAACATCATAATTCCGTCCTTATGATCAGTTTACTAACTGATATGAATAGTGGCAGGAACGCTTGGGCATCCTGAACATTTTAAGGCAGGGATGGGGAACCCCTGGCTCCCCAGATGCTGGACTCCAATTGCCATCAGCCTTGCATGGCCAATGATGAGAGATGTAGCAGTCCATCAACATCTGGAAAGCCGCATGTTCCCTACCCCTGCTTAAGGCATTGCCAAAAGAGGGAATTGATTTACCCGGGGCAAGAAAACTGGGGCTGTCCTTAGGTGAAGGAAATGGAAAAGTAAACGCTTCATATATAAAACATGGCATTCTTCAAATGTTTAAAATGCTCCGTTCCTCAAACCACTCAGCCAAATGAGTGTGGTGCACTTTGAAATTCCCTTTCCCATTGTAATGCTCCCGTTTAATCCAGTGGTAATGCAAGCAAAATTCAGAGCCATTTGAATCAGGGAGACGGATACATTAGTTTAATTGGGGATTAAACCAAATTCATCTTCCTACTTCTGACCGCAGTGAACGTGCATATCCACACTGCAGGCTCCAACTGGCTTAGGGAACTCTGGGAATTATACTTCTCTGAGGGGCAAGAGGAATCTGGATCAGAAATTGCTCGGCACTTCACGGGGCTACAGTTCCCTGACTTTAGTCTACATTGCTTTGGGAGGGAAATGGGTCTAGTAGACCCAATTTGAGTCGCACAACTCAAATTGATTATTTTTGTTGTTGTATATATTTCAGCAACCCTAAATTTTGAGAGTCAGTAGCACAGATGTTGTAAACAATCCCATTAAAGAAGATAACAGTGGTTACTCAGAGCTCGTCAGTGGTTGCGGAGGGTCCCCATAACAATTCAAGCTTCAGGGGGCCCCAAAATGGATGTCCACCACTGCTAAGACCCCATGATGATTTTGTTCATCACTTGTATCTCTCTGCGCAGCTCGATATTCTATACCTGATAGGCATCAAAAGAGGTTGGTCTTCCAGATATGCAGACCAGAAAGAGCAGATCCCCATTTGTCATGCGTTTGTGGCATTGCTAGAGTTACAATGAAGTCCAAGAAACAAACACAGATAATGATAATAATAATTTTTTATTTATATCCCGCCCTACCCCGCCGAAGCCAGGCTCAGAGCAGCTAACAACAGTAAAATGCTACAACATTCTAAAATCAGTTCATTATAAAATCAGTTCAAATCAGATTAATGGCAACCATTGGGCTAGAGTTCCGTGAGGATTGCCAAAGGAGGGAGTCAGGCTGTGCCCTGGCCAAAGGCCTGGCGGAACAGCTCTGTCTTGCAGGCCCTGCGGAAAGATGTCAAGTCCCGCAGGGTCCTAGTCTCTTGTGACAGAGCGTTCCACCAGATCAGAGCCACAGCTGAAAAAGCCCTGGCTCTGGTTGAGGCCAGCCTAACCTCTCTGTGGCCCTGGACCTCCAAGATAAGCCCAACCATAGCTGCCACCAAAACTAAAAGAAGCCTCTCCAGACATCTTGTTTATTGTGCATTCATGACAGCTTGTGCTCATGATGGTATTGGGGCAGTTACATGTGATCCCACTTCTTTTCTTTTCTTTTGTATATAATTTTTATTAGTTTTCTTTTCTAACAACAAATATCAAAATCATTTCCAAACATACATTCTACATTTCCCCCCCCCTTCCCGTTAACTTCCTTCAGTTACCCCTCTGGTTTGTTACATTAGATGATAAAATCTGCTATTCCTTATAAATGTCAAAATGTTATTACAATGTTATTCTTCATGCATTTTGCTAAATAAAGTTGTGAATGTTTATTCAAATCCTGCAGCCGAGTCCATTTCTTTCAGTTGTTTCTGCAGATAGTTGATGAAAGGTTCCCACTCTTTTTAAAAATCACTATTGTCTTTTTCATGTAGCTTATCCGCTAGCTAATTCTGCATAGTTCTTCGATTTTTCCTGCCATTGTGCTTTCGAAGGTATTTCTCCAGTCTTCCGGTTTCGTGCTATTAGGATTCTTGCTGCTGTTGTTGCGTACATGAATATTTTTCATTTCTCTTTCAGCATCCTTGATCAGAAATACCTATTAAAAATGCTTCTGTTTTTTTTAACAAACGTCATTTTAAACATTTTTTTCAGTTCGTTATATATCATCTCCCAAATTTTTTTGATGATACTACATTCCCATCACATATGATAAAAGGTACCCTCCTTATTTTTACATCTCCAACAGTTATTTGATTCTGTTCTATACATTTTGGCCAGCTTAATTGGTGTTATATGCCATCTATACATCATTTTTATGTAATTCTCTTTCAATAAAATACAACCTGTGAATTTCATATTTACTTTCCAAAGTTTTTCCCACTCTTCAATTTGTATATTATGCCCACATCTTGTGCCCACTTAATCATTACTGACTTAACTTCTTCCTCCTTCGTTTCCCATTCCAATAACAAACTTTGAGCTTTCTTAAAAAACATTACGTAATTTGAAATTGTCATCTATTATCTCTCTTTGGAATCTAGAAATTGTATAACTAAATCCTTTCTTATTATCTTCCTTAAAGATTTCATTTATCTGTCTATGTTGTAGCCAGCTTTGAAGGTATTCCTTCAACTCCTCATAATCCTTCAATTTTAGCTTTCCTTCCTGTTCAATTAATAGATCTCTATATGTTGGCCATATTTCTTTCTTTGTTGTCATTTTAAATGATAGTACTTCAATAGGTGATAACCACCATGGATTTTTTTCTTCTAATAACTCTTTATATTTTCCCCAAACTTTTATTAAAGATTTTCTTATTATATGATTGTGAAATTCTTTATGCACTTTGGTTTTTCCATACCACAAATATGTATGCCTGCCAAATCTGTTATCATGTCCCTCCAGTTCTATTGCCACCTCTTTCTCCAATTTGATCCAATCCCAAATCCAAGTAAGGCATGCTGCTTCATAATAAATTCTGAAATCTGGAAGGGAAAAAAGCCCCCTCTTTCTTTTATATCTGTAAGTATTTTATGTTTTATTCTTGGTTTTCCCCCCTCCAGATAAATTTTGAAATATCTTTTTGCCATTTTTTGAAGCAGATGCTATTACTTTTTATCGGTATTGTTTGAAAGAGGAACAACATTTTTTGCAATGCATTCATTTTAATTGCTGCAATTCTTCCGAAAAAGGAAAAGTCATCCTTTCTTTATAGATATTGAGATTCCTGTTTGTTAACCATATTCCTAAATACTTTACTTTTTTGTGGCTTTCTATATCCAAACTCTGGGAGAGTTCCATCTTTTCTGATTCTCTAAGATTTTTGACTAATAATTTACTTTTGTTTTTATTCAATTTAAACCCTGCCACTTGTCCATACTATTGGGTTTAGGGAGAGGGTGGTGTTGTGGGTTAAACCACAGAGCCTAGGACTTGCCGATCAGAAGGTCGCGGTTCGAATCCCCGCGACGGGGTGAGCTCCCGTTGCTCGGTCTCTGCTCCTGCCAACCTAGCAATTTGAAAGTATGTCAAAGTGCAAGTAGATAAATAGGTACTGCTCTGGCGGGAAGGTAAACGGCATTTCCATGCACTGCTCTGGTTCGCCAGAAGCAGCTTAGTCATGCTGGCCACATGACAAATGCCAGCTCCCTCGGCCAGTAAAGCGAAATGAGCGCCGCAACCCCAGAGTCGGTCACGACTGGACCTAATGGTCAGGGGTCCCTTTACCTTTACAGTGGTACCTCGGGTTACGTACGCTTCAGGTTACATACACTTCAGGTTACAGACTCCGCTAACCCAGAAATAGTACCTTGGGTTAAGAACTTTGCTTCAGGATGAGAACAGAAATCGTGCTCTGGTGGCGCAGCGGCAGCAGGAGGCCCCATTAGCTAAAGTGATGCTTCAGGTTAAGAACAGTTTCAGGTTAAGAACGGACCTCCAGAACGAATTAAGTACTTAACCCGAGGTACCACTGTACTGTAATTACCAAATCATCTGCAGATGATTTGGCGATCCCACTTTTAATACTCTTTGTGCCTGAAAACTTTCAGGGCAGTCGTACTGCTTAGCTTCCAATCAGTACATGTCCTGCAACGTCTTGCTGAAACCCTGTAACATGTCATAGCACCAATGTTCTGGTTCCAGATTATAACGCTGAACCCTTGTCAGTCTACTCCCCCCCTTGTTTCCTGCCTTAGTGACCAACAGCATCAAGCCAAAATCCAGTTCAAGATGCACTTGTCCAAATAATCAATGAAACAAGCTCTTACAATGTCAGGATAGCAGTGTTAAGTGTTGGTACTGATATTTTTCCTGCACCATGTTTTGGTTTTTAAAAATAATAATAATTGAATTAAGTATTTATCTGAAGTGATGGCCCAATTAAGTGCTCGGAAGTTTTCTCTGCAGCCTTTTGGTTTCTGTATAAATTAAGCTTTGGTAATGACATTAACAATCCACAGGGAATCTGACACATTCAGAAATGTCCTCAGGTAACCAATTATTGAATCCTCTGGGTCCTTCATTCATAATTGCTTAGGGTTACAATCACCGAGGCTATGGAACAGCAGGGGGAAAGTGTTAAACTTGGGCCCATGCGCAGGCACCTTGTTAAGGCGCAACTTAAAGAAAAGTTAAGAAAAAAATCTTTGCAGGAGCTGTCAGGTCTCGTAATGTTCACTTTGCCAGACCTTGGGGGTTGGGAACCATTTTTCTCAGGGCGCATGGAGGCGGAGAAGTCTTTTGGCATCCGACTTCCACCGCAGATCATGCTCTATAGGCTAAAATAAAGTAACGGACAAGTAGGATGCAAAACATGACTAGTGCACATTTCTTCAAACCCACCGACACAATGAATTCTGCTTTTACCCAAATGTGGATGTGCTTGATGAGGACAAAGGACAAGCTTACAGATTGTGTGGTGATGTGCCCCCCATTTTTCGATACATCCCCCTGTCTGTAAGTAGGGATGGACACATTTGCCAATGTTGGTTTCTCTCGGTTCCTCGTTTTTTCCAATCTCAAGCTCAAGTTTGCATCCGTTTCCCTTAATAGAATGCATTACTGCATATTATTGTATGCACTGTAATGCACACTCCCCCTTGCGTACGTGCATTTGTACAAACAAACAGAATTTGAAGAAGGGCAGATTTTGAACTATGGCTGCATTTTGGCTGCGTATTGTTTGAAGAAGTGCAAATTACATTAAAAGGTGAAATGAACTGAATCTCCCCAGGATTGTCACCTGTAATCTTGATTTGTTCAACACAACCACCCAGAGCCTGCTGCTTTTTAAAAGCATCTTCTCCCACTTTCCCTTGTTGCCTCTGATCCCATGAGAGACCTATAGTTTGCTCCCTCTCTTTTCCTTCAAATTTTTGCTGGGTCAGCATCATTAGGATACAGCTTAGCAGGACTGCAGATTTACTGTACAGCAGGGCAAGGTGGCGTAGGCTGGATTCAAACTGGTTTATTTGCCCTCATAGAGTCCCATCAGGAGAAAATGGTTGCAGCAATTGGTGTTAAGGAGAAAATATATGTATTGGGGTGCATATTGATATACCTATGTCATAGAATAGACACCAAGGAGCATCTAGTCAAAGTCCTGCAATGCAAGAGTCTCTAACCTCTCCTGGTATGTCCCACGGAGGACCTTACGGTCTTCAAATAAAAACATCTTGGAGATCCCGAGCCACAGGAGGTTAAGCTGGCCTCAACCAGAGCCAGGGCTTTTTCGGCCGTGGCCCCGATCTGGTGGAACACTCTGTCACAAGAGACTAGGGCGCTGCGGGACTTGACATCTTTCTGCAGGGCCTGCAAGACAGAACTGTTCCACCAGGCCTTTGGCCAAGGCACAGTCTGACCCCCTCTCTCCTTCTGTAATCTTCATAGAACTCTAGCCCAGTGGTTGCCATTAATTTGATTCTGAATTGATTTTAGAATGTATTTCAATTAATTGACTGTGATTTTATGTAAACTGTGCTGTTTTTATTGTTGTTAGCTGCTCTGAGCCTGGCTTTGGCTGGGGAGGGCAGGATATAAATAAAATTATATTATTATTATTATTAAAGCACTCAGGACAGATCAATTAGCAGGGAGTTTCAGAGCATAGGAGGAAGACTGAATCATGGAATATGTGGAACCAACATTACATGGGACTTCTACAAGTGCAAGTTCCACAGACTGAAGTGGCCATGGGGCATATCCTTCAGGTAAACTGGTCCCAAGTTAGGAAGGGACACTTTCAACGGAGCCTAGTAAGAAAATCAGCAGTGTGAGGATCAAATCCAGATATTTTCTTCTTCCTCTTTGACCCTCCTGCCACACTTCATGCAGGCTGCCAGCTTCATTCATTTTCTCCTCCTCCCTGCCCCCCTTTTTAGCGCTTGGCATGTTTCTCTGATCAAAGTTTCTTTTGTGCTTTTTAAAAGTGTATATTGATTGTTGCCAGGTGCTTTTAAAAAAATTCTTTATACACTGTTTTTAAAGCGGAAACTTGCAAATCTTTAGAATAAAATGTTAAATCAAGACCCTACTTTGCAGTTGATGCAAATGGACAACAGTGGTACCTCGGGTTACAGACGCTTCAGGTTACAGACTCCGCTAAACCAGAAATAGTACCTAGGGTTAAGAACTTTGCTTCAGGATGAGAACAGAAATCACGCAGCGGCAGCGGGAGGCCCCATTAGCTAAAGTGGTACCTCAGGTTAAGAACAGTTTAAGGTTAAGAACGGACCTCCAGAACGAATTAAGTTCTTAACCCGAGGTACCACTGTATCTGAGAATACAAGATTGGTCTTTTCTTGTTGCCTAAATCAGGCTTCCCCGGCCGGCAGGCTTTTGATGGAAGCTGTAGTCAAAAACATCTGGAGGGTACCAGCTTGGAGAGCAGGGGTGTCAACTCCTGGGGGCTGAGGCTGCCCCCGAATATTTTTGGGGTGGGGGACAGCAGCGGCGGAGCAAGCTGATTGGGCGCCTAGGGTGCCCTGTGCCCAGGGGTAGGGCCAGCCGGGGCAGGACACTCTGTGGGGCCTCCAAGGATTCTTCCTGCCTCCTCCCACTCAGCCACCCTACAGCTGAGGGGGAGGCGGCAGGTGGACCGCTTGGGGCAGTGCGCACGAGCCTGCGGGCGTCCAAGCCACCGCGTCACTCCCAGGAGAGATGTGTGGCTCGGTCGTGCTGCAGGCCCCGTGGTGAGTGCTGCCTGGCATTTTGTCACCCCCCTCAGTGGTGACACCCGGGGCGGCCCACCCCCACCGCGCGCCCCTCCCTGGGGGCCAGGCCCCCCAATGTCCAAAAAGCGCGGAGGTGAACTGGCTCCTCCCAAGATCCTGACATCATGTGCACCCCATCATCCTTACAAGCTGGCGCCTCTTGGCTTGGCCTAAACAAACACAGCCCCAAACACCACTTTCAGTCCTGTTGCAGATTTGAGCTCCTGACAACATGTGTGTTAACTATGTGCAAAAACAGAACTATGGTGAAGAAATAGTGCGATTGCTTCACTGCGTGTCAGACTTTGCGACTCAGGGCCAAATTAGAAGTGACATTAGTTCTGTGAATGTAGTGAACGTGCACTTTAAAAAAATATGTAGAAAAATATGGAGGAAATGTGGTTCACCTCAACTTGCTTGCTTCATCCAGGCAGAATCAGAAATCCTCTACTCATTTGCCATGCCTCAGCTTGCAAGAGAGAGGAATACCAACTATTACTTAAACTGGCAAACATTCAGCTCAAGGGTAATGACCTTTCTGCCACTGATTCTGCAGCAAATCGAATAGAACTGGGCTACAGAAGAATCTGGCACCAGAATCCATTTGATTCCAGGGAAACCTGGGTTCAAGTTTCGGTTTTGCTGTGAAACTCTCTCAGCCTAACCTACCTCTCAGAGTTTTTTGGGGGGATAAAATGGAATAGCCCCCATTACACTTCCTTGAATTTCTTTGAAGACGGGCAGGAATGTAAATGTAAAATATATATTTTGATGGGCAGTCTGGTATAAATCTGATATACTACTCTCTGGTTAAAGTGATGTCTGGTGTTTTTTAAAAATGTAGGTAGCTCTCAGAAGATGTACTTTAGATTTTAGTCTGTAAGAGGCCCCAGGTTCCGATGCAAGACTTAAACCTCCAGGGTATTTGGGGCAGACTTATATGACAAAACATGTCCTTAATGAACCTTAATCCTATTAATAGGATTGTCAGGGTAGATTTGTCATTGAAAAGATGTTTTCATCCATGAGTCCTATGGCTTGCTCATAAGTGGAACTCTATTGCTGGAATGCTAAAGGGGCACAGAAAGTCACTTAGTGCAGGATTTGATATATATAGGGACTCTCCCCACTAAATGTCCTCCCGGGTTTACATGGCTATTTTGCAAGCAAATGTGTGTACATCAGGTGTATGCCCAACCTCTACAGTCCATGAACAGTGTCTGTAATGACTAGCAGCTATCAATCTCTGTATCCCCTACGAATTTATCTAATCCTATTTTAAAGTCATCCAAGACGGTGGCAATCACTACCTCTTGCTGGAGCAAATTCCATAGTCTATGCACTGTGCGAAGAAGTACGTACTATTGCCAGACTTGAATCAGTCAACATTCAGCTTCATTATAAAACAGGGAGGAAAAATCATCTATCTGCTCAGTTTGCCCATAGCTATGCCCAAGAAGGTTAGCGGTTCGAATCCCCGCAACGGGGTGAGCTCCCGTTGCTCGGTCCCAGCTCCTGCCAACCTAGCAGTTCAAAAGCATGTCAAAGTGCACTCCGACGGGAAGGTAAACGGCGTTTCCGTGCGCTGCTCTGGTTCACCAGAAGCAGCTTAGTCATGCTGGCCACATGACAAATGCCAGCTCCCTCGGCCAGTAAAGCGAGATGAGCAGCGCAATCCCAGAGTTGTCCGCGACTGGACTTAATGGTCAGGGGTCCCTTTACCTTTTTATGCCCAAGACTGCATCAGAAGGTGGGCTGGGGCTGGGTAACTTGAATACCTTGGTTCAAGTCCGACCCTCCAGAGCAGAAGAAGAGAAGAAGAAGAGTTTGGTTTTGATATCCCGCTTTATCACTACCCTAAGGAGTCTCAAAGCGGCTAACAATCTCCTTTCCCAGTGTGGTGTAGTGGTTAAGAGGGTGGACTCGTAATCTGGTGAACCGGGTTCGGTTCCCCGCTCCTCCACATGCAAGGGAAAAGGAGATTGTTAGCCGCTTTGAGACTCCCTAGGGTAGTAATAAAGCGGGATATCAAATCCAAACTCCTCCTCTTCTTCTTCTTCTTCTTCTTCTTCTTCTTCTTCTTCTTCTTCTTCCCTTCCTCCCCCACAACAAACACTCTGTGAGGTGAGTGAGGCTGAGAGACTTCAAAGAAGTGTGACTGGCCCAAGGTCACCCAGCAGCTGCATGTGGAGGAGCGGGGAAGCGAACCCGGTTTACCAGATTACGAGTCCACCGCTCTTAACCACTACACCAAACTCTCCCACCTCTACAGTTCTATGTGGTGAGGAAGGCCCCTGGCAACCTGAAAAACATGAGGGCAATGTTCCTTGAACAGAGGGCCAGGACTCATCTGTGGGCCTTGGGCCATTTTCAGATGGGTCTTAGTACCACATTCTGACCAGTGACCCCTCACCTGCTTGACCAAGCCCTAGGCCTTGTTATAGGCATTGGTTAGACCAATGTGGTTGGGAGGCACCAATGTCCCAAGGCTGAGGGAGGAAGGAAGTTCTCCCTCCTCTGAGGGGAAAGGGGCAAAGGAGGTGCTGAAGGAAATGGGATAGAAGGAGGGGGAAGTGTTATAAGACAAAGAAGCGAATGTAAAAGAAAAGGGAAGTGGTTGTGGTATTGGTGTTGGGAGTAGTGTACAAGCTGAGTGAGAATGGGATAAGAAAATGCAGGAGATGGGTATTAGTACTTTGAAAGGCATGTAGGTGTAAGGAAGGAGAAAGTCTTCTTCACTTAGAGCAGGCATAGACAAACTCGGCCATGCAGATGTTTTGGGACTACAACTCCAATCATCTCTAGCTAACAGGACCAGTGGTCAGGGATGATGGGAATTGTAGTCTCAAAACATCTGGAGGGCCAAGTTTGCCTATGCCTGACTTAGAGCATCAGGGTCAGTAAAAAAAATTGGCAGCATCAAATAAAATGGGGAGGCGGAATCACAATACCTCTTTAGCACAAGGAAAACGGAGCTATGGGACTCCTCTGGCAAAGAACTTAGCAATTTCCACAGGTGGGTTAGGTATTGGTAGAGATAGAGAAGGATGTAACTGTCACCTGATTATGCCAGACTCTGCCTTCTTCTGTCACCATTTTGTGACTGGTGAACCCAAGTAATTTCCAGTCATCTCGTGGGCTCTGGGGATAGGAGGTTTCAGAACCCCTGACTGAGGGGATCACAGATTTCCCTTTTGGCGAAGGCCAGGGGTGAAATAACTGGATGTGGGTCTACTTAGGGCTCTTCGGAAAAGAGATATGAGACTTTATACAGGCCCAAGAGGATTTTATTTCTTACTGAATCTGTTTAATTGACCTATATGTGTTAGCCAGGCCAGCATAATGAATGGTTAGGCAAGAAAAGCAGTTCAGTACCTGCAGTGCCACCTGGTGGTGGAGGATAGTTTATTTCCCACCCATAATTGTGTAGAAAAATCTTTTGCTGAAAAGGTCTGAACAACAGCCATTTACATTTGTTTGGATGAGTGAATTGCTACTTGTTAGTTTGTATTATTTATGGATCATCTTCCAATGGAAACTTGCTCAAGGAAGGGGAACTGACATTCTTTTACCCTCATCTGTTTTGGTTTGTTTGTTTAGTTATATTGATAAGCCCCCTAAAGTAACACAATTCATTAGAAACACAATTCATTTAGAAACCACTAAATAATTACTGACAGCAGCAGCAACAACAACAGTAACCGGGTCCTTCCTCCTCTAACTGCCTGCTGAAAAAGATACATCTTTAACTGAAGGCCCAAACCACATTCCTTGTGCTGAGAAGGCAGCACAGGCCGGTCAATATGTTCTGACAACTGTTCTTTTAAAAAACATATTGTTACAGAAAGAGGACAGGTAATAGTGAAGTTCAGTCACCGAAAGACATTCAAAATAGGATGCCAGGTAGCTAGGGGAGTGGGGTGGGGAGAAATTTTATTCGGTTCATATTTAAAGGTGAATCTACCTAATTTCCAATTTATGGAACAATATGCAAACTGAAGCGCAGCCATCCCTTAAATTCTTACGTTTCCGAATTTTGCAGTGCCAAATGATGTGTACAAAAATGCATAAACAAGAGCAAATTGTGCATTGAAATGCATATGTTAGTGAAAATGACATATAAGGACGCATTTTTCAGGGTGAAGCGCTTTACTTGGACAAAATTGTATCTTGGACAAAATTGCATGCAAAAATGTTCATATTAGGAGAAATTCGCAGTTAAATGCTGATGAATTTTCATAATAACTCTTTTTTAAAAAAGGAAAAAAGGAAATTGATGTGGAAATGTAAAAAAACTGAACTCAAGAGTGGAAAAATGACAGACTGGGAGAAACTGGAATTGACAGATCTGCCCATCCCTAGATGCAACCCATTCCTATGCAGGCTAATTCAGAAGTTTGTCTCAATGGGCTAACTCTAAAGTAAGTTTGCATAGGACTTGCTGTGTTTCCTATGGCATTGTTTCCTATATATCTACTGTAATGCCTTCTTGATGGGACCAGTCCTTTCTTCAGACAATGGCCATTTTGTTTAGATTTTTGCTGTGATGGACCCAGGCTTTCTATGTACAGGATTTGTGTGTTTTTTTAAAAAAAACACACACACACACAGTTCACCCATCAAAGATAAGCATTAATGCTTCATTAAATCTCCAGAACGAACGCTGACAGCAGCTAAAGGCCAACAGGAATAAGCATCAATGCTGTCAGCAGGAGGTGTTTCAGAATGTAAGATGGGATCGTGCATCTGAATAAAAGTAGGAGCAAATGAATGAATGAATGAATGAGTGTGCACACAGTGCATGAATAGGCACAACCCTTCAGGAGCAGAATGGATTGGCCAGCTACTTAACCAGTTATTTACTCACATATTTATTCTTGGTAGACAGAAGTCCAGCGCATTGTTCTGCTTTAGCATTTGCGAACCACAATATTCAGGAACGAGCGTGTCACCCGATACTATGGTGTTTGCACTGAAATAAATGAGGGAAATGTATATGTATAGGCAACGGCATAGCTAATTGCTTCATACAATAGATGGATCAGAGAATTGTAACAAGGTATACATCTGAATCCACATCTGGGTCTAGGAAGGAGGAGGAGGAGGAGGAGGAGGAGAAGGAGAAGAAGAAGAAGAAGAAGAAGAAGAAGAAGAAGAAGAAGAAGAAGAAGAAGACTATTTACATCCTGCCCATCCTGCCCCAGCTACTCTGGGCAGCTTCCAACATAATGAAAACATAATTAAGCATTAAAAATTAACAAAATCCCCATACAGCATTGCCTTCAGATGTCTTCTAAAGGTTGTATAGTTACTTATCTCCTTGGTTAGGAGGTCACATAACTCCATACCCTCCAATATTTCTCCAATGAAAAGAAGGGCATCCTAAGGAAAAGTGGGACATTCCAGGATCAAATCAGAACCTGGGATGGCGTCTGTAAGTCCAGGACTGTCCCTGGAAAATAGGGACACTTGGAGGGCCTGTATTGCTATTAATGAATTGTTTTATATCACTGTGGACTGGCTTGATGAAAAGTGGTAAAGGTAAAGGGACCCTGATCATTAGGTCCAGTCGTGGCCGATTCTGGGGTTGCGCCGCTCATCTCGCTTTATTGGCCGAGGAAGCCGGCGTATAGCTTCTGGGTCATGTGGCCAGCATGACTAAGCCGCTTCTGGTGAACCAGAGCAGCGTACGGAAACGCCTTTTACCTTCCCACTGGAGCGGTACCTATTTATCTACTTGCACTTTGTGCTTTCAAACTGCTAGGTTGGCAGGAGCAGGGACTGAGCAACGGGAGCTCACCCCGTCACGGGGATTCAAACCGCCGACCTTCTGATCGGCAAGTCCTAGGTTCTGTGGTTTAACCCACAGCGCCACCCGCGTCCTGTTATAAAACAAGCAAACCAACCAACCCATGAGAGTAGATGGAGTTTCCTGCTCAGCAGCTGACACTTTTCCAAGTTTGGTGCGATTAGGGTGGAAGGATTCACAATACCAACTGTGCTCTGTTTGTGACTTTCTTGGGGCGTTTGGAGTAACTGCCATGATTAACTGTGTCTTATGAGAATATAACCTCGTTTATATAGTGTGAAAGTATGTTCCTATCGAGCAGGTGGTGAAACAACGAATCTGTCAAATGAAAAGGGAGGTGACCCATGCCTGTTAGCTTTCTTAAGAGAGAACAGGTTCACTTTTGGCACACACAATAAAAGGCAATTGAGTAGGCCAGATTTTACATTTCTGGGTAATTTTATTGTTCATTATTTCACCCTTCTGACTGTAACAAAAAAGCATGTAGTCTGGCATGAATATGATGTAGTGGAAAAAAATATGTATGAATGGATAGTAAAGGCTGACTTGGAATGAAAGAGTTGGTCAGAAAAAGTGACTCATGGTGCTTCTAATTTAGCACTGTGGAGCTGGCGGCTTGGTAGGACTTAAAAGCGGCTGAGTTCAAAATGAGCCACTGCCATCTTACCACCATTCGTTAGACCTGGAGCTCAAGGGGGGAAGACATTTCAGTGCCAATTAAACTATATCTCCCCCCACTTTCAGCTTTCACTTGGCAAATGGCTGAAAAGAGCAACTCCATGTCTCAGGGTCCTTATGGCTAATCGGTGTTCCTGTAACAGTCAGGACGCAAGGCTTTGCTGCCAGGAAATCCTGGCTCAGTTCATGCCACATGTGACGGATTTCTCCCTTCACCCATTTCTGCCAGTGGTTGACTCACTACAAATCCTTATCCTGAAGGTCTTGTTTATATCTGTAAGTTAAATGTAACAGTGTGCAGCGGCTCGGCATGCAATCCAAGTCACAAGTCAAATCAGGGTGCCTTGAGGTGTCATTGTTTTGAATGCCAAGGTTGAATCAGGATGTTAGCAAGGTGTCCCAGGTCAAGAGTAGCAACATCCTCTCGGCCTCCAAAGCCTCGTTTGCACACATGAAATGCTGCAGAGGTGTTTCCTATCCTCTATCTATCTATCTATCTATCTACCGGTATCTATCTATCATCTATCTATCATCTATCTATCATCTATCTATCATCTATCTATCATCTATCTATCTATCTATCTATCTATCTAATCTATCATCTGCGGTGGTACCTCGGTTCTTGAAGGTAATCCGTTCTGGAAGACTATTCAAGTTCCGAAACATTCGAAAACCAAGGCGCAAAGGGGTACCTGAAAATTCAATTGAGAAAATTGAAAAACACACAGAGAAAGCTGTCCGACTTCTGAGGCGCACTCGAAAACAGAAGCATTTACTTCCAGGTTTTTAGCATTTGGGTTCCGAAATGTTTGTCAGCGGAGACGTTCAAGAACTGAAGTACCAGTGTATCTATCTATCTAAAAGCAAAACTAAGCTGACCATAAGGGGAATGGCCTGTTGCTGTTAAAGTGAGGAGCGAGGGAGAGAGAGAGAGAGCAGGGCAGGAAGATGGATAGCTCTTAGCTTTTAATCAGAGGGAATTATTTTGCCAGGGCTCTCCAATCACTGTGCATTAGGGGAGGGACCTTGATGGAAAAACATTTTGCTTCGTGTCTGCTTGTTGCTCTCTAGTAAGTTCTGTCTCTCTGGAGCATGGCTGCTTGGAAACTTATGGTGAACCAGGCGGTGTCCCTTTTCTCACAGGCTCCCATCACTTTCCATTTTTATTACCAACAAATCAGTTTTATTTTCATGCTGTTTCTTCTTATTGCTCTTTTTCATTTTGTTTGTGCCATTTTTGTGTGTGTGTTGAAGAGTATTTGTAGTACAGTGTTTACCAGTGCTATTTTTTTCATAGAAAAAGAGGTGCCAGAACTCACCATGAACGCCTCCCTTGTTCTCTTAGAATGGCAATGGCAGCCACCGGAGAGGTGCCAGAACTAGGAGAGAGAGAAGAGGGGTTTTCTTCCACCTCTTTCCCTCACGGCCGTTAGAGAGACCCTTTGCCATAGCTTGAGCAAGGATTTTACAGACTTAAGCCTTCTAATGCATGGAGTGCTTTGGGATGGGAAGGAAAGAGGCAATTGACCGAAGATGAATTGCCCAGGGCTGCAGCTGAAATGTTTTAGATTCTAGATCCCCCTCCTGTTATTTTTATTACTTGAAAATGTGGTAAGCTAACATGGCTACACCAGAGGGTGTTCTCAGTCATTATGATCAGGGATGCCAACTTGAATAAAATATGGGGGGAGCCCCACCCTGTGTTATGATCACAATACATGGGGCATGCATGTCGTTTGAATGGTAATCCCCATCAAATATTTTATGGGGGGGCTGAAGGGACCTCAGCACCTAGAAGTTGGCTCCTATGATTATAATGACAGGGACACTGGACTTCTGCCCCCAAACCCTACCCTGCCCTGACAGCAGAATTAGCAAATTTGTTGTGCAGAAAAAAGAGTTGCATGACAGGGCAGGGGAACATAGCTGTCAACCTTCCCTTTTTTGGTGGGAAATTCCCTTATTCCAGCACCGTTTCCTGATGCTTCCCACTGCTATCCCAGATTGTTAGATATCCCGTAGACTGTCCCTGGGACAGGTGAGGCTGCTGATCCCTTATTTTTGAGGCTGCTGATCCCTTATTTTCAAATCTGAAAGTTGACAGGTATGCGAGGGAAGTCCTGCTCACCCTGAACGGGGCTGAATATTTGTTTTTGCAACTGCAGCAATGGCTGCATTGCTAACTGGGCATAGAAATATTACAATGTTTTTGTGAAATATAAGAATCCAAAAATCCTTGTCCTTCTTCCTTGATGGCATCTGTCTGTCTCAAGACACAATGGAAAGGTCTCTCCACTGGTCCAACCACTGGAGAGCTACAGCGCCTGCCGCGGCTGTGGAAACCAGTGTAAGAGAGACATGTTTTATTGCAGCTGGGGCAGATGAAGGAGTCCAGGTTTGCTGTCATTCCTCCTCTGGTCCCTGCTGTAGATACGCAGCCAGACTATTTGTCTCCAGGCACTGTGGTCATCTGCAAGGGATTTGAACACAGAACCAGACACAATGAGAAAACAGGAGATAAAAGAGTTATAGCAATTGCTATTTTTCCCCCCCCTGTCTGAACTTACAAGCATTACAGGAAGTTTTTATTGGCGCACGATTTAGATTTGACTCGATGGGATAATTTAAATTTAAGTTCTCCCTGCAGAACATGCTCATCACTTCTTTTACTTACCGTATATTCCTTTCCTGTTCCCTTTCCCTCCTTGCTCAGAGCGAATTAGATGAGAATCAGATCCAGATGGCTGGGGACGACGTGGGCTTGCCGGAAGACCTCCAGAAAATGGTGGCAGAAGATCAAGTAGAGGAAGAAGACAAGGATTCTATACTCGGGCAACTTCAGAACATACAGAACATGGACATGGATCAAATCAAAGAAAAGGCCCAAGCCACCTTCACTGATATTAAACAGGCAGCTGGGGAGAAGTGTTCTGTAATGTAAATAGAGACATTTGCAAGATCTGTATACAAATACCCCATAGAAATGGAAGGCTGTGGCTGCCACTCACTCTCTACCCCTCCACGAGGAAAGATGTGTGTGTGTGTGTCCCCCAAAAGAAAAAATCTGGTAAATAATAAGGGTATGTGTGCTGACATATGATGGTGGAGGCAGAAGGACCCCAACATCACAGGTAAATATCCAAACCTAAAGCAGCAATTGCAAATGTTGTTGTTTAGTCGTGTCCGACTCTTTGTGACCCCATGGACCAGAGCACGCCAGGCACTCCTGTCTTCCACTGCCTCCCACAGTTTGGTCAAACTCATGCTGGTAGCTTCACAAACACTATCCAACCATCTCATTCTCTGTCGTCCCCTTCTCCTTGTGCCCTCCATCTTTCCCAACATCAGGGTCTTTTCCAGGGAGGCTTCTCTTCTCATGAGGTGGCCAAAGTATTGGAGTCTCAGCTTCAGGATCTGTCCTTCCAGTGAGCACTCAGGGCTGATTTCCTTCAGAATGGAGAGGTTTGATCTTCTTGCAGTCCATGGGACTCTCAAGAGTCTCCTCTCTTTAGATTTTAGTATTTGCAATTGCAAATACACTTGCTCATATAGGTCCCTGCCAACGCCCATCATGGTGTCAGGTTCTGAATTACGTGGCAAGAGTCACTTGTGAATGGAAGTATTCTCAACTGCTTAAAATTATTTTGCTTTGCAGGATTGAAGAGAAGTGCGGTAGTTCACACCTTGGGTTATTAGAGCAGACTTTCCTAGATAAAAAAATATTAGAGTTGGGGTGTTTCTATTCTACATGAGGACTTTGCTGAGCAGAAGATATTCCTATTGTATTCCAGTGGGGGCAGTGATGTCATAGAGTAGGGTTGCTGTTCCATCTGCCCCATCCCAGCATGCACCATGTGGGTACACCATAGAGACAGGAAAAGGTAAAGAGTGATCCTCGCATGCACACTCCTTGGCTCTGCTTGCAAAGCAAGTCTTTGTACAGAGAGCAGGTGTGTCCATAGAGATCGGGAAAAGTAAAGCGTGATACTCGCACACACACTTCCTGGTTCTGTTTGCAGAAACCCAGACATTTTGCCGATTTTTAAAAAAGTCTCCCCGGATGGTGATTTCACCCTTGGAATCCCGGACATGTCTGTAAAAGTAGAGTAAAAGCAGAATATGTTTAAGATAAAACCTACTTACACCTTCCAAACCTCCTCTCACCCTATTTATAATGTAGATTTTATATTTGCTTGAAAGCAGAGAACCTTTCTTTAAAAAAGAAAAGAAAAAAGTCTCCAGTGTTGTTGTTTTTTCAGAACATTAACTCTTTTATCACTGCCACTTTAATACAGGACATATTATTTAACCAACTCAGAATGCATCAAATCACAGAACTACTAAAGGTTTTTCTGACACCTACAACTTTCAGCCAAATGACTATAACTTCGCTAAGGCTTATTCTGTGGCTGCTATCTTTTTCTTTCCACCCCCTGTGCTTTTAAGAGCAGCCCAGTGCAGAGAAGGTTTTCTCATCGATTACTCTTAATAATAAAAAAGTTTAAACCATAACGGAGCTGCTGTATTGCTGAATGAGTTCTCCAACTTTGGAGTTCCCCCAAATATTGAGGTTTCCACTTCTTGCATGAATGTTTACACGTACCCAGAAGGCTTAATAGAATTATGTCAAGTGTTAGCATACAAAATGAAATATTAAGGCCGCATCCAAATTTCCAGGAGCGCTTTCTGAATAGTGATTGGCCCAAGACCTTACAGGGAAATTTGCAACTGAGTGGAGATTTGAACTTGGGTCTCCGCCACCGCCATAATCCAGCCCTCTAACCTAGCCTTCCACAATCTAGTTTGTTTTGAACTACAACTCCCATCAGCCCCAGCAAGCATGGCCATTGCAGTCCAAAGCAACAAGATGGCACTAGGCTGGGAGAAGGCTGATCTAACCACTGGATTCACACTGCCTCTCAATAAATGGCATGGCCAGACTCATACGCATTTTTGTTCACATTACTTGCACTGGAAAATTCAGGGAAGTGCAAATTCCCAAGGATGCCTTGCTTTGGTTGTGCATATCGTTTTGGAAAATGCAAATTAGGAATGTCGCATTTAAATGTGAACTGAGCCGAATCTCTCCCCCATTCCTAGCCACCTCTTCCTTCTAATATGTTTCCTCGGATTTTTGACTTAGTTTTGCTGGCTGCACCAGTATTAAGAGTGTGGGGGCAGGGTAACTCCCATCTGAAAGCAGCCTCTGTATGGGCAAAAAGCTCTGTGGCTCTTTTTCATATTGCAACTCCAGGCACAGAGATTACTTGTTTCTAAGTACAGGGAAAATATACTTCTACATTTGACCCATGTGCAGATTTTCCATACTGTATCTCTTATGCCAGAATAATATTTCTGATATTCCTTATACTGGGTATGGGAGGGGGAAATGTAGTTATTAAACTTCTTCCTCCTACCAGCTGCTTTGGGGCATTTTGTTGTTATTATTGATTAAATGTACACTGTTTCCCTAATGCAATTATAGTACAGTGGTGTCTCGCAAGACGAAATTAATCCGTTCCACGAGTCTCTTCGTCTTGCGGTTTTTTCGTCTTGCGAAGCACGGCTATTAGCGGCTATTAGCGGCTTAGCGGCTATTACGGCTTAGCGGCTTAGCGGCTTAGCGGCTTTAAGAAAAAGGAAACAAACCCGCAAGAACTCGCAAGACGTTTCATCTTGCGAAGCAAGCCCATAGGGAAATTTGTCTTGCGGAACGACTCAAAAAATGGAAAACTCTTTCGTCTTGCGCGTTTTTCGTCTTGCGAGGCATTCGTCTTGCGAGGTACCACTGTATTGCATGCCACCTCAGTCTCCGACTGGTGCGCTTACCCAGGATTCGTGTTTCCTTTTGGAAATGAGGCACAGCAGAGACTGTGGTGTCTTTATGATACAGTGGTACCTCGCAAGACGAATGCCTCGCAAGACGAAAAACGCGCAAGACGAAAGAGTTTTCTGTTTTTTGAGTCGTTCCACAAGATAAATTTCCCTATGGGCTTGCTTCACAAGACGAAACGTCTTGCAAGTTCTTGCGAGTTTGTTTCCTTTTTCTTAAAGCCGCTAAGCCGTTAATAGCCGCTAAGCCACTAAGCCGCTAATAGCCGCTAAGCCGCTAATAGCCGTGCTTCGCAAGACGAAAAAACCGCAAGACGAAGAGACTCGCGGAACGGATTAATTTCGTCTTGCGAGGCACCACTGTATATGGTTTATTTGCACATATCTACAACCTGAGTTTGCAGTGGAGGGGTTCACAATATCAACACCCCAAAAGGATCTTGTTTCTCCCTTAGCTGCAGCCTTGGGGATGATCAGAGGTCTGACATAGCACCGCCCCCGCCCCCTCTTCCTGAACCTTCCCAAGAAGAGGAGAACAGTTGTTTGCAAAAGGTCATAGTTCAGAGGCTGCAGAGGGGAGAAGCTGGGAAATATCAGGAGAGCAGCAGGGAGAAGCAAGGCAGAGACAGCTGATGGACTCAGTGTCTTTAGAAAGAATTCCTGACCACCACCCCCGGGCCAGGCGTGCATTGAGAGTAGTAGAACAGAAAGCTCAAAGGCAGAAAGCACAAATCAGCCTACACAGGGATGGTGTATACCGTAATAGGAGGGACAGAGGGGGTGGGACTTTAATCGGAGCGACACCATTATCTAAGAGACGGCATCCTCCGTCTCTGTGAATATTGAATAAAATACCATGGTAAGAACATCTTGTTTTCCCAATTCCCATTTCTGGCTGCCAGCTGTGAGGAGAATCAGATTCCCTGAAGCCTGACACTCTCCCTCCCTGCTTGGCGCTTTTCTTCTAGGTCACATCACGCCCACTTTCAGCTCTAAACTCTGGCTATTGTCCTTCTCACTATGTGCAAGTTGTGTGAGGGGCCCCACCCATTTGCCATCTCACACAGAACCCCCTTTCCTTTGTTCTCTTTATGGCCCAACACCCAGGTGACTACCTCATCATGAAACTAGCCTGGCTTGTATTTTAACACTTGCAGGATCCAGGGATCAGAAGGCTTGATTAGGTTTTAACACCTGTTGGACCCGGGGATTAGAGGGGCCTAGCACCCACAAAGACATAACAATATACTCTGTATTCTCAAGTCACTAGGGAAAGTTTGGGCTGAATCCCTCCTGCAAAATAGTGACAAATCCAGTTCCTTCCACATGCTGCTACTCAGCTTTTAAAGAAAACAACTTGCAAAAGTTGAAAATGGCTGGTCCTCCAAATCAGGTGGAGGCTGCAGGGACAAGTGTGGGAAGGAAGGGGTAAGTTTATTTCACAAATCCAGCACGGTTCAGACATAAGCCTCTTTCAGAAGACCTTCAAGCCTTTCTAGTCTGGTGGAAGGAAGGACAAGTGACCTGCTTCAGAACATAAAAACCCTCCTAGATCAGACTCAGGAGACATCCAGTACAGTGGTACCTCGGGTTAAGTACATAATTCATTCCGGAGGTCCGTTCTTAACCTGAAACTGTTCTTAACCTGAAGCACCACTTTAGCTAATGGGGCCTCCTGCTGCCGCCGTGCCGCACAATTTCTGTTCTCATCCTGAAGCAAAGTTCTTAACCTGAAGCACTCTTTCTGGATTAGTGGAGTGTGTACCCTGAAGCGTATGTAACCCGAGGTACCACTGTACAGAATCCTATTTGCCATGGTGGCCAACTCAGAATCTTTGTACTTGAGTGGTGAATTATAGAATTGTAGAGTTTGAAGGCACCTTGGGGGGGTCATCTGGTCCCCTGAAATGCAGAAATCTCATCTAAAGCATCCAGGACAGATGCTGAAAAACATCCAAGGAAGGGAATCCACAACCTGGAAAAGGAGTCCATTCCACTGTCGGACAGCTCTTACTGTCAGAAAGTTCTTGCTGATGTTTAGTCATAATGTCCTTTCTTGTAACTTGAAGTCATCGGTTTGGGTCCTAGCCTCCAGAGCAGGAGAAGACAAGCTTGCTCCATCTTCCATGCAGTTTAACCCTTAGCAGTTTAACTCTTTCTTTGCTGAGCTTATCTGGTGAGTTTCTCTTTGATAAGAGCTTATTTGTTTGGCATGCAAGAGTACTGGCAAATAGCACCCCCTAGAGATGATGACGTCGTCCCTTCTGTGAACAGAGTGGTGGCACTTCATCCCTGCTCAACTATGCCATTGGGTACATGTCTGAAAGACACATGAGAAACCAACGCCATTTGATTCCTGTCCGCATTCGGCAGGGGTTTTCCCCCCGTTGTGCACACAGCCAAGTAGATTTATTATAATAGGTAGCATCATGCTATAATTATCCCTGAAACTCTTTTATTAAAGAAGCAGGACCTGCTAATCTACAAGGTGCCTGGAAGAGTTTCTGATTATCGACTAATCCTTACTAATCCCTTACAAATCTTATCATTCACCTCATGGCAGCACCGGGCAATATTTTCCCATGAAAATGAAGTTGTGGGTATGGACCTTTTGCAGAGAGAGGGAAACAGAGAGAGCACATAGGGAAAAAACCTTCTTTTTCAACAATACCATAACAGCGCAGGTGGAGAAGCTTTTTCCAGAGGGCCACATTCCTTGCAAGGCAATCTTCTAGGGGGCAGCATGCCAATGCCGGGTGGGTCTGACAAGAGCTGTCTCCTTGAAGACTTGGAGGGCACCAGCAGAAGTGCCAACTTGAATGAAATATTGCAGGTGAGCCCTGCTGTGCATAATCGATCACATGACACAGTGCATGCACACCATTGGAATGGCAATGCCCATCAACTTTGCAGGGACCCAGCCCCCTCAAATATTTTATTGCAAGGGCCAAAGCCCCCACGGGCACTGGGAGTCGGCTCCTGGGGGCACCAGGTTGGCAAAGGCTGCCCTGTCGTCTTAGGTCATCTTGAACATAAGAGAGTGCATTATGCCCAGTGAAAGTTGATCTGTTAGGGCCAATGGCAATGCCAATCTCAATCTGCCCTCAGGTAGACCCCACCTGCCTGCAACCAGTCGAGGGGCTGCCACCGCCTGCAACCTTCCTCCTCCTTAGTCCCAGGAAAATTGAACTGGATACCTTCTACATGCAAAACAGGTACACTTCCATAGAGTAGGAGACTTAATCTCAGGGTCGAGGGTTCGAATCCCACATAGGTGAAAGATTCCTGCACTACAGGGGTTGAGCTAAATGAGCCACATGACCCCTTCCAACTGTACAATTCAATTATTCCTATGACATCAGGGATGGGCAATTTGTAATATTATAAGGTTCCATGTTCCATCGCCATTGGCTATCAACCACAGGTTCCACATCCTTACCCCAAATAACCAGGGCCACCTCGTGGCGGCCCAGCCCATTTTGCCACCTGCTGCCCAAGTCTTGCTTACCAGGGTTGTGCAGCTGCTGTGGTGGCAGGGTTGTGGGGGCACCTGCAGGAGTGCCACCTTGTGAGATTGCTAGCAGGTCCTCCCACCCATTGTATCGGCATGTAATGAGATGTACAATAATCCACTCTACATGGTTTCTTTTTTTTTATCATCATTTCTTCCTTGTACTCTTATTGCACTGGTTTGCTGATGTCCTACAAAATACCAACAAGTACCTTGCAAAATAAAACGAACAAGAATCTGAAGGATACTTGGGTTGGGCATTGTTCTAAACACTTCAGAGCTGTTCTAAACTCTGCAAACTAGATTCAAAAGCACACATGATTCCTACACCTTTAAGGAAGTGAATAATTCGACAAGCATCATTTGTGTAACTCACCGGCAAGCTACCATTGCTAATACTCCCTTCTCTATACAACTACTAAAGGGCAGAACCCTGTCTTCTTTTTCACCCTGCTATAAACCCTTAATTACTTTTCCTTAATTAAGAAATATTAAAGTTCTGTTTATGAGAAGGAGAGAATCAATATACCAAAGCAGACTCAGTATGATTCTTTACAGACAGAGAATTATTCTTAGCTCTGGTCTGAGACGATCGCTCTATATTCCTTTAAACACACACACAGACTTCGACTGCAAGCTGGCCATTGGCGATGGATCTCCAACCTTTTGCATTACGGTACTTTACTGAGCAAAGTACCTTACCTAAAAACACGGCACTAAACAAACCTAAAGCTCTTGACCTTTGAATTAAAATGTGACAGGAACATCTCGAAAATCTTATTGAAAGCATCTGGTGGTTTAGAGGAGCTAATTAAATTCGTCAGCACATATAGGATCAGCATTTTCCTGGTTTAAGGGGTCAAAGGAGAAAGTACAATCAGAATTACCAAACAAGTGGTTAATGAGATTCCATCAAATTTAAGGCTGATAGGAGTTAACAGGTCTGAAATATAATTATAGGGACCATTGCGAGAGGAGAGGAGAGGAGAGGAGAGGAGAGGAGAGGAGAGGAGAGAGAGAGAGAGAGAGAGAGAGAGAGAGAGAGAAAACTGTTGTTCAGTGTCTCATCATCAATATATCCACAGGGTCAGTCTAAACCATGTTGCTCCATCATAATGAAACTCACCAAGTCATATTTTAGCTATATAGCCCCACTCCTTACTGATGAAGATGTGCTAAACAGGACATCATTGTTTTTATGGAAGGCACTCTTCCTCCGAATATTATGTGACCAGCTGAAATTCAACCTGTGCAACTCCCCCCCCCCCCATTACGAAGAATGTGCTAATGGAGACAAGGACCTCACATTCCTATCTCTGCTCAGACAAGGAACTCAGTGAGTGACACGTCCATGGCCCAAGCATGGGAATGGTCATCGGCGTGCGTTGGGGGCCACGTCATAAAAGTCACTGCGAAACAGTCAAGCGCCAGCTTAGTAGAAATCAAACAGGAGCTGCTTCTGTGCCTTTAACAGCTGACTTTACCCAGAATTCCAGAAAACCCAGTAAAGTGTTTCTTGACATGGAATTGAAGCTATGGCAGGCATAGGCAAACTTGGCCCTCCAGATGTTTTGAGACTACAGTTCCCATAATCTCTGACCATTGGTCCTGTTAGCTAGGATGATGGGAGTTGTAGTCCCAAAACATCTGGAGGGCCGAGTTTGCCTGTGCCTGAGCTATGGGGAAACCTTCCCCTACTTGAGTCATGCATGTCAAGCTGCTTTTTAAGGGAGCTGTGGAATAAACACAACCGGCTGCTGACATCTGCAGCTCAAGCAGCTACACAGCTACAATGGCCAGCTGTAAAACTGGCAAGCCCACTTTTGTTTCTCTCAGGCTCTCCCTTATTTATTTTGGAGGTGTTTAAAAAAAAAAAAAGTTTACAAAGTACAATACACTTAGAACACTGCCTTCAAATGCAAAAGACTAAAGCCAAGGTTGCAATGCTTTGTTATAAAGGTTTGGTATTCGTAGTGTATGAGAGAAGTGATGTAGATGTACATTTTGAAGTGTTGGATCCCCCATAACCACTCCCTTAGATAGGGTCCAAAATTTTAGGTAGATATTTTGTTCCTCTACAAACACACACGCACACACACACACACACACACTCACAAAAGCTGAAGAGCAGCAGTGCATAGCATCCAGAAGAGTCTGTGCTGGCCTAGCCCCCACTTGCCCCTCTGAAAAATGCCATGGCTTTTATTGCACACATTGATATGTAATATGTGCACACGGGTGTATCTCTGCCAGGGATGGCTGCCATATCAAAGGAAGCAAGCAGAGCGAAGAAGAAGAAGAAGAAGAAGAAGAAGAAGAAGAAGAAGAAGAAGAAGGTGGTCTTACTGGTGTTCCATCACATGGGAGCTGCCGGCTGCCACTGCCAAAGGAACAACAACACAACCCCGGATTTTCATTCTTCTTACCGCTAATAGGATCGCTAGAGCTCAGAGCCGTCATCCCATCAAGATAAACGTCTCGGGTGCCCACTTTTAAGCAATCTGAATTCAATTAGGCTAATTGGAAAACAAGTAAAGAAGGATTGCATTAATGTAGCTTTACTGTGTGAAACTCAAAAACCCCACCCTCATGGGAGAAGTGAAGGGGGTGGGGAGAGGAGACAAGTGCATTTGACAAATAAGTTGTGGTGGTTCGTTCACGAAAGACAGAGGTTGGCTTGGCAGCCTCACACTCTTCCTCCTTTCTGGGCTCCTCTGCATTGATTAACATGGGCAGTCCTCTCACAGTGGTGGCTGGTAAGATGGGGTTTGGTGGAGGAGCCAAGGGGGTCTCTTTCTTCTGGTCAATTTCTTCTGGTCTTCTTCCAATCCTCATCCCTTGCATAGATGCCGTGAACACCTAAGTAAAGCAGTAGTAAAAGCATGGAAAGGGCTCTGCCCCACTTTGCCCTGGATACTAGCCCTCCCAGCCCCCTCCCCATCTCTTTGAGCTTCATCCCTGATCCTGAATGGGGCAACTGCGCCTCTGAAGGACCAGGTGCGCAGCCTGGGAGTCATTTTTGACTCATAACTGTCCATGGAGGCGCAGGTCAGTTCTGTGTCCAGGGCTCCATCTGGTACATTGGCTGAGCCCCTACCTGCCTGCACACTGTCTCACCAGAGTGGTACATGCTCTGGTTATCGCCCGCTTGGACTACTGCAATGCACTCTACATGGGACTGCCCTTGAGGGTGACTCAGAAACTACAACTAATCCAGAATGTGGCATCTGGACTGGTGATTGGGAAATGCCACTGAGACCATATAACACTGGTCCTAAGAGATCTACATTGGCTTCCAGTACATTTCCAAACTCAATTCAAAGTGTTGGTGCTGACCTTGGAAGCTCTAAATGGCTTTGACCCTTTATACCTGAAGGAGCATCTCCACCTCCATCATTCTGGCAGTTCCCTCATTGTGAGAAGTGAGGTTACAGGGAACCAGGCAGAGGGCCTTCTTGGTAGTGGCACCAGCCCTGTGGAACACCCTCCCATCAGATGTTAAGGAAATAAACAGTGATATGACTTTTAGAAGACATCTGAAGACAGCCCTGTATTGGGAAGTTTTTAATGTTTGATGTTTTATTGTGGTTTTAGATTTTGCTGGAAGCTCTTCAGAGTGGCAGAGGCAATCCAGTCAGATGGGCAGCATATAAATATTATTATTATTCATCCCAAAGTGCCTTCAGGCTCTAGTTTGGGGTTTTTTTAAATGGTTATTTATATTTTATTGGTTTTGGTACAAAATTACACAAACAGAAAATGATAACCATAGAGTTCATTAAACTCACTTTCAACCCTGCTTTCTGCATACAGTGGTACCTCAGGTTACATACGCTTCATGTTACAGACTCCGCTAACCCAGAAATAGTACCTCGGGTTAAGAACTTTGCTTCAGGATGAGAACAGAAATCGTGCTCCGGCGGCGTGGCAGCAGCAGGAGGCCTCATTAGCTAAAGTGGTACCTCAGGTTAAGAACAGTTTCAGGTTAAGAACGGACCTCTGGAACGAATTAAGTTCTTAACCTGAGGTACCACTGTACTGCACAGCAAAGGAAGGTGATGTGTGTGTCTCCTCCATCCTCTTTTGCTCCCCGTCCTCCATTTTATATTTAAGCAGGGCAGGCAGGTTCACAGCCTCTCCATCAGTATTAGTGTGGCCCTCAATCTACCAGAATGACTGTTAGCCATTCTTGCCAATGGAACGTCTCTGTCCAGAAGTAGTATATCTGGGACAAAGAACAAGGAAAGGCTCCTGCATTCAAAATAAGCTCTCTACTGGCATCTGCCTGGCCAAACAGAATAATGGACTATTAGATGGACCTAAATGGTCTGATGCAAGACAGCTCCTTTGGCTGTTGCTGGTGGCAGGCAGCTAGGCAGACCAACCTGCGACCCAGACCAGAGAGGCAGGGCAAACCACGATTGGCTGTGTTTCCTCTAAGCTTTTGCCTGCATGCTGCTAAGGGGCTTATAGTCTTTTGTTTTCCCAGAGTTAATTCTTTTTACCCGTTGCCCTGCACTCCCTAATGCTGCCAGGGAAGGTTACCCTTTTATCGAGCCCATTTTGTGTGTGTGTGTTTATGGGATGGCAAAACAGAAGGGAACTGGGTGAAAGAGGAAGGAGACAAGTTAGCAGCATCGTGGAGGCAGCAGAGAACACACTCGAAGCAGTCAGCAGGGGAGTCATTGCGCCACTTAAAATTGCACGTGTCTTCCCAAGGAACTCTGTTAGTGACAGTGGTGCAATGTTCCTAATGCCTTGTCATTTGGACTGGGGCGTTTTAACAGGCATCCCACCTGTGCTACTCCCTGAGCATACAAGATAACACCAACTCCCAAAGCCCTAGGCTTCTCCTGACTGGAATTAAGGTGCCACAATTAAAAAGGCCCTGTCTCACTTAGGTGGCAGGTGGTGAGAAATACCTGCTGGCAGTCAGTGTAGACATGGCTAGTTGAACAAATAGTACAGTGGACGCTCGGGTTGCGAACGTGATCCGTGTGAGAGGTACTTTCGCAACCCGCAGCGTTCACAACCTGCAGCGCCGCATCTGCGCATGCGTGGGTCGCGATTTGGTGCTTCTGCACATGCGCAAAGCATGATTTAGTGCTTCTGCGCATGCGCGAGCACCGAAACCCGAAATTAACCTGTTCCAGTACTGCCGGGTTTGGCACAGTGCACAGCCCAAAAACATGCAACCTGAAGCGTCTGTAACCCGAGGTATGACTGTGTAATGTGTGATGTTTTAAAACTTATACCTTGTTATAAAATTGTACGTTGTATAATGGCTCTTCATTTGTTCATCCTTTGAAAAACCATCTTTGACGGCAAATAACCCATTCCACACACACTTTTCAAAATGTGTGTTTAATGTAACATGTAGTAGCCATCTGATCTGTGATGGCTTCTTCACATGTAGAATCCATCAAGGGATGAGCCCAGAGTGAAATAGGTGTGTAGTTGAGTCCTTATGCAGATCTTCTTGTGTTGTTCTCAAAGGAGAACATAGGAGGCTGCCTTAAACCAAATCAGAGCTGCCATTATTTTCTCAGCAGCTTCAGAACTCAGCAACTCAAAGAACCTGGTGCTGGCTCCTGCCTGAAGCTGTTTGTTCTGGATGCTGCAAGCTCAATCCAGGCTGCTATGTTTCCTTAAGACACTGTGCAAGATGATAAAATGATACAGTGGCTGTCGGTCCAGTATACCTGAAGGAGTGTCTCCACCCCCATCGTTCTGCCCGGACACTGAGGTCCAGCGCTGAGGGCCTTCTGGTGGTTCCCTCGTCGCAAGAAACCAAGTTACAGGGAACCAGGCAGAGGGCCTTCTCGGTAGTGGCACCCGCCCTGTGGAACGTCCTCCCACCAGATGTCAAAGAGAAAAACAACTACCAGACTTTTAGAAGACATCTGAAGGCAGCCTTGTTTAGGGAAGCTTTTAATGTTTAATAGATTATTGTATTTTAATATTATGTTGGAAGCCGCCCAGAGTGGCTGGGGAAACCCAGCCAGATGGGCGGGGTATAAATAAATTATTATTATTATTATTATTATTATTATTATTATTATTATTATTATCATCATCATCATCATCAGTGAGGTACCAGCAACTTCTGGGCATTGCAGTTTCACAGGAGAGCGGATGGCCTCTGGAACAACAGCCTACCAATGTGCTGATCAATTGTTACAACAGGAAGACACTGCCTAAATAATACACAGAGAGAGAAAGAGAGACCCTGAATCTTACCACTCCAAGTACCTCCACTGCTTATCTTCAAAATACTTTTCCTCCTTAGAAGCCCACTTTCCCCTAAAGCCTATTTAAAGATCCCAGTCTCCAGTCTCAAAACGGAGTGGAAACGGAAGTATGTGTTTGCCTACGTCTGTCCCTTAATCCCTATGCTTCACCCACTGTCAACTTCATTTTTAAGTAGCCAAGTGGGACAGGGGGCAGCTGCCCCCCCCTCGATCCACAAATATTATCGAAAAGCATTGAAAGTACTCAGTTATCTGAGTTTCTGCCCGCCCCCCAGCAGAAGCCTGCCACCCGCAATGTCCTATTTACGGGGTGTTTTTTACCCGTGATTTCCCAAGAAAAGCTCAACAATTTTGATCTCCTGAAAAAAGCTGCCACCTTCCTAACAAAAATCCTGGCTATGCCCATGTTTCTAAGGTCTTCAATCCCCGCCTTAGAGGCAAAATTTAAACTGTAGACTCCTCAGGGCAGATAGCTGTCTGTGCTTTTAACATTTGTTTACAGACTGAGCTTCAGTATTGCAGGGTGGTATTATGACTACTAGTAGCCATGCTGGTAGCAGTAGCAGTAGTAATAGCAGAAAGTGGTTTCAGAGCTAACATTGGCCAGATTCTAAACTTTAAGTGTCTCTTTCTTTAAGATTTGCTCTTCCCCTTGTTCCACACGTTGATTCCCCCCCAAAAAGTAAAATCTAAATTCATCCCCATATGTTGATATTCAAACACATACCTTCGCACAATTTAACATCTTTCTGAAGCTGCTGCATATCTTTGTTTCCGTGAACAGATCCTTCGAAACATAACAGTTTGCATTTGTTATATTAATATCTGATAAATAAATTGTGGGTTTATCTGCTTACTTATTCCAGTTGTGCGATTTTATTTTATTATTTTATCCTATATATATATATATACATATATATATATATATATATATATATATATATATATATATATAGTGTGTGTGTGTCTTATATTCTTATTGTCCTTGTTATTTGTTCTCTGTTTTCTACCTGCAATGAAGTTTCTGCGACCAAATGCTTGATTTGCAACGGTTTTGTATTTTGGAAATACTGAGTAAAGAGAATAGGAATAGGGGTGGCGGTTCATTCTGAAGGAAACTGAAGGAAGCGACTCAGATCAGTGTTGGCAGCCCTTATCCTTAATTTCAACCAAAAGCACACACTTGTGAGTTTAAGCCTAACAATAACGACGACAACAAAAGATCAGGAAATGGACCATCAGTAATAAAGGCGTGCGTGTTTCTGAGCATGTGCAGAGTGCCTTTCCCCTCCCAGCTGATAAATCCCAGGAGAGTCAGCGGCTGTGGCTGCCTTCTGGATTCCGCACTTGTTGTAAGAGCGGATTGACTCCCATCAAATGGTATTTCTGCGTCTGGAATCCTGCCATTCAGACTCACCGACGGCAGCGCCCACCGCAGAAACAGATCCGTTTGCAGAACTTTTTTTAAGCACATCGGATCAGCGCTAGAAATGTAGGGCCAGAAACGGGACAGAACAACAGACACAAAATCCAGCTGGTTGGGCAGTCGCAAGAAAATAAGTTTATTTCATTTATTTAAAGCCGGGAAGGAAAAACGAGTGGTTAATAGGCGCGGTAAATCGATTAATGCCTTAACTGCGGATTAAGCGGTTAGATTTTAAATAGGATTTTAAGCGGAGTTTTCCCCCCGGAACGATATCATATCCCTGAGTCCTCTCTGCATAACATCTTTCAATGCCGCGCTGGGAACGAGGTCCTTGCAAAAAAGAAAGAACAAGCGGCTCCTCGTCCTTTAGACCCACACCCAGGAGCCAAAAACACTCCGCCGAAGCCAACGGGGTGAAATCGAATTAAAACCCCACAGCCCTGACCTGGACGGCTCCTTAAATCGCTGTCTTTGTCCGATAGCCCTTCCTGAGACTTGCCCAATTTATTTCAATTAACTAATTTTGATTGTCTTTAATTAATTAACAGCCTGCGAGGGAAGAGAGAGAGAAAAACCAGTGAAACCATCAGGCGCCTTTCTGGCAAAACGACCTCCATTCTTTCGTTAAACTCCACGGATTTCAAGGGTGGGCTTCTTGGAAAGTCTTTCAAGATTAGGAAGAAGCTGCGCCCCTTCCACGATTCCTCCTCCCCCCGCCGCACATTCAGATCCTAATCTGACAAGACTCCCAGACTAGATCCCTAGGCCCCTAGATAGCTCCTCCTTTGACAAAGAAATCCTCTTGTTCCCGTTCGCAGGAGGAGATTTTCTAAAAGTGTGTTTGTGGAACAGGGCACAGTCAGCGTGGCTAGTAGCCTTCGCTGTTCCTCTCCGCGAATTTGTCCCTCTTTTAAAACCCACTTGTTTTTAAGACGTGCGTACGTGAGCTCCAAAATGCCTCCTGGAAACTTTGCCCTGCTCCTCCCTCCCTCTGCAGCCGCCTGGACCTTCTGAAACAAGTTTTCTGCCCTTTTTAAAAGCAAAAATAAAACCACTTTCCCTCTTCAACCGGAGTTAGCCCGTCGGAAGTCGAGACCTCCCCGAAACCCTAGCAAAAAAACCAAAACAAAACCGCATCCACTCCTCAGCCTCCCTCGACGGCGACCGTTTCTCTCTGGCTGCTTCCTCCCCGCTGGTCAGTTTCCTCGAAGGGCCGCCCTTCCCGTCCAGGGGAGGAGCCTGAGGCGAAGGAGAGCCCCCACCCCCGTTAATTCAGGTGCCTCCGGCCCCCAAGTCGCACAAAGCCCCCGGGAGACGGAGCGCACGGGAGCAGGCAGGCAGCAGCGCCCGCGGGACTCCGACGGGACGCACCTCTGCTGCGCCTCTCCCAGGCAGGGCTGGTGGCGTCGCTGCGCGGGCGAGCTCCTTGCTCTGCCCGGAGAAAGGTCACTCCAATCCTGGCCGCTGATCCTCGGCCGTCCGAGGACGACCCGGCCCCGTCAGCTTGGAAGGAGACGGGAAGGGCGGCTGGGGCCGAGAGCCGCTTAGGCTCAGCGAGGACTCGCAAGCCGCCTTCTCCCGCTGCTGCCCTCTGACACGAGCAGATCCCGACGGGAGTTGGTCGCCTGAGGAGCCTCTCAAATCCTTCCAGCCGTCGGAAGGAGGAGAAGAAGAAGAAGGAGAAGCAGGGTATCTCCGTCGTGCTCTTGTTGGACGGCTGAGCAAGGAAGGAGCGCGCATGGCGTAGGGGAGCCCCCGGAGGTCCTTGGAAGGGGAGGATCGAGGGCTGTCCTCCTCGCCCTCCCCCCTCCCCACACCAGCCCCCTGCCCTGCCGCCAGGAGAGCTCCATGCACCTGCAGCAAGGTTCCCTTCTGAACATGACCGACGGCGGCTTCTCCCTGACTGGGCACTTGGTGAGGAGCCCCAGCGGAGGAGGGAACCCGTCGAGGCTCCACAGCATCGAAGCGATCCTGGGATTTACCAAAGAGGACCCCCTTTTGGGCGCCTTCCAAGCCCACGATGCCAGTGGCGGAGGCAGGCCCATGAAGGAGGCAGAGAAGCGCAGCCCCAGGGATTGCTTCTCCAAAATGCCAGCTGAGCAGCCTGGCCAGGGCCAGGAAGGGCCCGCGGAAGAACACTTTGGAGGTAAGGCGAGGGGTTTTGGGGGGGGGTGTCAGGTCATAGTCTCCCACTTACTGGAGGAACCCAGTCCTCCTGTAGCTTCTGGGACCAGTGAAAGTGTGTGGTTCCTTTGCTTCAATTTGAAGGAGACCCCCATTAACCCCCTTTAGAAGCAAGTTCGAATAACTTCATCATTATTATTATTTTGGGAAGTATTTAATGACTGATGTCTTATTATGTTTGATGTATTATGTGCTGGAAGCCACCCAGAGTGGCTGGGGAAACCCAGCCAGATGGGTGGGGTATAAATAATAAAATTATTATTAAGAGAGGGGCGCATTTTTAAAATGGGCGCCTTTAAAATCAGTTAAGTGTTGGAGGGGATAACTGAGGAAGAAGAGGAGGAAAGCGTTTTAAAGATCAGGCATCTTTGTGAGACGCCTCAGACACAATAATAAAAACCCCTACTCTTTAAAAATCCCAGACACAGGGAGCTGCCTTACACAGAGTCAGACTATGGGTCCCATCTAGCTCAGTCTGTCTACACTGACTGGCAGCCACTCTCCAGGGCTTCCGAGAGGCGTTTCTTCCAGATCTCCCAGCTCTGCCTGCAGATGCCAGGTGATGGTGATGCTTTTCAAAGGAGCAACCTACTGAGTGTGTCTTTGGCTGCTTGAGCAAACAGTGCCCCGGGTGTTCTGTAAATTGTACAACTTTAGAAAAGGCACTCTGGCATGCAAGGAAGGAAAGAGAACATTTCCCAGAGCACAGCATGGCAAATTAAGGCAAGCGCACTGACACTGGACACATTCGCATGTCCCACTGAACTTAGTGAGGCTTCCTGCATGGGCTGTTAATGCGGCTGAGGCGCCATCCATTACAATGACATTTTATACTGAAGTACGTATGTTGCTACGAACATGATTTTGGCCAAGTTGCGGGAGGCAGTGGAAGACAGGAGTGCCTGGCATGTTCTGGTCCATGGGGTCACGAAGAGTCGGAAACGACTAAACAACAACGTATCTTGGGGACCAGATTTCCCAGGGAGGGATTCTCACCCTAAACTCATCATCTTGAAGGCAAGTGCTCAGATTATTTCAGTGGGACTTGCTTCTGTGCTAAGGGTGCTGTTTCCATTTGGGGGGGAATAGCTTTGGAGCTTAGGAGACAGAGAAACATGGTCTTGTCCAGTTCTTCAAGCTTGTTTTCTTATCTCATCTGGGGTTGCCACGCTTGTCCAGCTTATTCCCAAATGGATCCATTAAACGGCACGGAACCAATGGACCAATACTCCTCTGAGCTGTCCATTTTATCCAGGAGTTCCTCTCTCTGAGGGCTGCCACCTCTGCTCACGTTAGGAAGAGCTTAGCCGGTGTGGCCACCCTTAGAATACTGTGTCCCGTCCTGATCCCCACACCTCAAGAAGAGTTTTGTAGAGCTGGGAAAGAGTCAGACATGGGGCAAAGCAAAATGATCACAGGGGCTGGAGCAACTCCCTTTATGACAAAGAGTTGGGGCATGATAAAGGTGTGCAAAATTGTGCAGGTTATGAAGAAAGTGGACGCAGAGATGTTTTTCTACTTAGAACTTGGGGACACCCAATGAAGCTAAATCTTGGAACATTAAAAGTTCTTCTTCACTCAGTGCCTAGTTAAGGTTGCACTTCCAAAAGATGCAGCAAAGTCCACCAACCTGCATGACTTTAAAGGGGACTGGACAAATTTAGGGAGGACAAGGCTACTTGCCTTTTCGGCTATGTTTTTCCTCCACAGTCAGAGATTACATGCCTTTGAATACCAGTTGCCTGGGAATCACAAGCGGGGAGAGTGCTGTTGCACTCCTGCCTTACTTGCAAGCCTCTCACGGGCATCTGGTTGGCTGCTGTGAGAACAGGACGCTAGACTGGATGAAGTGTAGGTCTCATTGTTTTCTGGTCCCACCAGCACATCAAATTCAAATTGCTTCCCCCAGGCTACATTGCACTTGTGTCATGTGAATCACGCCCCACTTGTGAGCATCTGGCTCAGCACCATGGGAAGCGGTGGGAAAGCTGGCTTAGGCAGACTTTGCTCTAAGCCAGCAAGATGCAATCTCAGACCTTTCCAAAGCAGATGAGTGATGGTCCAAAAACAGCCATTGGAGAATGGTTCGGAATGGCCTCTGTTTTACCAGGGGAATAGTACAGTGCTGGGACGAAGGGGAAGGGAAGCATCAAGCTGTGCAGAGCAGTTGAGTGGATCAGCTTCCATTCATTTAGATTTTGATAGAATATTATTAACTCATAATAATATATAAATGACCAAGACCATGTATCCTTGGCTGGGCACAGAGCTGCTGAGTTCAGCATAATTCTGAGCAGCCCTGCACAGGATTGCTGCAGTCCAGATCAGAGCTAACGGACTTCAAAGCAACGAAATCAATGGCATTTGCATATACGTAATAGGTTTTAGGATCCAGGGTAAGGCTGCAAAAGGCAGAAACAGTAGCAATATCGATGTTGCTTTTAACACTGGATTTTATTTTGAAATAAAGTCAAAACTGAAGGCAACAGAAAGGAGGAACACACAGAAGGATATAGCAAGATCACTAATTAAGTAATGTGATTATATGGTGCTGATTAATAGAAATACACATTTTCTTTCTTGTAAAACACTTGAAGTCTTTTAAAAGATAAAGGAGATCTATCTATCATCTATCATCTATCTATCTATCTATCATCTATCTATCATCTATCTATCATCTATCTATCTATCTATCTATCTATCTATCTATCATCTATCTATCATCTATCTCTATTAGTTCTCTGTGAAACCAGCTCAAAATTTTAAAACAAATCAAGACAAGAAGTCTGGATTTATTAAATTTGGAAGCAAATGGTGTTGAAATCAGTGGTATACTTACGTTCGCTCAAATGTGCTTAGCATCAGGTAGACATGCTGGTGTGAATCAGCTTGGCTGCCCAATCCTTTGCATGCCTACTCAGAAGTAAGTTCTACTGATTTCAATGGGACTTACTCCCCGGTAAGTGTGTACAAGGTTACAGCCTTAAATCCATGAGCTCTGACTCCATTTGTTGGTGGGTTGCCTCACCTCTCCTTCTTCTCCCCCCCCCCCAGACCCCTACTGCTCCAAACGCTCAGAGGAGTGCTTGAGTCCAGAGCTGGCCACTTGCAACAACAGCGACGGCAAACTGTCCGATGAAGACCAGCCCAAGAAGAAACACCGGAGGAACCGGACAACCTTCACCACCTACCAGCTGCACGAACTTGAGCGAGCCTTCGAGAAATCCCACTATCCCGATGTCTATAGCCGAGAGGAGCTGGCTATGAAGGTCAACCTACCTGAAGTGAGAGTCCAGGTAAAATGGCAGGTGGTCTTCTCTTCCTCCTCCTCCTTCTCCATCTAGCCACATGGTGAAATCTTGGACAGTTAATCCTCAGGTTCTCATCTTCATTAGAAGACCTCAGTCAAAAGCAGCCTTTCCCTGCTAATCCAGTAAAAGTCTCCCCCACCCCGGATATAATTTCAGACTTTGCATACGTAGTAAAGGATTTTCCTTAATCTGCCTTTTTTTAACACTTCAGACCACAATCTCTCTCTAATTATGAGTGTTTAGTTTCAGATACTCTGGCTAAGAATTCTCCTAATCATGCAATGTCCAGCACAGGAGAAAGGTGTTGGTTGGTTTGTCGTTGTTTTGGTAGTTCGTGCAATTTGAAATATCATTTACATTGATGTATGTGTTTTAAAACTTATTGGAAGTTCCCTATTTATTTATAGGGTACCATAGATTTGGGGGTAAGAGAGGGGGAGACAGAAAAGGAAAGGAGAAACTATAGTAAAAAAAATAAATAAATAAGCACCTTAGGTTAGTTTTAGTTTCCCAAGTATGTGACAATTAGGCTTAATTTTCAAATTCTTTGAATGCTCCAGAAATAGCATGTGCAATTGGCACCTCTTTCCATGTTCTTCCTGCTACAACCTTCTGCATGAAAGTTAGGGATTCATTAAACAAGAACCAGCTTTCCTGCAATGTTTGAGTGAATCCCAAAGTCAATAGTGGTGATCTGTCATGGAACAGCCCCACTGAAGAAGATAACAATGGTTACCCAGACCTTGTTGCTGGCTGCAAAGGGGTCCCCATAACAGTTCAAGCTTCAAGACCTCCAAAAATGTAGGTCCACCACTGGCCAGGGATATGGAATAATATTATGTCATTTGAAATACAGCCTATGTAATCGGCACCTTAGCATCTAGCAATGCCCACAGACAGGCAGGTTTTTCAAGCTCTTTTTGTTCATTTTCTTGCTTCCGAATTTGAATTTATTGCTCCATCTAGCCTCTAGCAGCACTGCAAAACTGAGAGCAGGGTTTCTTTTATTACCTGCTTCCCCTTTTCGGTGATAAGCTGTGGATGGGAGTGCAGGATTGCCTCCCATTTAAAGTCACACAACCCTTTAAATTTCCCAATGCAGCTGTAGATGTCAGCTCACTTGGTCCCCAGTCCTGGTGTGTGTCTGTGTCTGTTTGTCCCACTACTTCACCTGCTGAACGGCATACCTGGACAGTGCTGGATTACCAAAGAGGCAGAGTAGCTACCGGCCCATCAGCCCCGCAACTTTTAAGGGCCCCGTGACAAACAGATCAAAACAACATTGATTTAATCTTCAAAGAAAATTAGAACCAAGCTTTCTTAGTTGAATGTTATCCCGCTAGAGCAGGAGACCTCGAGATTTCGACTGCCTAGGGGCTCTCCTCAGGGTTTAATCGGGCACTGCACCTGGAGACCTGCTTGCCACAGCAGCTAAGGAAGGGGGAAGGCAACAGAACTGGGAAGCTAGCGGGTGAGAAGGTCTACAGCTGCCTCCTTTCCCGTTTCATGATAGACTTAAAGGCAGGTGGCCAGCGTCTGGGGTAAGAGGTGTCAGTGCTTCGTCAGGGCTTTGGTGTAAACTGAAGCCCATTCGGCCACCCCATTGGCTGAAGTGGAGGTAGAACTGATGTGAACCCATCCTTTTGTGCACATGGAGCTACTCACTCTGTCCTGGCTCAAACACAAAGGGCAGTACTCCCCTTCCTGACATGTCTAGAAGCCAACTGGACCAGCGGTTGAATTTTCCTGCAACACTGTAGACAAGAGAATGTCCTTCGCAGCACATTTCTAAGCAGGAGCCCCATGTCATGAATTGCCCTGAGATCTACAGATGAGAGGTGGTCTACAAATATAATAATAATAATAATAATAATAATAATAATAATAATAATAATGGGACACACTTCCAGCAACTCCTGCAGCCAAGCTTGTGCCCAACATATTGCTCTGCTTTCATTTGGACCCCATCAGTGAGGCTGAGAGGAGAGCTCTGACTTCTGGGCAGCCCAGGACCTCCATACACACTGCCCAACCTTGAGCCCTGAACAGGCCACTTCAGTGCTGCTAACGCAGCAGTTTGACTTCACCCCTGGAAGCGCACTCCATTATCTCCTGAGACAGATGGATGTCAACAACACTGCGTCACACACAGCTCTGCCTTTCAACATCTTGTGGTCCCTCTCCACCTCTTAGCATTTGTCATCCAAAAAAGTCGCTTCAGTCTACCTAATAGTTGGTTCGGCCCCATCTACATGCCTTAACACCATGTATGCGTTGTGGTGCCTATAGGACTCTCGTGTATTCTTCCTTCCTGACCCTTCTTTATTCAACACAGTGCTAAGCGGGGCATGTGTGCATGGAACAAGGTCTGCTTGAGCACTGAGATTTCTAGCCCCACATACTGTTCTGGGTTCCCCCCATCCCAACCCTCTGGAGCAGATTTAGGGAGCATGCAAGAGGACATATAACAGCAGAAGAGCAGGATGTCCACTTGTGCAAGCAAGCAGACCTTATTCCGTGCATGCAACCATTGAGTTGAATCCTGTCCCATGTGTCCAACTGTGCAGCCTTTTCTCCGAAGTGCTGTTCAGTCCAAGCTCAGTTTGAAAATCTTTCAGAAGGGAGACCAAGAAAGGCCTTGAAGTTGCCCATCAATAGTTAGTCCCCAGACAGCAGAAATAGCAGGCACAGGTCACTTCCGCACTACGGTGAGATGCATTGTATACTTCTATTGAAATTCCAGCAATTATTTCTAAATGCATCTAGAGCAGCACGTGCACCTTTTATGCAGATCTTTTCCCCTCTCTTGTGGTGATGCATAAGGAGCTGCTCTGCGGGGCGGGGGGAGAAGGGAGGAGCCCCTTGCCTGCTCCCCCACGTTCTCATTGGCGCAGCCTCCCACATGTTGGGGGCTGAAGTTCTGGAGAAGGGGAGTTTGCTGTACTTGAGCAAACTCCCACTTCACATCCCCCCAGTGAGATTTAGAACCCTGATCTCCCAGAGTTCTAAATCTGGCAGGGTCCTGCACAAGTTAATGCGGAGCAAAAGCATATATATTTGCGGTGCAGCAACCAGCTAAACTCTTTACGGTACCCGTGTTTTTCGCTAAATGAATTGCATTGTGAGAGCCTAATTTGTTTAGAGGAGGTTATGAATGATTGCTGAAGAAGTTTGCGGAAGAAAGCAAGAGCCCCTCGATACACCCACTTCACAGAAATTGAGGGGAAGTGTCAAGTAGCAATATTTACCTCCTTATCGCATCGAGAACCTATTGTGGGTGGATACATATGGAGATATGTTTTTTTCCATCAAGGACTTAAAAGTACGGCACTTAACCTTAGCTGGATCCCACCAGTTGTAGAGTTTGTTGCAAAGAGGTGCGTTCTCATGCATGTGTGAGTTTCCACCTTCGCGGCTTCTCAGAAACGTCAGTTCCCACCGAAAAGAAGAAAGTTGGAGATTTCTCCCCCACCCCACCTGCTTAATTGTAAGTGGGAGGTTTTTCGCAGGCTTAATGAAAGCTGAATGATCTGTAATCCCTGGATCACGAAAATGTTTGAGAAGCCTGAAATATTTACTAGTCATCTGTAAAAAGAAGAAGGAAAAAATCTGGGAGGGCTTCCAAAAGTGTGTGTGTTTGGAAAAAGCAGCCTCCAAAAACCAGCACTTAATTTTATCCCTTCTAGTGGGTAATGAGAGCAGATTTGGGTTTATGGACTAAGGGGAATTATTTGATGGGGAGCATGAGACAAAATTGCCTGCAGGGGGTTTCTTTTTTAACCCATCAATTTTGAATTAACTAAGGGAGCTCAGGGCTTGGTATGGGTTTTAAAGGATTTTGGCCGGCATCTAAACTCAGAAAGTATATGAGAGAGAAGCTCTTTTTCTTTGGGCAATCAAATAGTGCTGGTTGACTTTCAGTGAAAGGCAGTTGGAAGGCAAAATTCTACTATTAAAGCACCCTTGGGATCTCATTTACTTAAATGAAAACAGGGTCCTGCAACACCTTGTGATTATTTAGGCTTCAAGGCAAATAACTGTGATTTGGCTGTTTACTTATGAGCTAGGCCAGTTTCACAAGTCTCATTTAATATACAGTGGTACCTCTAGTTAAGAACTTAATTCGTTCCGGAGGTCCATTCTAACCCTGAAACCGTTCTTAACCTGAAGCACCACTTTAGCTAATGGGGCCTCCCGCTGCCGCCACACCGCCGGAGCACAATTTCTGTTCTCATCCTGAAGCAAAGTTCTTAACCCGAGGTACTATTTCTGGGTTAGCGGAGTCTGTAACCTGAAGCGTCTGTAACCTGAAGTGTCTGTAAATTGAGGTACCACTGTACAAGAGATATATTTTCACATATCTGAAAACTCATGATTGAAAATTGCATGGAATGTGCATTTTCATCTACACCCGACTCTGCGGTGGCCAAGTTTATATATACACTTTTCAAATTTTTAAAATTAATTTTCCAGATTATTACAAATCAAACCAATTTATATTAATTTAATACATTTTCTTAAAATCAAGTTTCCCACTGCTGTTCCAAACATATGATCATCATCATTTCCTCACATAGCCGCATCATTTCTTATTTAGAGTCCAGTTTACATCCTTCACTTGCCGTTAAACCATTCTTCCAGCTGGCCACTTTTTTCACCTTACAAACAGCACCTCGGTTACATCTTATAAATAAACAATCCATTTCACAATATGCATTGTTGTTCCGGACCTGGTGTGCTGGGAGAGTTAATTACTATCTTCCATTGTTCCTCTTTCCGAAGTAACAAACAGAATAACATGGCATCAGCTACACCAGGCATAGGCAAACTCGGCCCTCCAGATGTTTTGGGTCTACAACTCCCATCATCCCTAGCTAACAGGACCAGTGGTCAGGGATGATGGGAATTGTAGCCCCAAAACATCTGGAGGGCCAAGTTTGCCTGTGCCTGAGCTACACACATCCTTTTCATTATATAGGGGAGGACAGGAAAAAGGAGGCCATTTGAAAACCGTAAGAAAGCATAAGAAAGCAAAAATCACCTTATACTCCACCTTCCTTTCCCGGCCGTAAAGGTTCTCAAGCTTCAAAGAAAACATTCAGATACCTTCAATGAGCCAAGCCCTGTCCGTTTGGCAGCTGACTGATTGCAGCCTATTAGCATATGTCGGTCCAAGAGCACCTCTTGATTAATGCCAAGTGTCCGAATTATGGAGGAACAAACCACAAATCATGCTGGAGACGGAGGATCATCCATGGCAGGGACACACTCCCAGGTCACACACCCCTCTGCCTTTCAAGTTGGCAGACACGGGCTTGAGCGGCACAGCGGGATGCAGTGAGCTCCCCAGACCCCACTGGGGAACATAGCCAGGATTTTTGCCTCATAAATTTTGGTTTCCTCTGCCTGAACCTCCTCGCTGCCCACTGAAGGACCCCTCTATTGCAAGGGCTGCCTGGTCCAAGTCCAGGTTAACGAACCAGCAGGAGGGAGAGCAGATGGGGCTCATCAACAGTTTAGCACCTGCATGGTTGACTGAATAGGCTCACAGCTCACCACATCGCAGCCTTTCCTGAGCCGTATCCCTGAGCTTTACCTTATAGGTAAAGGGGACCCCTGACCATTAGGTCCAGTCATGGCCGACTCTGGGTTGCGGCGCTCATCTCGCTTTATTGGCCGAGGGAGCCGGCGTACAGCTTCCAGGTCATGTGGCCAGCATGACTAAGCCGCTTCTGGCAAACCAGAGCAGCACACGGAAACGCAGTTTACCTTCCTGCCAGAGCAGTACCTATTTATCTACTTGCACTTTGACGTGCTTTCGAACTGCTAGGTTGGGAGGAGCAGGGACCGAGCAACGGGAGCTCACCCCGGCGTGGGGATTCGAACCGCCGACCTTCTGATTGGCAAGTCCTAGGCTCTGTGGTTTAACCCACAGCGCCACCCACGTCCCTGAGCTGCATTGTATTTCTACTTAAATTACAGGGGTTGTAATTTGTTATGGTGAGCATCCTATGAGCATTGCAGCTTGCCAGATGAAATGATCTCCTCCTGTCCTCACCCCGTGTCCTGTTCTGGGGTTCTCCCCATTCCCCCCAGAGACAAATTCAGGGGGTGAGAGGGAGGAGAGAGAGAAAACCCCATTGCATAAGCAGAGGTTCTTGAACCAGGTTTGCACTGATGGGACTCCTTGGGTGATTCCTTGCTTATTGTTTCCAAATCTGCATCTATGCCTATAAATTAGCACATGTGGATTTTACGCAAAACCGTGTTTTCCTTTGCATTCTCATTTTTTGAACACATTGTCACTGGCTCAAGGTGTGTGTATGATGTCTTTGTGTGAGGGAGATCAAAAGCAGGGGCAGCTTCCTTATGTAGAATGTTGTTGTTTAGTCGTTTAGTTGTGTCCGACTCTTCGTGACCCCATGGACCAGAGCACATCAGGCACTCCTATCTTCCACTGCCTCCCGCAGTTTGGTCAAACTCATGCTGGTAGCTTCGAGAACACTGCCCAACCATCTCGTCCTCTGTCGTCCCCTTCTCCTTGTGCCCTCCATCTTTCCTAACATCAGGGTCTTTTCCAGGGAGTCTTCTCTTCTCACGAGGTGGCCAAAGTACTGGAGCCTCAGCTTCAGGATGTGTCTTTCCAGTCAACACTTAGGGCTGATTTCCTTAAGAATGGAGAGGTTTGATCTTCTTTTATGTAGAATAGGAAGTCTCTATTTTCATCTGAGAAATGTTGGAGGGTATGTACCTGCTTTGTATTTATGTGGTTTTTCCTTTTCCCTTTAGGTTTGGTTTCAGAACCGGAGAGCCAAGTGGCGTCGTCAAGAGAAGCTGGAGGTGACATCCATGAAGTTGCAGGATTCGCCCATCCTCTCCTTCAACCGCTCACCTCAGCCCTCTGCCATCGGGACCATCGGCAGCAACTTGCCCCTGGACTCGTGGCTGAACCCACCCATGCCCAACACCAGCCCCCTGCAGACGTTGCCAGGATTCGTGGCTTCCCCACAGAGCCTCCCCAGCAGCTACACCCCTCCCCCTTTCCTAAACTCTCCCCCCATGGGACACACCTTGCAACCCCTAGGAGCCATGGGGCCTCCACCGCCTTACCAGTGCGGGACAAACTTTGTGGACAAATTCCCGCTGGAAGAGGTGGACCCCCGCAACACCAGTATTGCTGCGCTGAGGATGAAGGCGAAGGAGCACATCCAGTCCATTGGGAAACCGTGGCAGACAATATGAGGAGGGAGATCTCTGGCTCGCGTGGTTTGTGAGAAAGGCTCCCCTTGCTCCACCTTTGGAAAGTGGTCTCATCCCTTAGATCTTGTGTTCTGGACAGATAAGCAAAGACTATTGCTGTTAAGAGTGCCCCCACATTCTGTGTTGTAGAAAGGACCTGAGCATTAAACAAAAATCGTTCTGCACCTACCTACCTACCGACCAACCAACCCCTTAATCCTCCAATTTAGCCACTGCAATCTTTGTGTTCTTCCCCACCTTTGGCACAAGATTTAGGGCTTGGTTCTAGCTTTGCTTTGATTGTTGTATTTCTTCTTTTTTTAATGATCTAATCATCCAATATCCCCAACTCATTGGCTGGATTACAGTAGAGGTGACGAAGAAGCAGGAAAATGTTGTATCCTTCCTAGGGACGTTTTGTAACATTAAAGCACACATATTTTCAGACAGGACGCTGGGGTTGTTAATTCTGTATCTATTACTTATGGTTTGTTAATTCTAAATCTGTTGACTGTAGTTTGCGGCATCCCTCTGGACCATCAAGGTTTGGTTTTGTAAGCTAAATCAGTAAGCAGATCATCACATATTATTATTATTCATTCCATTTCTATACTGTTTTATATTTAAAGGGTGGGGGACTCAAAGCGGTTTACAGCACACTAAAACACCAAATAAAACCATGCAGGAGAAAACGTGACTGAATAAAGTCAAATATAAAGTATACACCCAAAGCAACATTAGCAGGAAACTAAAATGTTATATGAAAGATTTCAAAATAAACCATTGCGAAGGAGGTCCGCTACAGAGTGCACATTTAATGCAGCAAAGTTAACCAAAAAAAATCTTAAAACATTTCAAAAGAAGACACTACTAAAGGAAGTCAAATATAAAATGCACATTTAAAGCAGAATAATTAACAAGAGAGTACGTTATCACAAGCATAGAGCGTATCTGCTGCAGTTCTGCCAATGGTGGCTCGTTTCACCTGTTCCTGGGTACAAGGAAATAACCTGTGAATATTTGTTCTGATCAACCTCACTTTAAAATGTCAATAATAATAATACTCCACCCATCTGACTGGGTTGCCCCAGCAACTCTGGGTGGCTTTCAACATATATAAAAATATAATTAAACTTTTTTTAATAAAAAAAAATCCCTATACAGTACAGGGCTGCCTTCAGATGTCTTCCAAAGTTTGTATAGTTACTTATTTCCTTGGCTCGGTGGTCGCATAAGGGATGTTGCATGTGATGCATTTGTACTTAACTAACCCTGCGCCCTGTCAATGCTGCTGGGCTCTAACTCCCATCTGCCCCCAGCCAATGGTCAAGAATGATGGGAGCTGTAGTCCAATACCCTATGGAAGGCACTCTGTTTCCCACCCTTGCGCTAAAGGGCCAAAGGCATGTTCTCTTTGGGAAACTGGATGAATGAGTGCACCTTGAAGATGAGCAGATAATTGCTACTTGAGGTCTGGATGGATTTTGTCCCTCTCCCACAGGGCAAAGTTGACTTGCATCTGGGAGAAGGGGACATTGGTTTCTGCCTTGATCATGAGGTTTGGCTCATGTGCTTAGACCACCACAATGGTTCTGCTAGGGTACTGATTTTCTGTTAGCTTGTTCCTAGTCTATGTTTATAGCATAAGATACCATGACATGGACTTGGATCCATAGTTTTCATGCTCCTTGCATTCAGGAATCACTTCCCAAGTTGACCCTTGTCATGGCAGGATTCTGGGGCACTGCAAAGGATTCTGGGGCACACGCTAGGCCACACGCCCAGTATGCAAAGAACACTACCTGGCCTCAACCAAGGAGCATGTTCTGGGAAGTGCACTGTCAAGTAACTCACCAATGGACTCCTCCAAGACTCAGCTGGTAAAGCCAGGGCCCTAGGCAGCACATGCTACCAGTCATTCTTGAAGAAATAGCTGGTCCTTCCTAGCTGCCATGGGAGACTTGATGCAAAGGAGTTATTTTGAGCTTTAACGAAGGTAATATTTTACCAGGCATTTGTTGTCTGAAGAATCATCTTAATTTCATTGCCAGGATCAAGAGACATCTGCAGGTGGTTTGTGATACCGTATTTTTCCTTGTATAACATGCCCCAGTGTATAAGACGGCCCCTTTTTGGGGGACTCCCAGGTTAAGCAGTTTTCTGCCTAGCCCAGCACTATGTATTCTGACTGGCTCTCCAAGATCTCAGGCAGATGTTCTTCCCATCAGCTGCTCCTGTCAACTGGAGTCATCCAGGGCTGTACCGGAGACCTCTTGCAAGTGAAGCATGTGCCGGATTATTGAACGGTAGTTAGGGATGAATGAAGCAGTTTGTTTTTGTCCATGTCACCGCCACATGTGTTCCCTCAAAAGCATGGGCGTTGACAGCCCTGTGCATGCTTCCGCTTGGGCAAAGAGCTTTTCCTTTCTCTCCTCCACCTCAGTGCCCCCTGTGCCTCCCCCAAATTGGCTCCGGGGTTGCTGAGAGAAACCCCAGAACATGTGGAGGAGAGGAGAATAATTCTGTCTAGCAAGTTGATATGCTTGAGCAGATGGCATATTTCTAATAGTGTGACATTAAATTCCACCCACTGTGTACAATACACTGTGAATCTTATTTTTGTGTGTGAACACTAAAATACAATAACCTATTAAACATTAAAAGCTTCCCTAAACAGGGCTGCCTTCAGATGTCTTCTAAAAGTTTGGTAGTTATTTTTCTCTTTGACATCTGGTAGCAGGCCGTTCCACAGGGTGGGTGCCACTACCGAGAAGGCCCTCTGCCTGGTTCCCTGTAGCTTTGCTTCTCGCAGTGAGGGAACCGCCAGAAGGCCCTCAGCATTGGATCTCAGTGTCCGGGCAGACCGATGGAGGTGGAGACGCTCCTTCAGGTATACTGGGCCGAGGCCGTTTAGGGCTTTAAAGGTCAGCACCAACACTTTGAATTGTGCTCAGAAACGTACTGGGAGCCAGTGTAGGTCTTTCAAGACTGGTGTTATATGGTCTCGGCGGCCGCTCCCAGTCACCAGTCTAGCTGCCATTTCCCCACTTTCAGTATTTTACTCCTGCCCTAGAAAAAATCCCGCATCCTCCCATGTTCAAAAGTCCATTCTGCCTCGTTTCCGCATTAATCTGCCATTTTGTTCACCAGCTAGCAGCGGTTCTCAACCTGTGGGTCCCCAGATGTTGTTGGACTACAACTCCCATCATCCCTGACCACTGGTCATGCTAGCTAGGCATGATGGGAGTTGTAGTCCAACAACATCTGGGGACCCACAGGTTGAGAAACACTGAGCTAGGGGCTGTGCCCCTGCTCACCTGCTCCCACCTCTAACAAACCTCCAAGATCTTCTCCTTCCCACCCCATGCAACTAATAAACTCACTTTTCACCTTCCCAACCCCATTTCTGAAGCCACTTCTTTCTTCTATATCTCTGCAGCTCCACTTTGCACCCCTGTTTTCATCTTCACCTCCAAGCCCAGGCCTCCTCTCCCTCCTTTTCTGCATCTTCCCCCCACTTTGCACACAAAGCACCCCATGAAAACCTCCTGTATCCTCCTCTTTGCACACATTGCAACTGCTAAGCACCCTTTCCCACTTCTGTCCAGTTATGAAGCCACCCCCTGCTCCTATTTTCCAGGCCCTTTCATGCTGCTGCTTTCATCTTCAAGCCCATTCCCATACCCCCTACTGCATCCTCTTTCTTGCACCTCATGGTGCACCCATTCCACTCTCCTTTTCCCTCCACCCTCCTTACTTTTCCCAACTCTTCCTTGCACACAGATCAGTTTTCATGCCTCCTCCTCCTGTTCTTCAGCTTCCTTGGTACCCACCCACCCATGCTGAGATATGTTACTGTGTCTTTAAGATGAATAGAACCTTAAAAGCCAGGCTGTCCATTAGCTTGTTCAGTTAAAGAAGGTTCCGTTCAGCTGATGGACATTGTATATATATATATATATATATATACACGGGCGTTTGCATTTTAATAAAATATCTCTTCTATATTACTACAATGCACCTGGAACTTTGTGTTGAAGACAATTGAGGCAGCAGTAAAACTGCTAGCACGTTTGCAAAGCTAAGCAGGGTCCAGGGTGGTTTCAAATTGGATGGGGAACCAGCCTGGATAGTAGCTTCATTGGTTAGAGCATGGTGGTGATAACACCAAGGTTGCAGGTGCGCTCCCAGTAAGGGACAGCTGCATATTCCTGCATAGCTGAGGTTTGGATTAGGTCAGGCATGGCCAAACTTGGCCCTCCAGATGTTTTGGGACTACAACTTTCATGATCCCTAGCTAGAAGGACCAGTGGTCAGGGGTGATGGGAATCGTAGTCCCAAAACATCTGGAGGGCCAAGTTTGGCCATGCCTGGATTAGGTGATCATCAGGATCCCTTCCAACTGCATGAGTGTGTGTGTGTGTGTGTGTGTGTTGAAATTCCTGCATTGTAGGGGTTGTACTAAATAATAATAATAATAATAATAATAATAATAATAATAATAAATTTTATTTATACCCCGCCCTCCCCAGCCAGACCCAGGCTCAGGGCGGCTAACACCAATAAAATCACAGTAAAAAACATGATGGGGGGGGGACCAATTTAAAATACAGGTTAAAATGCAATTTAAAATGCAGCCTCATTTTAAAAGCAGCCGATAAATCAAGACCATAAAGGGAGGGAAACATAAGGGTCAGACTGAGTCCAAACCAAAGGCCACGCGGAACAGCTCTGTCTTGCAGGCCCTGAGGAAAGATGTCAAGTCCCACAGGGCCCTAGTCTCTTGTGACAGAGCGTTCCACCAAGTCGGGGCCAGTACTGAAAAGGCCCTGGCCTTAGCTGAGACCAATCTAACCACCTTGCAACCTGGGACCTCCACAATGTTATTATTTGTGGACCTTAAGGTCCTCCGCAGGGCATACCAGGAGAGGCAGTCCCCTAGGTACGTGGGTCCTAGGCCACTTGGGATCCCTTGCAACTCCATGTTTCTATGAACACATGGT